CAGTACCTTTGTAGGGACTTAATCATGGCCACTTGGGGAGCAAGTGTATCGAAATATACTACGTTGCACTCAAATGCTTTTCCTAATCTGGGTTTTTATTTGAATAATGTTCTACTTTATATGTTAGGGTACGGTATGAAAACTTCGAAATAAAAACGCATGCAACCGGTCATCGACCATATTTTTACCGTAATCTAATCCCCATGCGCAACATCTATGATGGCTGCGATCATATCGTTAATCCTCCAGTACAACTCACAAACACACAATTCTATTGACCTTAAAATCGCTGTGAACCCAATCAACAGCTGTGTGAGTGTGAAAAGTTGAAGAAGAGAAGTGTTTGTAGTGCACGACGGCCTGTCTGCTCTGACTCATCGCGACGATCTTTTCACGCTCGGGGCGCGACATTCGAGGCGCATCTATAAAAGCGCCAGCCGATCCGCGCCCCTATCAGCAGCGGCTCATCCCATCTTTGTTTCATCTCTTACACAACACATATCGTCGGAACAGCGCGATATCGCCGTTCTCTCATCTTCACCCTCGTGCAATGAGCGGGGAAAAAGCAAAGTCTATCGATAAATCTCGTCCTGTAGAGCTGGGATTAACACTTTCTCTCTACACGTTGATCAAATTTGCGCTTACATTCAGCTTATTAGGTTAGCTAAAAAAATAAGCTCGCTTTAGCATGCAACTCTTCATAAAAAAATTTCTTGTTTTTCCAATTCTTCGTGGAAAGTAGTTTGAAGTTTCCTCTATCATATATCAGATATTAGGATTTTTGATCTTCAGTAAAGGCACTTATGCCTAACATGGTCAAATTTCCAAAAGCTCATTTCTTCAACTTCCTAAGCTTTCTTTTCATGCTGTAATGGATGTAGAGAACAGCAGTTTGGTGTTTGGATACAGACGGTGTTTTTCCTGTCTAGTGACTACTGTTATCTGCTACTTTGAAAATCTTCTATCAAAAAGCCATTGTCTCGTATATGCCCAGTGTGATTAGATCGGATTTCTTTTTCATTGGAAAATGAGTTCTAAACAAAGAGGATCTAAACCCAAATTCCCACTGAAGTGCTCTTTCCAGAGATACCAAACATTGGACAAAAATTTGTCTGCAGCATTCTAAGAGCGCAAAAACGACCGAACTTATTTATGCCAGCCTAATAATGTGTATTGCACTTCTACGCAGAAATTTCTAGAACCTTTGCTTTTTGAGCTCTAGTGAGTCCAAACAGCAAAAGAAAACCATATCACAGCTTTGCCCCGTTTGAACTATAACTTTAATTGACTTTATTTCCAAGCCATGAGATATTATACTACTTGGAAATATTACGGCGTGCAAAGCCACATTAGGTAACATAATAAGTGAGTCGACTACAGTTCGTAACACTATCCTATCCTTCCATTCTCATGTTAGAGCCCAGTCAATAAGCATCGTTTATCTATAGAACTTATCTATCTTTGTCATCCTTGTTATTCATTCATTGGTTGTAAAAACCGTGAAATTTTTATCGGCTTTGAGCTCATAAGATGAAGGCCTAAAAATAAAATTAGCCCAATTGAAAGCAGAATGGCATTGAAAAATGACATACAACTGCGCAAATCTGGCTCTGAAAATAAATGTGCTAAAGTCATTCTGCTTTTCTGACCCTTGTTTAATCCTAGCAGGTGAATTTGACATTACAATTTCAAGTCTTATGTGTAATTTGCATTGAAATTATTATATGCTAGCACTTCTAGATTTCTCAGTTAGTGGCGCATAAATATTTTTACTCACTATCAAGCGGAATCCCCACCAAGTCATGTTAAGTATCTCAGATAGTTTCCTGTTTTCCAGGTTCTTTGGAATTGACATTTAGGCCGAAACATCTATCATTTGAGAAAAAAAATTTTAGCGTTTTGATTCTGTAATTATTTTTGCGTATGAGGAAGGGTGGAGCGAGGATGGAACTCAACATCATTGGGCGGGAATTGAGTTTAATTCTGCTTTAATCCGCGTCTTTCTGCAATAAGTCTTTTGAATTTCTCGATTAACTCAAATTACGACTATAAACGGCGTACCTAGCGCTGTAATCACAAGAAATCTTCCGACTATATATTAATTTCGAATTTACTAAACAAGTAAAGTTCGGAGTCTCTGACTGGCCTCAAGACTTCCCGAAAGGCAGACCGGGACTGAATGCTGCCTTTGATACAAACTTCACCACAGTATTACACATCACTTCCATATTTTCAGTACAAATTGTTGCGAAATGTGGTTCTTACAACGAATGTGACCGATATCAATAAAAAGCTTCTGTAACCTGAAAGCTATAAAAGTTATAGAAACCAGTCAAAGCTACGGGATAGAAAAAGTAAAAGGATAGAATCGCTCACGTTCAATTGTCTCTTAGCAGGTCATGCGCGGTCAAAATCCTGCATTCAATAACGTCAGCAATCCCTTTCTCTTTTTTTGCGCCTTGCGCATTCAGACCTTTTCGCATTGGGTGTTCATCCGTAATGGAGACGGAACCATTACATTGTGCGCATAACATCCATTATTTCCAATAAATGTAGTTTCCGGGGCAAGCGATCCACCACCATTACCCCCCCCCCCCCCCGTCCCGATTGCTGCGAACTAGTCCATCCCCTCCCGTCGTCCGGACGGACACCAATTGTGCCCCGCCTCCATCCGTCGTTTCTTGCCGATTCCACCCCAGCCCGGGGGTGGTTGCCGGGTTGTTGGTAGTTCATTTGTTGTCAGCTGCTCGGCTGATGTTCGGCTGCTTATCCACAACTTTACTGTGTAGTTACACTTTTTGACCACGCAAAATTAGACCATTCTTTGGCCTTTCAGTTTTTCTCCCTTCCATAAGTGACCATTAACTGGGCCAGTAGGTAACCCAATTTTTTATTAGTAATTACTGCGTATATTTGCATCCTTAATGTCAATAGCAAGGTTTAGCATCGTAATACTAACATTCTTGTTCTATTTTTCCAGCAAATGCTGTGTCATCTTTCTTCCTATGGAATAATTTCTGCCCATAACCGAGCCATTGTCTGGAATCTTGCAAAATGTTTCAATAGAAACCCGTTTTGACTGCAGACAAAACCTTGTCATAAAAAACTCAGTTTTATATTGAACGAGAACTGGTTCAGCTTTTTTGGCATAAGTAGACTTTGCCATTCAATCATGTTTGAAAAGAATTGTTTCCTCTCTCCTCCACTCCGCCAAAATTTAGCTCGACAGTTTTCCTGGAAGGCTCTGCTGGACTAGCTTATTATGCTTTTTTCCCTGTCTCGATAACATAAATATAGAAAATAAATAAAAAAGTCAACCACGGCTAAAACGTAAAACGCGTCTTTGAAAGTGCTCGTTTATACTTTATGTCCACCATCAACTTAACCATCATTATATGTTTTTATAGAGCTTCACAATAGCGATCTTTGACGCCTAAGCCCTTTCCGGTATTTTATTCCTCGAGACTTCTCTGATTCACTATATAATGCTGTTGAGTAAACTGGTTTTTGCCATAAATGGCGCATGGTGTACCGTATCTGCCACATATTTTGCGCAATATGTCTGGTTTTTATAATGAGACCGAATGGACTATAAGGATTAGTTTTCCCAACAACTTGACGAAAATCCCAGCATTAATATAGTTATTTTGCTCAAAAATTGAGTTTTACTTGGAAGTAGCAAGTCATTGTAGGTACTTTGCTCAAAAATCATGTTTTTAAAATTCTGTGCAAAACTGACAACATTCGTTCGCAATGCCAGGGTTTCAAGATAGGATTATATAAAATATTTTCATCATTTCTACTTCAGTGAATTCAGAATTTGCAGTACCTTTTTTTATTTCAAAAAATCACCCTGACCAACTTATTATCACAGCCAAAATTGCACTTTCAAAAGCTAGCGGATGCTAAAATCGAGCAAATTTTCGGCTATGACTTTTTGCCAAATTTTATTATTTTCCAACTATGAATTTTTTTCATGTTGTACTATCGTATGCTGCTTAATCATTGCTCGGTATTCTACTCGATGTTCTAGTTCTGACTATTAACTAGCTTCCGTGGCAACAAACCAGTTGGCTAAATGTCATGAAAATAGCAATTATTGCGTACTTTTGCCGTATATATCATTCATTTTACTATCGTGCTCGAATTAGCTTCAGTTCAAAATAAGCAAAAGTTCATTAAAGAATTGTGGGTTTCCTATTCTAAAATATATAAGGAAATTACGTTACGATGGAACATGTGATATACACTTTGAAGTTCCAAACTATCACAGACTAGCATTTCGCGACGGGATATCGCTTTATAGGATTTCCGTCTGGCTGAGATTAGTAAGCGATTATTTCCGATCCACTAAAATACCACATGTTTCCGAAAATCTTCAAAACATTGACGACCAAGGCCTTTCACGGATCAGTCAACATTTTTTCGACAGAATCACGCACAATCCCATCTACAGTATACCTACAGTAGCGCTGAGAGCGTGACAAAAACAGGGGAAATTATATCTGAATCCAGCACAAAAATAAATTCCAAAAGTGGGTTTGACTCAAGAAGTAGCCATTTTCCTGAAAATCGAGCCTATCCTCATTCTGTTAATATTACATTTTGCGGTCAGAGAATCAGACGCACTTGATGTCAAGTAAATATTTCGTGCCATAATCTTTTTGCTATTTCTTCACTACAAAACCCTTCTCTATTCACTCGTCGACTCACTGTAGTAACACTTTCGATGTAAAGTGCGAAAATTTCTTTATCCGAGCGTTCTCAAAAGGGGCGTTTGTCATTGAATTACTTTGAAGAACACGCGTTCGCAAATCTTTAAGAGGAGTGCGGCTACCCCTTAAAAACGAACATCAGAAGTGTTTCGCAGAGAGATTTACTCCGTTCCCTTTCTCGGCTTTCTAGTGCTTTTCTCACTTCACAAGAACCTCCAACTTCTTCTTGTGTGTTCGTGAATTCGCGTAAAATTCACGTGGATTATTTTGAGAGTTCTTGACCACTCATTCTACTCGATTTTCTCTTCAGATGAAGCTACTCGTACTTTCCGTCCTTTTCGCTCTTGCTCTGGCAAATGTTCGAGACAAACGACTAGCTGTGAGCACAATCACAGTCACCGGAGGAATGGGTCTATCCACTGGCTGTGTCGTTACTGTAAGTATACGGTACCTATGATGCCTCAAAGTTTTACGTCAGACTTTAGGGTAACACTCTCTATGCTAATGGACTAAAAGTACGAGATCTCACATCATCGGAAAAGTCAGAGCTCTCCACTTACCAGAAGGAAGTTGCTGACTACAAGGCGGTTAGTTCGAATCCTAATTTTTCTCTTTCAAATTTTTAATTCTGCCTGAAATTCCACCACAGACATCTGGTACCTCTCTTACAGATTAAGATCACTTTCATCGATTAGCCGACTTTGAAAATTTACAATTGTACGAATCCTCTGCTGAAATCTTTCTCAAATTTATGTCATCTTATAAACCATAAAATTAGGTTGTCCGAAAAATAATGTCGTGTGGCATCCTACCGCGACAGAGTGACCACAGAAAACAGCGAATGGGGTATCATGTGATAGAGCAAAGCAAGCTCTAAAAGATAGTTTACAAATTTTCGCGGAAATCTTGCTCTACCTGAAGTTTGAATCCAAAATGCTGATTTGAAGAAAAATCTAAAGCTGAAAATTCATGGTTAGACTCCCAAAGGTTCTTACCATTGAATCACGTATTTGAGAGAAGCTCAGGATTGCTTTAACAAAAATATGCCAAATTTCGTTTTCTCATTTTCCAGCCATGGAAAAACCACAAAAATGTGCTTGCGAGTGTCTGTATAGTGAGTCCATAGGTGAGCAAATTAGGGGTTCCCAGAACTATTCTGAACGGAGATGAGAGTTTTTCGTTTTTTAAAATCTTTAGTGCCTTATGTGATTTGGCTTCAAACTTCACACAGATGAAACCTGGCCCGAAGGTTTGAGCTTCATTTTGTAGAGCTCGCTCTGATCTATCGGTTGCTACCCCACTTACTTATTATACTTTCGTGCTTACCCTACCGCGGTACTGCAATAAAACCCGATGCGACATTATTTTCCAGACAACCTAATATTATTGTCACATACGTATAAAACAAAGCGTAGGGAATTTTGGAAGTGAAAGAAAGGGGTAGGGATCCCCAGGACGATTGCTTGGAAAATGACGATAACTAGTCCACTCCCTCCGTTTTTCGTTATGTTCTGCTTAAATGCATCAAGCGCGAGATAAGTGGTCTAAACAAAGTTTTATGTTGATAGTGAAATCATTGCTGATTCGAAAACTTTTGAGCTTCGGGAGGATTACTAATATTTCTTTTGCAAAAAAATTACTTTTCTTGAAGCTCAGAATTTTCTATAAAGTGCCAATCTATGTATTTTCAACTTCACTCAGTACATATTTGCAGCAACTCAAACAAGCCATCAAAGAGCGTGAAGACAAAATCCGAGCACGACTTGCTGGCAAGAAGGATGTGAAATCTCTCGAACCACCAAAGGAGGAAGATTTGCCAAAACCACCAAAAAAGCCATCATTCTGCACACCAGAGGATACCACCCAATTCTTCTTCGAAGGTTGCATGATCCAGGTTTGCAGCTTTGGTTATCAGCTTATTTGATCTACGCGAAGTAGAGTGTGGGATCTCCCTAGGGGATGGGAGTTGCTCGAAAAACTGATATGCTCGAAAACTGAAATGCATACACATGGAGCGCTAGTGCATGAGGCACAAGGTCAGGGTTTGGAAGAAGATTCATGTGGAAGAACTTTATGCGTCTTCCAACTGAATCAGTTTAAGTCAAAATTGCAGCATTTACTTGCCTTGGTGTGTTTTTGCTTCGAATTCGTTTTTTCGGTACCAGATTAGCTGGATCCAAACTGACACGCATCTGGCACCAAGCTGGCACCAAACTAGCTGAGTGAAAAGATGTGAAGAACTGCTAAATATGAAGACTACGTCTTTCCACGTGTAGTTCTACTGTTATTTCGGTGTCTCTCAGCTTGTAATCTATTAGCAGCTAGCTGGCACCCAACTGGCACGCATGTGGCACCTACGTGGCACTTTGACTGCTAAATGGGAGAAAGTCTGGAGAATTACAAAATTGACGACTTCTTTTCTTCAAGTAGTCTTCCACTCAAATCTCAGAGATTTTCGTCTGTAGGAACGGACACGGCCATCAACATGTGGCGTTTAGCGCAAATTTATCACTAGTGCAGCTTGTTTACGAACCCCGAGTGTTAAGGACAACCGACACCAAGTAATTGATGGGCTTAGATTCGAAAGCGATAGAAGCTGAAAAGCTAGTCTTTTGCTGCCGCACTTCAGCTCAAAAAGTGCGGATGCTGGGAACAACGATGTGATTTAGACGGGAACTAGGGGCTAGCTAATCAGGAGACAAGTTCCTGACTTTTTCGATCGAAGCTTTCTCTTCAATATGTGCCATTTTTCATTTATTTCATGGGATGTACGTGAAAATCAGTGGAAATAATAGCAAGCTGTAAGAAAAATAAGCGAGAGGAAAAAAATTGATAGGAGGTGAACTTCTAGGCAGTTTCATTGACTGGATGCTTTGCTTCTTCTTGACCCCCAGGTTCTTGATACGTTGGTCCATGTGCTTGCCAAATTTTTTAGTCAAAAGCAGCGATTAACACTCAAAAATTGCTATATTCTTTATAACAAACAAATCCATGAAAAAGAAAATTTTGAACATCAAAATTGCTCAAATTCAACAATTCAACATATATTTATAACTCAATAATTTCGTCCTCATCGATTGTTCCTACAAGGTTACCATTCTAAGGTATAATTTCATATGATAAGAATATTTTCGTGAACTCATAATAAAGCGAAATGAAGTAATAATTGTGCCTTACAAAAAGTATAATACATGGACTGACACGTGATTTTTGAAACTTTAGGAGGTATTTATCATTTCTTTGAACGAACATTACTTAATTTTTTGGTGCGAGAATTATAGACCACCCTTGTGATCAATATTAGAGTAGTTCACTCCTAAACTCTGATTTTCAGCTGCAAATTTTTCTTTCAGAACAATAAGGTCTACGTTGGCAACACCTTCGCCCGCGACCTCGACGATAATGAAATCCAAGAGCTGAAAGAATTCGAGAAGAAATTCAAAGTCTACCAAGACTACGTCCAGAAGCAGGCCGAACAAGTAGGAAGTTTTTCTCGAATCTTTGCCTGAAAAATTCTAATATTTTTCTTTTGCAGCAAGTGAGCAGCCTCTTCGGCGGTTCCGACTTTTTCTCTGCTCTCTTCGGTCGTGAAACTGAGTCCAAATCCACCACCACCACTTTGGCCCCAGAACTCCCAGAAGATGCTCCCGAACAACCACCCACTCCCAACTTCTGCACCAGAATCATCTAAATCTGTTCAAGACATTCTGTATCGCACATTTTGGGCATGTTGGATTTGGTGAATAGGCGTCTGAGCGCTTCTCCTCTCGTACTTACGGTGTCGACTAGCACATTAGTCACAAGCTTTGCAATATTTTGAGTCCTATTGAGTTATATTGTATATTCGTGTGATAAAATTATTATTCAGCGCCTTTGTTGAGCATTTGTGCAAATATAGGCGTTGGCGAAACGATAGAAAAAACATAGCTTATTGCTGTTCAAACAAAATTTTTTGTGTTTGCTAAGCTAAGACTGGTGCATGCGGCATTTTTCCCGCTATTCGTATAGCGACATTTATTACGAAAAAGCGGATTCGCTATGATAGTGTGAACACTTAACATCGTTGTACATCAAATTAGTGAAAATCTTGACAGGCGCCATAAATAGGGAAAGGTGGTTGCGATTTTTGAAAGATTGAGAGATGTCTTCACTTTAAAACATATCCGGAAGTTCAGAGTCTTATGTTTGATTAGTTTTGTGAAGCTGTAGACATGGAAACGGCAGAATCTTCAGACAATCCGCAAATATCACGCTAAGTCCTAAAATAGAGGCGAATTCTAAGAAGAAAAAATTCTCAAAGCAGCAGTAGGAGCACTCTGAAATAAAGTTATAATTTGATGATGAGATTAATACGGTAAAGTGATTACTGACCATGCGGAAGATGATGTAGTTTGAAGCTCTCCTAAGTTTACGTTGTATGTAGCCCGATATTTTTTTTCGGTTCCGAAACTATTAGGTCGTTCCGAAAGTTCTTGCGCACGATTTCCAAAAATTCATAACTTCTAATTTTTCCAGCCGATTTGACTGCTTTTATTTTTCTATGAAAGAGTAGGTCATGCTCTTTATAATGACATCTTAGCTGCTTACTAATGATCACCTATTGCATAGATAGGAGCGATAGAATAAAATTGGTCAAAATTTGAATTTTCTGTGTAGGGTCATAAAAATTCAGAAACACAAAAATCGGACATTCGGTATTGTAGGTTCTTTCACCAGCTCTTTCTAACAGTGCAAAGTTTGCGCATTAGAGCGTTTCTATGAAAATTTATGATTTCCCTGAAAAATGCCAAAATAAATCAAATTCGCCCTTTTGTATTGCTTGCTCGAAAATCATAACTTTTTGCTGAGACGCTCAATCGGCGCAAACTTTGCACTGTTGGAAAGAGCTGGTGAAAGAACCTACAATACCAACTGCTCCGATTTTTGTTGAAACTGACTTTCTATGACTCTACACAGAAAATTCAAATTTTGAGTGATTTTGGTTTTAAGCTTCTATCTCCTTCATTTGCATACATTAACGAACGTTTCAGGTACAGATGCAAAGAGCATGAGTTCCTTTCTTACATAAAATTTTGATCGAACAAATTCATCGCGAATTTAAAGAGTTATGAATCTTTGAAAATCGTGCGCAAGAACTTTCGGAACGACCTAATATTTGCGAATGAACAAACTTTTTGACGAATATGTAGGTACTTTCCAGTTTTCCTTCTGCCCAAACTTGCGCGATTATCAAAAGAAGTAGTCCAAATACTAAACAAGGAGTAATCTTGAGTTCTTATGTATAGTGAGAGAGACTTCGAAATGTTGTTTTTGGTATATGGGACGGAGGTCATAAATTGGCCAAATTTCATAATTTGAAAGGATAATTGCATCACGGCAAATATGCTCCCTGTCTCATCAGCACGGGTAGATTTCTACTTAACGACATCAAACCTTTGACTCCCACAATTGAGAAATCTTGCACAGAAGTTTAAATTTTGAGTCTAGTCTCCTGCTTCGAAAATGTTGATCTTGAACGCCTTTAAACGGAAATCATGTGCTGCAGACATTGTTCTGTCATTACAACAAAGAGCTCTCGAAAATAACTTCTTTCAAAATTACATTCGTCTCACTTTTACGAATAACCGAAGCTTGTTTTATGCAATCTAATGCTTCGTTTAATCAAGACTTGCTGGGGAATCGAGACGCATAATAAAAAAAAGGCATTCAACAGTATCTTAGAGAGGACCAAATAGCATTGTTCAATGGTAAGATATACTGATTCTTGTAAATGGCTATCTTTAGAATTCTAACCTTGTGAGACTTCATGTGAGGATGTGGAATACTAGCTAGTTTTTCCTTGACTAGCAAAATATTTACTTTGAACTTGGCACGTGCAAAGGAAAGGTTACTTATCAGGCCAAGGGTGATATTTTTGCAGGGATCACAATTAAAATAGTCTCCTCTTATGTTTTCAACATTAACTTTTCTTGATTCTTGCAACTGATCCTGAATGATCATAGCGGCAATGTCAGTTTTTTTTAATTAAGATTCTAACCGTAACTGCTTCCCTTTAGAAAATTTTGTAAAGACTGTACATGACTTTTCGATTTATCGTTTTCGAATCTAGACCTGAGCGATTTTGCTTAACACTTCATGATGAGTATTTTTTATTTATATTTTTATATTCATATATCGCACTCATTTGTGCGCAAAAAAAAACGGGTGATGCATTTTGGTCATGGCAAGTGTGTTTCCCCGACTGAAAGAGGAAAAACGTGGAACAGTCTCCGAGGGCGGTCAAGTCGTTCTCCATTTACCGAATGGGGCACCCTCGATCCAGATTCTGGTCCCTATCCCGAACTCAGGTTTAAGGAAACTAAGCAAGGCTCGGATGACCGACTTAACCCTGAAAGAACTAGTTCGCTCACCTTGTGCGGGCGATTGAGGGATCTCGAGCGATCTCTTCTTTTTGTGCGTTTAAGAAAATTCCCATTACTCGAAATCACATTGGTACACGAGGGAACGAGAAATGGGAAGTTTTACTGCCTAAAAAAACATCTTCCCTTTACCCAAGAAAGCCTTATAGTTGATTTTGGTCCAATGTCATTGAAAAACTCAAATCATGCCCACGGAAAAATCATTATAAAATTCCTTCTGTGGACAATGCAGTTCAAAATTTGCTTAGCAGCAAAACTAGCCAATATCGAACAAATTCACAATTTGAGGGTTCATCTTATTGCTCCTTTTCTTATGACACTTCTAAATTGCCTAAGAAGCAAGTACATTATTACACATGACTGTCTTAAGTTTCTCGAAGAAATGCGATTTTTGTACTATCTAAGACCGTATCTACTGGAACAAGCAGTAATTTTGAACCATCTTAACAATCCTTCCCCTCCCTCCCCCCGAAACTCTCACGAAGATTCGTAGCATTCGCGAAAGACCAGAGAAAAGGCTCTTGACGCGAATACCAACATTCGTATAGAATCTATTACGTAGACGAGAATATTAAAAATGACTTTTGTTATCCCGCGTATTTCTTCACTCAACCGGCATATTGCCATAGTAGAGTGGGGAGGAGGGAGGTTGGAGCGTACTACACGTTCATGAAGAGCTCTCTTTAAAGAATAAATTTGGTAAGAATAGCATGAACAAACAGCCCGCAGAAACAGATTTTTTATTTGCACGCACAGAAACTTTCTCAAAAAATAACCTAGAAGACCTCAAATAAAACTACTGAGTAGTCAAGATCACTTTCTTTGTCTTCCCTCTCTTGCAACAACTTGTCGCAATCAAAGCACAATGGTATGGCCACATTTTTTCAGGTAAGTGTTCAAGCATTTACATTTAGCAGACTATACAGTAACCACATCAATTATTCGAAGGAAAACGCAAAAACTGACGATCCGCGTTTTTTTTTCGTTTTTTCTTCATAACTTAAGCTAGGTTACACCACTACCGTTACAGAAAACCCGTTCTCACACAAAAATCGAGCAGGATAAAAACGGAATAGCAAGATAGTGTAGTATATCAGAAGATTCACATTGACGAGCTGAACATCACGCTTCCTTCGAGTTCACAATTTATGCCATCTGAAGGAAGTTATGAAGAAAAAACGAAAAAAACGCGATTGTCAGTTTTGCGTTTTCTGCCGAATAATTAGTGTGGGTACTGTATATTATTGGCCAGAAAGACTCATGTGCTCTCCATAAAAAAGTGTGATTGTACGTCTACTTGCAGTTTCAAGTGAAAAGTACTGTGATGGTCCAAACTCCTTGCATTTCTTAAAATTCATCAAACAAATGTTCTCAGTATTCTAGATACTGTAGCATCACAAGCCACCCATCCACAAAAGGTAACTACATTGATATGCACATCGGAAGGTCATTTGAGTTGAGCCCAGGTAAAATTTGCACCTCAAAACTTCTGAAGTACATTTAGTCTTGATGTCAACTATATGATGTGCCTTGAGTCTAACAAGGAATGCATGTTCAGTCGAAGTGGCCCTTTTAGATGGGACTCATACCATATTAAAGAGCATAAATTGCTGACTCCAAATCTACCTTCCCTACCTGCAGAGCCTTAATGGACGAGGAGTTATGAGCGCTTATTGAGGCAAAAAATTCAATGTGCAAGTAGGATAAAAATAGCCAAAAAAATCTTTTTCTAGCTCTTTAATGGAGCAGCGATAATCATCAGAGCATCACGAGCAATCTTAGTATTATTTAGAAAATACTCCCAAATAAAAAATATGTCACACTTGTTTGCATTATTTGAGGGCTAGTAAGATTTTAGCAACTCATTTTATCCAAAATGCACGCTCATTGGCTCTAAAAACGCTCATAACTTCTCGTGCATGAAAGCTCTGCAGATAAGGAAGGCACACTTGAAGTCAGCGTTTGATGCCCTTCAATATGGTGTACATCTCATTTAGAAAGGCCACTTCGACTGAACAAGCTTCCTTGTAAGGGGAAGCAAGAAGTCGGAAAAGGTGTTTTGCTGTCATCCTGAAAACCTCCCCGTTTTTTTGTTATGCAATCACATAAATTTGAGGCAACACGGAAAATCACTTGATTATTGATGATGTCCTTCAATCCTTCAATGATGATCAATTAGCACTACTCAGAATTGGAAAAAATTCACACTTGACCTTTCTGGACAAGCAGAGGGTCAGCCCACTTAGTATCGATTTCCAATCAACAAATCCGCCACAACCCATAAACTATATCATACAGCCATGTATATCTTCTCATCTCGGACTACAAAGTGTGAGTTTCCGGCCATGATCAAATGATACGCTTATGTTATAGATATAGTTTTCTAGCAGGATTGTTTGCCGGTTTCTTCCAGAAAATATACAATTATATACTTCAAATATTCGGATTTTCCAAGTCTCGAAAAGACACGCGCACAGAAGTCAAGGTGAGTTCTGTCCCATCTTAATCCCCTCTCGCTATATAAACCCTACAAAACACTTTTCTCTTGTATATTGTTCTATGTAGAATTCTCGACTACGACCAAGACATGATTTGGTTCTTTGCAGTACCTATACTTGAGGGATAAATTTCATATGATACCGAAAAATTCCTCGATTGTGACCGAAAAGTCCTACATTGCTTTCATACTCTTTTACTTGTAATAGCGACCTTGATAAACGGTTTTCAGAAGTTAGAGAGGGTAATGGAGATTTTTCATTTGGAGATCATTTGTTTCTGGAAGCGCCTATGGAGCTCCAAACTTTCTCGAGCTTCTAATCATTCTTCGCACCCTTTATTACTCTACAAGCAAGATAGTCAAACAAAAATCTTGTTGAAGAGTACTTTACTCTATGCCTAGATAGCAATCTTGCAATTTCTATCTATCTCAGCTATAATCGGTTTCAGCCACAGAATATCGCGTTCAGAGCAGTTTCCTTCATAATTAGTGGAGTAGAAAGGAACAAGACTGCGCAAAATAAAGAACGTAGCTATTGGTCTTTGAAGCCGTTGTTTTTAATCGGAATTAATGAGACGAAAAAGATTTACAAGAATATGTCCAACATTACGGCTTGAAGATTTGATAGACCAAGTCATACTTCCATATCTACTCAAATTCTGACTTTTATACCGCCTTCGATGTTGAATTAGGCTGATTTTATAAACTTTTTTGAAGCTTACTAATTCACACGCTTTGAATATGAAACATGAAACGTATATCTCGCAATCTACACACTTGAAAAGTTTACGAATAATTGGGCATAGGTCCAAATGGATACTCAGAGGTGCGAAGAAGTAATTAGAAGCGCGAGGAACTCTGAAGCTCCTCAGGCTTCCATAAGCAGAAGGACAGGAGGCAGCAAGCCTTTGCTGCCTCCTGCCCGACGCCGTGTATGCAGAATCCTCGTTAAACTATTCATGCATGTTTATCTATTTGATAAACAATGTAATGCCATCAATTCCAGGAAGACCGAATGGAAACCGTGAAGATATTGGCTCATCCACCTCGACCTATAATCCTAACAGTTTGCAGTCTCGCATCTCTGATATCCACTGCTCAACTCGGTTCGTCTCTCGGTAACGAATGCTTGCGAAGAAATCTTCGGTTCTTTTGAATATTCATCTTTTTTATTCTTATCTCTGTCTTACTGCCAATAAATTTCAAAAGCTGCATTGATCTATTATACTTCATCCTTATGTACATGATAACGTATCTAACGGATTACGAGAGCCAAAGTTACAAGTGAGAGACTACTAAGGAAGCCGGTAATTTGCGTTTTTCCTTTGAGCGGCGATAGCTGAAATTTGAAGAAGTATTTTCAGTGCGGGCGAAAAGAAGGAATAGACTTACGTCGGGTTGAGGATTAGTGTAAGCTGAGCTGTTGTAGTTTACTGCGCCATTTGAGTTAGGGAACATGAAATTGGTGATCATCTGGACGGATGGACCCGGTCTGTCGTTTGGAACCATGTGACCAGCCCCCTAAAAATTTTTCAAGATCAAGCACTCACCTTTCAAAAATGAACAAGTACAAAACCAACCTTGACAGTGAGCACATCAATAGTCACCTTCACGCCTTGGCCACCATTGCCAGTGTAGCTTTGTGCAAAACCGGCGACTTGATTGTTAGCACTGAAGAACCAAGGAGTTCGAGGACTGGCCTAGAAGAACCGTTGCAAGTTTCAGCCGTTAATTAACAATTTTCTTAGTTACCTGAAGTCCATTCTCACGAGCTACGTCTCTAATATGCCATGCATCACCGAGATAATTACATACCGTATCCACATCGCCATTATAAATAAGAAACCGGAAGTTTGGGGTCTGAAGGAGAACACATCAATTCTGCCAATTAGAAAATAAGTTTTACTAGAAAATAAGATGCAACACAGCCATTCAAGCCCCATAGATTCGAAATTTGCCTTACGGAACAGTCGAAAATGAAAGTATAATTGGTAGGACGTACTCTTATGTGTGTATGAAAAAAAAATCAACACTTTAAAACCCTATTTAGTGATTACTGGCCAAGTGTTAGCAATATTTACTTACATTCTGAAGCCTGCTAGCTAAGAAAAACATGGGAAATAAAATTAGGAGACGTACCTTCACATTCTGGATCACATATTGGAAAAATTGGTTTGTTCGGCTATATGTCAGGTGATAATTCTCATAGATCGGGTCGCTGAAATCATAGATTCAACACAGTGCTAGAAATCAGCCTAAAAGCCAAGTGGAAATTGTAGATGTGTATGAGATAAATAATAGTTAATCAGTCTCTTATCGTGAACGTCTCACTAATAATTCGTCCTGTACTATTACTTTGGAAAAGAAAATGGAAATCTTGGCAGGTATGAATGGTATTGGCAAAATCTTCGAATGAAAGGGTTGGCTTATGCTGCGTCGCTTGTATATGGATTCTCCTTCATTAAGTCTCCGAAGTAAAGCTTTTTTCTCAAAAAATCTCACTTGTCTGGAGTAAATAAGTGAAAAAGATTCTCATACAAAGTAATCAGTATTGCTTTTATCTTGAGTTCGAGTTCCAAGTAATTCAATAAAACCTTTTCTGTTCTTTCAAAAAAAAATCATGAAGACGGCGAAGCCTTTTTCCACAATTCGAAAATGCTGTTTAAATCTCCATTTGTTTTCGCTGTACTGATTGTAAGAAGTGTTTTTGAGTTCGTAACCTGAGTTGGAATTGTATCATGTAACTGATTGAATATTGAAAATATTTAAACACTCACTTGCATCCTCCCCACTGAATAGTTCCTCCCATCTGATCTCTCCATGCTTTGGGAATATGTAAGGCATCCTAAAAGTTCACCAGTGAATTACCATAGCGCAGGTATTACAAAAAAGAAAGAACTGCTATTACCTGCACACTTCTCTTATTAAGATAAGAATCTAAGGCTTGATCGGTCCAGCAAGGATATCCCCATTGATTGTCTGTTGAAATGCGATTTGTTAGAGCCTTAACTTCTACGAATGAGATTTTCTAACTCATTTGCCTTATCAGTGCCATACCGCAGCATTATTGCCCATATTCGACGTGCCAGTGAAAACGTATGAGAACTGAGAAGGCTTTTTGCGCAATGTTTGGAGAGACCGTCGTTTCTGCTGACCGGTGGGTATACTGTAGGTACTTTGATAGCAGTCTTGGTAGTAATTGTACTGGTCGTAGTAATAGCCATAGAATCTGAAAGAAGTAGAGTGATTGATTAGCTTATAGATTGACAAAAAGTTCTGACGCATCTTTTTTAGAATTTTCGAAGAATTTTTGACAAATTTTTGTCCTATCCATTTGTGTACATTAGCATGTAATTTTTATGTTATTACTGACTGCTTCAAATCTTAATTCAAGTTTTTCATTCTATTTTTTCACATTTTTGGCTTTTTTTCAAAACTCACAAGGGTATGATGGTTACGAACTAACTAACTAACTAACGAACTTTGCTTTTTTTGTAACACTGTCTCATAAAAGTCAGTTTACTCAAATTTCTAAAGAGCTCATTTCGATAAGAAATCGAATCTTACAATTAGAGGCAGCGTCCAGGCTAGTCTATGGGGATTTTACGTGGAAAGTACTTTTGGGGCCCTAACTAAGCCACTGCCCAACCGGCAGCTCAGGTAGTGCCCTAACGCCTGAGATATTCCCCTCGAAACTGGATCCCGCGACAGTGTTTCGCATGGATTCATGGCGCAAAGCGTGGATCCTGGCGCGAAACTGTCATGAATCCATGCGAGTACGTTCGCGGGGGCCAGTTTCGAGGGGAAGATCTCAGCCATTAGAGCACTACCTGAGCTGCCGCTTGGGCAGTGCCTTAGTTGGGGCCCCAAAAGTACTTTCCACGTAAAAGCCCCATACAATACCGCTCACATTTTTTGAAAAATAGACACGAATGTATGGACATGTCCATACATGTACGGACATGTCTATACATGTGTGGACATGTCCATACATCAGCGTCGCGTGGCCATATCTTGCTTCAGAGTGGTCGAATTCTGAATCCAAAGCCACCATTCGATTCAGCTCGGCGAGGAGAATCTTCTGACATATTCGAAGTGGGGGTACGATGTCTTCGATATTCCGCTTTCAGTTTTTTCAATTTGTTCTGCGGACGTCCTTTCGCGAATATGTGAAGCAACGCCTGCCCAACATAGAAGACTTTACTAAGTAATATTCGATAATACTGTTCTTGTAGATTATTGTGCGCTAAATTGTAGGCTTAGACTTCTTTTCAAAGGAGATAGAAGCGTTGGTGAATTTTGGAAAAATCACGCGTTTTTGAATTCTACTCGCCATAACTTCCTTCGGAATAAGTATATTTTGAATCTGAAAGCAGCGCCTTGCTCAGCTCATCAAGGCGAATCTTCCTATATACAGCATGTCCATGATATTTCGATTTCAGTATTCTTGAATCTTTCTGAGGACGTCTTCTCGCGAAGGTGTAAAGCAGCGAGCATTGTCCCGAGTACATTCCAACAAGGATCTTTCGATAGCACTTTTTCTGCAGATTATGATGTGTTAGATAGTAGCCGCAGGTTTCTTTTCAAAGGAAATAGGACGGCTGGTGAATTGCGGAAAAATCTTGTCGCCCCAAATTATACTCGCCATAGCCGCAGGATACGGAGCTATCTTGCTAAGCAGATGTGAGTTTCGGAATCAGCAGGTCGGATAACCTCTGTGGGCAAGTTTCGCGATATGTTCGGGTTATTCCATTTTTTCTCCTTTTACGCTCCAGAAGCTCGCCAATGGATTTTGGTCAAAATGTTGATGCTCCTGAATTGTAAGGAAACTTCGCATAAAGGTTTTCGAACACGCTGTTTACGAAAATCGTGGTCTTTGAGGATTACAGGGTCTTTTTAAAGAGATACGGTAAGGTGACTGTAACTGCATCACGAAAGTGCGAACTTTGGCCGCACTTCTCGCGTATCTATCAGAAACCTTGCCTGCTTCCTTTTCTCAGTCGAAGTTACTGGGAAATGTTCTATCGAATGGTGCATTACTCAGGCTCCAGTCTGTGAAATTCACCGAGTTACGAGCCTACGGAAACACGTTCTCATGAATTTTGCCCAAAATGTAAAGATCGCATATCTCGTCGAAATTCTTCCTTGAGCGCTTGTATGACGCTCGTTGCAGATATTATGTTCACTTCGTCAAACGACTCCCACTGTACTGAATATGATGCTTGCGTCTGCTTCAGTTGCTCAATTGAATATCAAAGCTATTTCGTGGCTAGAGCTCAAAGCACCAAACCTAACACAATAAGCTTCATTAAAAGATTCCAGATACTTTACAGTCTCAGAGCACGAATGTTTTTAAACGCAGAATCAACACACATCTCTTACGTTTAAGGCATTCTGAGAATGAGTAACGAATAGCACCAATTCGTCATCTGTATTGCTATAGCTGGCCATGTGCGATTACATTACCCGACCACAAAATGCATACCAAATACAACCATCAATTTGTGTTTTACAGATATCATTTTCTTTCAAATGTCTTACTAACCCATATCTTGCTATTACGTTAGTTCAGGTCTAATCAATTTAGTTCTCTTCCCAATCATTACAGCTTGTTGACTTGCTCTTAAATGAATTACAAAAAGTGAAACTATTTGATATTCTTTCGGAGTCATTGGACTCTCCCCGGAATCATTTGGGCAAGGTTGATTGGTATTACTGCACCAACCGAGCCCCGCTTTGCTTCATTATTGCAGGAGCATCTTCTGCTGGCAAATGAGTTGGCATGATTGCCATCTCCATAGATTACAATAACCTAACTTGATCACGCTCACGTATGAGTCATTCATCATTACAACCCTTACTGAAATTCACTTGGAGTCAACTGGCTCACACTGGTTTACTGGTTTGTTGGGGTCAGATAATATACCCACCATCAAACCTTGTTTGCTTGTTAAAATCAAAACATTTTGCTGGCAAAAGGAGGCATGGGTACATCTCCATAAATCTCATCATTTAATTCCGATAATTATAATCATAGAGCAGTCAAATACAAGCTTTCATCATAATTTTATCAAGATTAGACCTAAACTAATGATGCACTATCGTTGCGGTTAGAGTATAAATGACTGCTTTCTATTCTATTGTATGGAACGCCAAGAGCGTATAGAATAAATAAATAAATAAATAAAAATGTGAAAGGATTTGATCAGCGCGTTGTACAAGCGCTCACGGAGGATTTCGACGAGATATGCGATGTTTACATTTTGGGCAAAATTCATGAGAACGTGTTTTCGTAGGCTCGTAACTCGGCGAATTTCACAGACTGGAGCCTGAGTAATGCACCATTCGATAGCACAGTTCCTAGTAACTTTGACTGAGAAAAGCAAGCAGGCAAGGTTTCTGACAGATACGCGAGAAGTGCGGCCAAAGTTACGTACTTTCGTGATGAAGTTACAGTCACCTCATCGTATCTCGCCAAAAAGACCCTGTAATCCTCAAAGACCACGATTTTCGTGAAGAGCGTGTTCGAAAACCTCTATAAGCGAAGTTTTCTTACAATTCAGGAGCATCAACATTTTGACCAAAATCCATCGGCGAGCTTCTGGAGCGTAAAACGAGAAAAAATGGAATAACCCGAACATATCGGAAAACTTGCTCACAGAGGTTATCCGACCTGCTGATTTCGAAACTCACATCTGCTTAGCAAGATAGCTTCGTATCCTGCGGCTATGGCTAGTAGAATTTGGGACGACAAGATTTTTCCACAATTCACCAGCCGTTCTGTTTTCTTTGAAAAGAAACCTGCGGCTACTATTTAGCACATCATAATCTACAAAAAAGTGCTATCGAAATATCCTTGCTGGAATGTACTCGGGACAATGCTCGCTGCTTTCCACCTTCGCGAAAGACGTCCTCAGAAAGATTCAAGAATACTGAAATCGAAATATCAAGGACATGCTGTACATGAGAAGATTTGCCTTGATGAGCTGAGCAAGGCGCTGTTTTCGGATTCAAAATATACTTGTTCCGAAGGAAGTTATGTATGGCGAGTAGAATTTGAAAACGCGTGATTTTTCCAAAATTTACCAACGCTTCTATCTCCTTTGAAAAGAAGTCTAAGCCTACAATTTAGCGCACAATAATCTACAAGAACAGTATTATCGAATAGTACTTAGTAAAGTCTTCTATGGTGGGCAGGCGTTGCTTCACATCTTCGCGAAAGGACGTCCGCAGAACAAATTGAAAAAACTGAAAACGGAAGATCGAAGACATCGTACCCCCACTTCCAACTGTCAGAAGATTCTCCTCGCCGAGCTGAATCGAATGGTGGCTTTGGATTCAGAATTCGTCCACTGTGAAGCAAGATATGGCCACGCGACGCTGATGTATGGGCATGTCCATACATGTATGGACATGTCCGTACATGTATGGACATGTCCGTACATGTCCATACATGTACGGACATGTCCATACATTCGCGTCTATTTTTCAAAAAATGTGAGCGGTATTGTAGGTCCAGATTTGCCTAGACGCTGCCTTTAAGTAATTTTCCTCTTTGGCTCCGATCTTTCTATTCTCAGTGACCTTTAGCCTCATTCTAAATAAAACTGCAAATCAATGGAGATTTATGGATATGGTATTTTTTCAACTGTATTGCGACAGAACTTTTGTGTATTAGGATGATGCAAAAATACCGCTTTTCGGTGATGACCTTCTCACAAATTTTTTGATTTGGTCTGCTGTGACTTTCCAAAGATTTACATTTCTGAATGCTTGTGACCATCAGAAGTAGGACACCTTTTACGTTACAGTGCACATACATCTATACTCACATCATAAACGGGAATAGGAATATGATTTGCAAACCAAAATTTTTTTGAACATTGTTCTTGATAAATCCCAACTTCAAAGTTTGTTATTATATAGGAATTGCCTATCTTGAAGCCGCAAAAAAAAGTAGGACAAATGCAGATGAAAAGCGCTAGAACAAAGTATCATCTATTCTATGACCAGAATACGCGAAACCGCATTGCGGACATCGTAACAAGTTTAAGTTTGTTCTTCCATGTTTCCAAAGAGTGAATAAACGTGGACGAGATAAATAACAAATACAAATCTGTTAAGTACACGATTAGGCTTGTTTAGACAGTGTGTGCAATGCGGTCGCGCGTCTCCTGGTCACAGAATGAGGAATAAATAAAAAGTAAAATCAAAATCTTAAATTGTCAGCTGCCCGAAATATAGAGTTAATATTCTGCTTTCTGAACAGCTAAATATTTTTGCAAAATATTGTCTACAGAATGCCTTACCCTACGCTTACAGAAATGAGCAAAGCTTTGGCGATTGCCTTTCCAAAGAAATTAAAGGGTCATAGAATGACCGCAACGATACCCATTTTGAGGCTTTGAATCTCATTGTCAGTTCAAGCAATTTCAAGAAAATAGTCAAATGTGCGCTTGTGCGCAATATATCTGTATTAAGGAAGAAAATTTAATGAAAAAGCGTTGTCGTGAATCTGCATTAACCCAATAATAGTATGTATGTGCACACATACCCTTCATTGCTGATCAAAGGTTCGATGAGCTGGCCACAGAGAGTGGAGTTGTTTCCGTAATAATCCATACCATTACTAGTGGTCATGAATTGAGTGAAGTCATATTTCTCGACATCGGTCTCGCTTCCCGTCCTACAGACAGTCTTGATGGTATCCCAGTCACTGAAAATATTCGGTTCGAAAAAAAGTTCTATCGCAACATTTTCAATAATTCGTATCTTGTTATTTTCTCCGGATGCATGGACTAAATTTTTCTTGAAAGGAAAACTACGCATTTCATAACACCATGTAGAAAGCTTCCGAGTACATATGCATCGTGTATAGAAGCGATAGAAAAAGAATACTCAAATTCTAATTCTAATTTTTCTGTGGTTGGTCATAAAAAATCTGAACTGCGTGAAAAATAAGAGCACTTAGTATTATACATCTCTTAAGCTGCTTTATTTGTCTTTGCAAAGTTGGTGATTGAGCACCTCCTCAAATAGTTCTGAATTGTGAACAAACACTATGTACAAAAACACAAATTCAATTTTTTTGCATTTTCCCCGAAAATCGAAAAAAATTTTCCTTTTCATATAGGCATCCAACCAGCACAGATTTTGCTTAGTCTGTCAGAAGAAGCCGGGCAAGAAACCTGTAACATTGGCTATCCACTCAAAGCGTGCGTACTCTACTTGGGACCGAATCGAATGATTATTCGATTATTCGAATAAATCATTCGAATGCGAATCATTCGAAAAGTCGAATATTCGAAAACCTCAATTTTCGAATATTATTCGAAAGTCGAATATTCGATGGTCATCAGTTCGATCATTCGATGGTCATCGAATATTCGAATCATTCGATGAACATCGAATATTCGAATATTAGATAATTTGAATGATGAAACCAGAGCTCGGCGCAGATTGTATGGAAGCAAGCTGGATTTGGTTTTTGGGGCGGAAAAGCAAAAGGATGTCAAGTTTGTGACCAAAAATTGCACGTTTTTTAGTCGGCGTTTCGTCTTTTGAGAGTTTTTTACGTTTACGGCTGACAGTCAAAGGGGACTTCGTTTTTAAGAAGCCTAGAAACGATCTCCCTGGATGCCTAGCACGTCACTGTAAGACTTTCTATCAAGCTGCAACTCTCAATGGGGAGTGTACAATACCGCTCACATAATGTACAAAATTTCCATAAATGCCGCAAAATTCTGAAAATTCCGCGAAATTTCGGAAAGTTCGCGAAGTTTCGCGAAATTCCAGGAATTTCCGGAATTTTCGGAATTTCGCGATATTCACGGAAATTTTGCACATTTTGTGAGCGGTATTGTATAGACGCCGTAAAACCTAACTGCCCGCGTCGTGCCTTGAACACCAGCGTAAGCGAGCGGTCGTCGCGAACGAATGTCGGCGTTCACTATATTCCAAGAAATCTTTCTTTAACTTTCACGTTGTTCTCGTCAATGCAGGGTATATTGACGAAAGCTCCTTTCAAAAGTTTAAAAAAATATGTGCGGAAAGGGTGCGCGCTCACTGCTGCTTGCGAAAGGCCTGTAGCGCTTCGGGACCAGATGTTCTCAGCCGCGTCGCACGTTGGTGTTCAAAGCGACGCGTGGGCAATTGGATTTTACGGGGCCTGTATATTCTTTGTGGTCCTGGCGCAGTAGTCTATACAGTAATCGTGATGCGCCATTTCTGTTGCAGATGTAGCTGCTATCGATTTTTCGGTATCTAGGGACGCCAGATTTTGATGTTCTTCAACAGCGTCTATCGTTCTTCATGAGCGTCATTGAGTAAACTTTGAAATTTAAACTTAGAGTTTAAACGTTTGGATCTACCGTAACACGGCTTTATGACAGCAACAGGGAAAAGTAAAAAATGAATAAAGGGTATTCGAAAAATCGTGGCGATGGCGCGACCGCGCGCGACACGCACGCACCTCTCGACAACCGCATTTTCTAGGTTTTCTTCTCTCCTTGAATGGTTTTTCTGCTTACGTATGACAGTATTCATACATTGGAAGAGACTGAGCTGAGAGTTGAGGTGATGCCGTTTTGTATGAGTGTTTTCTGCACCTGTGGGCTCAAAGACGCAGTCAAATCCGTTGTCACGATTTTACAAACGGCCTATACCATATTTTTGATCTGCGCACCGAACAACCTCCTAGACCAAGGTTTAACAAGGTTTCAAAATTTTGTAGATACCGGGCATTACATAACCCCCCCCCCCATATGCCTGCTGAAAGTATGAGCAAAATATACTCCGGAGGACTTTTTAGCTGCATCTCCTCTTTTGTACACTATTTCTCTTTCTCTGACCAAACTCAGATTTATCTCTGAATTCAACGATAACTATAACGCCCACCAAACTCAGAGTTATCGCAAAGCACAGCTGCGCGTTTGGTGGCACTGTTTCTTGTGCAGAACGATTTCGACAATGTTTTCCTACTAGGGATGAATTACCGATTACGGAGTCTGCCATATATCGCTTTCTAGATTTGGACCATTCAACTGTTGAAGGGGTAAGAAAGGTGCGAGTCAGCTCAGATATAACTCAGAGTCAAGCCAGAGTAACTGTGAATTCCGACCAGATTACTACCGACCCTGACGTCTAGTGCACGCTTTTCTTCATTCGCATTCGGAAAAGGTGATAGATGTGAAAGTGAACGTGAAGATGTTCCTGATATCGTCGCAGTGTTACTTCTACTCGACATCGTAAATTGAGGGCGTATTCAAGATAATGCATTAGTGACCGGAAGGATAGTGTTGTGTCAAGAAGTTTGTCGTTTGTTTTAGTGCGAGAAAGGGATATGGTAGAATCAGTCATTGTATAGTAAATATTTCCAGCAACGGTCTAGCTTATCGCATTGCCAACGAGAGGAAGGTTGCTTATTGCCACGAGTGTCGAGTCGAAAGTTGTGGGTAAAGCACTTATACAGTTCAACAAAGTGTATACTATATGTGTATCGTGGAGTTGTCGACGGCAGGGCTAGATGTAGAGAATCCGCGCGACGCGCTGAGATATACGTCATGTACTGCAGAGTAGTAGTCGCATAAAAGGGCACTACAAAGACCTACAGTACTTGTAAACTATGCGCTTGGTCATGTTATCATATCAGATAGACATTAATTTTTCGAATGATATTCGAAATTCGAATGATATTCGAAGGTCGACTGATATTCGATATTCGAATGATATTCGATATTCGAATATTCGAAATTTCCGATTTTCGAATATTATTCGATAGTCGAATATTCAAAATTTTCGATTTTCGAATATTATTCGATAGTCGAATATTCGAAATTTTTGGTTTTCGAATATTATTCGGTAGTCGAATATTCGAAATTTTCAATTTTCGAATATATTCGATATTCGAATACTCGAAAAAAATTTCGAATTTCCCCAAGTATAGTGCGTACTAGGAAAAGAGCTACGTAAAATTACAAAGCGTTTAATTTTTTCCCTGGACCCAATTCAATGCTTGCAATTTTGTGGAATACGAGAAAGCTATGATGAATTTCGAAAATGGTGCGACGTAAGTTCCGCTCCACCTAGTAGTTGCTTTGCTCTAAGCTTGCACTTCAAAGACAATATTAATGCAAATCTCGTTTACTTTGAGGTAAACGATCAAGGAGCCCTAGCTGAGACCCAAATGGCAGAACATGTATTCACTTCTGGCCAAGAAATTCAACTTTAAGCTCTCGCCAAGACCGTATTCTCTATAGTGCTCTGGAATGTTGTCGCTCCGCTGTGGAAGAATTCGGTCTGGGCAGAAATTTAGGATTGGTTTTTTTATGACTAAGAATGAATCATATCCGCCACTCACATAATAGCTTGTTTTCAGCCTGCGCTTGACTCGAAGAAAAAAGCGAAATCTCGGACTAACTAGTATTATAAAATCATCAGTACTCGTCGAATCATTTGAGTTCTCATCAACATGGCAAATACAACAGGATAGAAAATGTATGCCCTTTCTAGAGATAAAAGAGAAACTCACTCAAGTGAAACTCTTCCATGATAAGCACTCCAGAGCACCACAGAATTCATCAGATGTGGAACATTCATGAACCCGTTTCCGATTGCAGCTCCCTTAACAAATCAAGTTGTAAAACGTTCGCAACTCCGAATAGAGTATACCTGGAAATTATTGTTAGGAAAATCTCCTATCGAAATCCCTTCTACAATACGTTGGGATAGCATGGGGATGTATATGCCAGCATAGGATTCTCCGGTGAGATAAAATGTTCGATTTTTGTATCGAGGTTGTACTCTTAACAAACAACTATGAAAACTACATAATGAAAATTTCATGTAAGAAATTTTCTATTAGGATCACTTGTACAAAGGCGCCCCGAGAAGAAATGCGGGCAGCGGTTACAATAAGAATGCGATTTTTATTTCATAAAGATTACACTGGTGCAATGAATTTGCAGAACATCAATGCTTCAATGGCTCCCGTTTTTTCAATTAAACACCAATACCGTGAGACCTCAAAAGGCACATAACTACATCAATTTCCTAAGGTAAACAACTCTTTTGACCACTCAGTTGCCATTTGTATGACAGTCTAATTGCCCTTATTTGATTTTTGAAGAATCTGCTCATATTCCAGTTTTACCCCATCATTTCATTCATATCATGTCTATTAGGTTCCTCATGATTAATGCACGTTTTTTCTAAGTTCACAATCCAGAAGTTTATTCGTGAAAGGAAATCATTTTTCTTGTTATTATGGAATCTGAGAGTTCGCTTCTCCCAGTTTTTTTTGAAATATATGCTTTCGGTTTCGCCAAACTTTGTTCATCCTGGAATTCCATGATTTCAAAAAAAGAGAATTAAACTCGAGACATTCTTTTCCACTCTCTCTAAATACATAAGAAAGTCAAAATTGTTTTGATTTGCATAATGATGGCGAAATATTGTGATAAAAATGCTAACTGAGAGCGAATTTTCAAATAACTGAGAAGCGATGTTGGCCTCCTCTAAACTGCCGAAAAAAGTGGGCACTTACGTTTTCTGTAATATTTTCCAGCATAAATCTCATTAAAATCCAAATTTCACTTGGGCTAGAAGATCATTCTCCTAATGACTGCGTTTATAAAAAAGTTTGGCTGTGTAGCCGAAGGTTTGTGTTGTTTGCAACAGCGTTTAATCCGCTCAGATACGTTTTTTGCAGAGAATTACCTTAAAGTATGATTTGAATTTCATAATTTACGCATCAAACTAGAACCTGATAACTGAATTACTAAAAAAAAAGTAAAAAAAACGAGATCTACTATGCGAACGCCTTGCTCGTGTGGTTTACCAATTTTCCGACGTTAGAGCATTACCTGTTAAAGAAATCCTTTAGTGCAGCGTAATTTTGCGACGCTGTCTGATCGTCGTTTGCTTTGATGTAAGCATCTTGAGTGGTATCGTATGAAAATCCCACACCAATAGGAGATTCAAGGAAGAGCACATTTGCTTTCTTCAAAATTTATCAGTAATCAAGAAAATGCTTAAAAATCCCAGATACTCACCGCATTCCATGCGTACACATTTTCGTAGAGCGTGGAACCATCAAAATTCACATAAAAAGTGCCAAGTTCCTCAAACAGACCCAGAAGTGAGGAACACCCGGGACCGCCATTGAACCAGACCAGAAGTGGATCATCACTCGGAGATGATCGCGACTCGGTTAGCCTAGAAACAGAGTTCAGGAGGTGGTGCTTTTACATGCTGAATGTCGTTTTTTAAGGGTAAAGCAAGGGGAAACCCGTAAAGTTGTCACCCGGAAACCTGACGAAATTTTAAAAGGCACAACTCTCTTAGGAGCCCGATTTCAAAGGTCTACCGCAATCTTACCAGTTACAGGTGTAAATTAATCGTTACAGACACGACTAGTGCATAAATCTGTATGTATACGATCTCAACGTTTCAAAAAACAGATTCTTTGCGCACAAAAGCATAAACAATCGGTTTATTTACAACGAGTAAGCAATATTGAGACATCAAATTTACTGTGCTATCCGCGGCGATGATCAAAAAGAAAATTACGAAAATTTATGAAAAAATGAGGTGAACGAGAAGAGTTGTAAGCGATTTTCGATTTTAGGTTGCTCACGCGCAACCCGGGAGCATACTGAGGTAGCGAGGATCAGACAAAGTCATGAATTTGCACAATTCTCCCCTTTCCTCACTTGAATTTCCAAATTCATTCATAAATCTGTTCTTCAGATCAAGCTCTACCTATGTGTACTCACCCTAACCCCAGTTTTGCCAATTTTGCTTTGTCAAGGCTCTTGATGATATAAACCAGCCTTTCTTCGCATTCCGCTTTTTATTTGGTTTTCTATTGTCTTTTCTTCACTTCAATCCACTTTTTTTCGTTGCAAATAACCAAGGCTTCTACAAACACTACAAAAGGTATCGTAATCTTCTGCCATGTCAAGGGGATTTCGTTTTTGAATTTTTCACATGCCACTTCGTGCTGAGCTCCGCCAAGAAAGACGTGTTTTGTTTGTTGAAATGATCAAATTTGTTTGAATTGGATCAAACGCAGCCTGTTGAGAACGGAGTCGTATGAGCATAAAATTCTGCTAAAAGACTACTACAGTAAGCTATTTGGAATTTGAAGGTTATGCTACTTAGCAAAATCAGAATATTTTTCGTAATAGATCCAGAACAAATTTTACACCAAAATGCTAAGGATGACAAAGGTGGAGGTTAAAAATTTACTCACTGGATTGGTTTCCTTCCTCAACTAAAATGCTACGGTTGAAAAGATAAAGCCAAATGGCTTCAAGTAAATTAAATTTAACCAAAAGTTCATACCTGTGAAAAAGTTCTTAAAAGCAAACTCCTATTATTTTGATATGTTTGTGAATTTCAAAAAGCTTTATTCTCTGACATGAGAAGTCGTTTTAATGCACAAAAGAAGAGCGCGTGGAGGAAATGAAGGAATCCTGATTTGATTCATTTTTATTCTTTTCAGCGCCTCTCCCCCTTTCCGTTTGCCCTTCTCTCCGCTCCTTGGTCTTTGTACTTCATCATAGCTGTTATCTTTTTCAAGATAAGATTTGTAAAAGTTATTCTACATATGAAGTATCAATCATGACAGCAAAAGATGTAAAAACTGAATAACATGCTCTACAATCGAATCAACATTTTGAGAATATTATGTACAATTGCTCAAAAGCTAGAAGTTGCATAGCATTCCTCTCAGAGACAAAATCGGTGGATTTTCGTAACTATCCAGCTTTCTACTATATTTGGTTTACAGACATTGCACAGCTCATTCTCCATCAAACAGCTCACTTTCCTTACAACCAGTCTATTCACTACAACTTGTGTCTATAATATAAGCTGCTAGCTGCCTTGTAGGTAAAGGAGGGCTAAGAAACGCGCAACTATTTGCGAGGAACCTATATATTAAAAAGCTTTTGTTCGCATAAATAATTTGGGGGCAGAAAATGAATATTATGAAATGGGCAAACCAACATGTAGTGCATTTGCCATGTTCCATTGTCGTTCGCATTCAGATAGCCGGAATACGTCTTGAAGTTGACTTTAAACTGGAGTCCAGGCATATCTACACGATCAGCTTCTCCAATACCCAGAACTGCTGAACAACAGCCGAGGGCAATCACAAGAAAGTATCCCCTCGACGCCATAGCTGTAAATGGCAACTTTAAGCAAGACGTTAGGCTTCTGACAGTAGAAAGTTTCAGTACGAAAGCCGTTATGCTGGTGGTGCTTTCTTATCGCGATTTATGGTTGTGTGATGACTTCATTTGCGGTTCCTGCTAGGCATTCCAGATAACAATTCCACTATGTTGACCAGCTGAGTAATGATAAACTTGTGTAATGTCTCCCCTTTGAGCACATCCTTGAAAGATCAGTCTCATTATCAATGAAAGGCGACAAAAGAAGGGAGAGAAATCATTTTTCTGAGAAAAAAATCTTGTAGTACTTTAAATTTTGGGAATAATACCAAAACAGCAAAAAGCAAGTTTTGCTCCTTAAAAAATTGACAATGGAAACAATTTTTTTCAAATTTTCTTACTAGCTCAGTCACAATTCAGAAGATTACTTCGTAGTCAACTGAAAATATTTCTACAATTATTGTAATGACAGTTTCCACGGTAGAATAATTTCTGCACGAGCACGAATCTGGATTCTAATTCAGATAATAATGAAAGAATTTTTCCATGCTTGAAATGTACAGGTGGAAGTCAAGCTTTTGTAAGTTGTTATATTTGGAAGGCATGGCAAAGAAAGCGCATTGAATTTATATCCAAAAAACTTGAAATTGATAACTTGTGATTCAGTCTCTTACCTCAGGAAATCCAAAAAGTAATTGCTTCGAAATACTTTGCTTATCTCGCCACATAAGTGCTTCCTAGCCAAGTTTTGTTTCAGGCAACCATTGTACACAATGGAGTTTTGCTATTTGGTTACATCCAAAGTTAATTATTTTCACATTTATTTTTGTAGTTTGTAATATCTCATTGCTCATTTTACCTTTTCAAAGAAATGTTGCTAAATTCGAGATTTTTGGAAAACTTTTCAAAATCATTTATGACAACGTAATTCACGCAAACCTTGTTTGGGTATTGTGAGTTTAAAAGTGCTATGTTGATTGGTTCACCAATTGTTGTGATGAGAATCTCTTGGGATTCCTTTTGCTATTTTTTATTCAAAACACTCGGGAATTGACATGTAATGTATACTGCCTCAAGTAAAGTATCTGTAATCAAAAAAATTAAAAATGCGAGCGCTTGATCCATGCGTCGTTGATGTCGCATCGGACAGTCTGCATTGTCAATAGTTCGCTCAGGCCAAGAGTCACCAGTGATTGCACGGTCCCGCTTTCTACTGATTTGTGATCGGAATGAGCACATTTTGAACTCTCCAAGTGCCAATGTATAAACATCATCGCTGGAAAGGAGAGCGCAGCCCAAAACAAAGCTTTGCACTTTAATGCTACAAAAAACTACATATTTTAGAGTGACAATGTCAAACTACGAAGAGCAGAACTGGAGAAGGGTGAACTTTTTACTCGTCATTTCGTGGTTTCCTCCCCACTCCTAGTTTTCGAGATACCGTAAAACTTGTCTGTGCAATCCGAAAAATCTATATAAGCCCATGCGCGTGTAACAATTCCTAAGTTTCAAGTATAATTCAATCTTCTTTGATTCTTCTCTTTGAAAGAATGCTTCTGCTTAACTCATCCTTTCTCTCTCTCGCTTAACCAATCGCAGCGGCAGCGCCGACCAATAAGAGGCGCGCGATAATTAGGCTGCTAAGGCTAATTATCGCGCGGTGCAGATGGGCCGTCTCCCATAAAACTCAACATTTGAAAGCACCTACAATGAAATGTGAAAATGAACAAAAATTGTGAAAATTGTGAAATAAATTGGCGATGGACGCTTGCGTCAGGCGGAGAGCACCAAGTTAGGCGACCGTCGCCGAAATCAACTGGGGTGCATCACCATATCCCGTTTCAGAGTGAACGAATTTTGTATCTGAGGGGACTATTCGACTCAGCGCATTTTCTGGTATAAGGGGTGCCACAGTTTGATTACGGTAGGTATATGGTTTTTGGTTTTTTCACAAATCTCTTTAAATTTCTGTTTAGATGGATTACTCAGTGTGCCGATAACATATACGTTGATTTCTTGCTGGCGGCACTTCATATGGTATTGTAGGAGAAAAAATTCACTTTGCACTGATATGGTCAAAAACTTGCTTGGAGTGATTATTGGAAACATTGAGCGAAGTTTGCAAAATTATGCATTGTATCATCAATAGTTGCATTTTTGCAATATTCATGTTTGAAAGCTTCCTTCTTAGGATATGGCATTGTGAATACTTAGCACATTAAAACATGGTTGCCCATCATGAAGTCCGAGGTATAGAGTCATAGAGGCTGCTGAATTGGGTACATCGGCTATAAGACCTCCATCATTCCAGCTCAGATGGCTCAAGCTTTAGATGACCAAACAGCGCCTCGAACTCATAACAACCGAGCCATCGATTATGTGGATAGCTTCGTTGGCATAGTATATGTCGTATATTAAAATGAATCAACGCTTTGTGAAAGGTTAGCTGTTCTTTCTTCAGTACAATTCACCATATCCCACAAATAGTAAAACCCCTAAATAAAGAGCTTCACCGCTTGAGCAAATAGGGGCGACGGGCGAGAGAGGCAAGTGTCTGCAGCTGAGAGCCTCATCTAACCTTTTAATTTGGAGGATGGCGGTTCAAGGCCTGATGCCAAGGAGCACACGTAGATTTAAAACGACATAAAAATATTTTTACTCAAGAATTATGGCCAATAGAAATTACAATTCATCTTGATAGACGGCAAGTTTCTAGAAAAAAGCACTTTGAAAAGAAGAAAAAATTCCAATTCTTGGTTTTTGAACCTATCAGCTATTCATCGCCCTATTTATGCTTCCGATGTGTTTTGCGCATTTCTGGCGTTTACATTACGACACCTATCTTATTGTAATGTCCATTAGCATCTTATGAGGTTCTCTGCCTTCTCATTCCTACACCCTCCATAAAATCACCTAGAGGGTAATTTAGGGTTCTCACTTGACCACGTCACCGGCAACTGAGCAGCTACACTTCAGCACAAGCACACAGACGGGAATAACTTAATCTTATGTCTCCGTTGTTAGATAAGGTATGTAGCGCAAGACTAGGTTATGCAGCACATCTGGGTTGAATACTGCTCAACAGACTAACGAAACATTCATTACATACTGAACGATCAAATCTTCCTCAAAACAAACAGATCTTGGGGGTCTGACACTTCCTTGAAATCATCCTCAGTTGTGGTAATTGGATGAGGGTTGCCTCCTCTGTACGTAGCCAACCATTGAAAACCTGAACAACCTCCGACATTTCTTAAAGCGCGGACTACCTTACCTGTCATAATCATAGCTAAACGCATCCGACCGTAAATACGATGCGCGTTATAGTAAATGGTATCTTTACCGCGAGGAAGACCGAGGTAGAAAAGACCTTAACAAAACCTTTAACAACTTATTAGATATTGAGGTGATGGAAAACATGGGTAGAACTTCACAATTTTGAACGATTTTTATTTTTTATGTATATTTGGATGACTGAAATCACTAATGTTGGTCTAGTTTCTGTCTGTTGAAGCCGAAGAAGTCAAACAGGGCGCTGTTATATTTGTTCGGTTGAAAATTCTGTCGTTTCATTTTCGAAACACCGTAATCTCTCGCTACTGGATCATGCTTTGCTACAAAATAGAAAAAAAAACTTTTACTTTATAGCTCTTAGCGAGTTTCTCACAAACACTGGTTGCAGAGACAAAATTGGATAAATGACCTGCATCAATCATTAATCACCCTCGCAATGGGCAATTTAGCAGGCGCGACTTTTCTAAAAAAAGGGGCTCGATTTCCAGTCGTTACTTATTAGGTTGTCCGGAAAATAATGTCGCATGGCATTCTACCGCGACAGAATGACCATGAAAAATAGCGAATGGGGTATTATTTGATAGAGCAAAGCAAGCTCTACAAGATAGTTTACAGAATTACGCAGAAATCGTGCTCCACCTGAAGTTCGAATCTAAAATGTAAAAAATTTTAGATATCCGAAAAATCGTCTCTCGGTTCATAAACGCCTTATGGATCTCCAATTTGCACAGGCATGTACTCTCTACACTAGACATTCACTTGTGTAGTTTGCGATATTTTTCCTTGGCCAGAGTACGAGAAATAGAAATAGGTCAAAAGCGCGAATATCTCGCGTTTTTCGGGTTTTTTGCAAACAATTTGATTTTTCTCGGAAACTAGCGCTTGCCTAAAGCTGGAAATTCATGGTTATACTCCTAAAGGTTCATGCTACAGAATCACCCATGTGAGAGAAGCTCAGGATTGTTTTGACAGAAATGTGCCGAATTTCGTTTTCTCAATTTTCAGCCATGGAAAAACCGCGAAAATGTGCATACCAGTGTCTCGTATAGTGAGTCCATGCGTGAGCAAATTAGGGGAAGGGGTTCCGAGGACTTTTCTGAACAGAGATACGATTTTTTTCGTTTTTTAGATCTTTAGTGCCTTGTGAAATTTGGCTACAAACTTCACGCAAATCAAACCTGGCGCAAAGACTTGAGCTACATTTTGTAGAGCTTGTTTTGATTTATCGGTTGGTACCCCATTTACTTACTTTCGTGCTCACCCTGCCGCGATTTTGCATGTTAACACATTGACGACCGAGCCTTTCTTGGACCAGCCAACATTTTTCAGATAAAATCACGTACAATTCTATCTACAGTGCACCTACAGTAGCGTTGGAATACCGAAAACAAGCAAAAACAGTAGAGGTTGTACCTAGATTCAGCATAAAAGCAAACTTCCAGAGTTGGTTTGAAACAAATTTGTAGCCATTCCAATGGGAGTTATGGTGTGTCAAGCCCTGACACACCATGTGTGTCAAGCGGTCGTCAGTGTGTTAAAATAAAAAGCGACATTAGTTTCCGGACAACCTAATATATTTTTGAACTCGACTCCAAACGGCATTTTGAGACCAAACATAATTGACTTAGTGATAAATAGCTATGTTCAGAAAAATAAGACAAGCTATAAATTCTAGAAGGAAGTTCACATGACATCAGAAATGACTCGAACCCCCTCTTCTTCACCTCCTCACTTAACCTTAGCTGTAGGTCATTTTTCGTCATGGCTTCCCTGTAAGCATAGCAAATGGAGCGAATTGGATAGCAGAGCACAGGGCGCACAATTTCGATTCTATCCATCTAGAAAACATTAGAAAGTACTTATTTACGAAGAGAATGCGAATAAAACACAATTTCTGGTGTTTTTCGTTTTCTGTCGAAGATTTAGCGCACCTATTGTATATTAACCGCATGGTTTACCAGTTTACCCAAGTGTTGTATAATGACAACAATTCATAAAAAAGATGGGGAAGAAACACTAGCCATGTTTACCCTTTACATTCCACATTATCTCACTTGTGGTACTATTACAAACAAGCACAAAGTTTTACCTGTTTTGCGTTAATGATGAGAGAGATGCAGTATCAAACGACGTAAACTGAGTCTGGCTAGCACTAACACATAGCAAAAATCAAAAACAAGTATCAATTTCCATAATTCGATCTGCCGATTTGGAAAAAAATGTTCTTTTTACGACTCGGCAGGAGAGATTCGGGAGTCATTCTATACAGCGGAGAAGAAGCTGCATAGAATGACACCCGATTTGTTAACAGGTTGATTTTATGTAAGGTTTGCTTGAGCAATTTTGAATTGAGTGACATCAAAGATTGTAAAAATGCTGAGATGACAGTTGGAAATGCCAGAGGCGTACATTGCATTTTTTTCTGTCCATCCAAGTGTTACCAGAGCTCCAAAAGTAGAAAATGAAAATCAATTAGTGACACACAAGAGAAGCCGTGATTTCGATTGTTGGGAAGGAAAGAAGGCCTAAAAGCGCTTGTATATCCTCATTTCATGTTTTATGATAGGTCGAGAAAACGGCACGAATTTTGTGCCAACAAATACCAGATCGGATTAAGAGTGCTACTAGAACTTTTGTCATTTTGCATCTGGGGCATTCATTTTTTAATATCATATGTATCAAGATGCGAGCTACGAGCAAAATCATTTCTGATTATGCTCGCACCAAATCCTACCATCTTATATATAAAGCTGAATGTCTGTATGTCTGTCTGTATGTCTGTCTGTCTGTATGTCTGTACGTATGTGCGGAATAGAAATTTTTATTTCTGAACCGATTCGGACCAAACTTGGCACACATATACTTCGGGGCAGGGAGCGTGTCATAGGCTACTTTTCGTTATCGATCGATATCGATTTTATCGATTTTTTGCATGGCTTATTCAGAATCACGAAAGAAATTTTAGTACCTCAAAGCTCACCATTTGACAAAGCTCAACCACAAGAGGATCACAGACTGCTGCTTTCGCTACCAAGGCAACACAGCTGTTCATTTTATCTAGAAAGTCTCTTACAAAATAACCATAATGACTCATTGCATGGTATCTTTATCTACATATAACTAGTAAAGCATGGCGTTTCTTGAGCATAATGTGCTTTTCACTTTCGCTACTCTTTAAAACCCTCACGGGGGTGATCAGCATGCTCGATTACCCCCCTGTGCAAAATCCTAGCCCCCTAGCTCAAATTTTGCAAAAAATCGGTAAAATCGACATCGATCGATAACGAAAAGTGGACTATGACACGCTCCCTGCCCCGAAGTGTATGTGTGCAAAGTTTGGTCCCGGGCGGAGCCGGGTTTGCCATCTAGTAGCATATAAAGTGCGGTGGGTTAATTGCTTCAGATTCTGCTGCAGCTTCTTCTAGAGGTACTATTGGACAAGCGGATTACAAGAAAATACATATTCTGAAAGATCTTTTCGCGCGGCTAAGGATTAATTTTTCTATGTGCTTGCAAAAAAACGGCCACCAAATTTGCGAGGGCGCCATATCTAGGCTCTTTTTCTACTAATTTTTCCGGGCTTAGTAAGTCGAACTAGCAGCACTTTGCGTACAGTTAGATCTTGATAAGCTTAACTTAAGCTGTACACCACCCAATTCTTGCTTTATACTCATGCAAAACCGTATCGCATTACTTTCAAAAAACAGTCGGGTTGTTTTCAGCTCTAAATGAACAGTTTGTGCAGGTTCGTCGCCCACAGTCTAATGTATATAACGCCAAAGGACGAGTGCGCCAAATGATCAGAAAAGTTATGACAAGTTAGCAACGTACTCCGAAAAATTTTTTGGGGTGTATCTCCAGATTTTCGCGGGCCTATAACCCCCAAAATCTAGAAAAAGGGGACGAGGCGGCAGCCACGCTCCGAAAAAAATTTTTACAAGGCCAATCTGAATTTTTAAAAATTTTCAAAATTATTTTTATTGTTTACAAGAATAAAAGTCACTTGGACATTTTTATAACCCGTGTAAGTAAATTTCAAAAATTGAGCGACCCATACTCGGGAGGGGGGGGGGGAGAGAGGGTGCCCCCCCTCTCAGTCCGCCACTGGTGTATATATGCTTGATTCTAATACAGGTGTATTATGCCTTACCGCAATATAAATCAATATTTTCTCCCTTCATCGCAAAAAACTGCGGTAAATCGATAATGAAATTGGAATCTTGAATTGGAAAGATCAAAAGTCGAACACTGAAGATCAAATCTTGTAGAAAAATTTCCGTATGAATCTGTTGCTACTGTCAGCAGCTTGTATCGTTTCATCTACTGAAACTTGTTCAAAGAGTATGTGCAAAGATACGAATTCACTTGCGTTTTGCTAGGTGACGTTTGGTATCGTCGTCAACTTCTATCGTATTGGTAACTCCCACTTGCTTGCGACAATTTGACATCAAAAAGTTAATTTGATTTTCAATTTCGGTTATAAGCCTTCAATTGCGGCGAAATTTGCACATTCGTATGCGCCAGACATCACGTGTTCCACCTTTCATAATCAAAAAATGTTGCCACCTCCTGTCTTCAGCAAACACAGCACTTTCTGCGCCTCTCTAAGGTCACCAATTGGATCTAGCGGATCACCGAACCTAAGGATTAGATTAATTTTAGCTGAACAAGAATGCGACAGACTACCTTCCCAAACCGCTATGTTCGATGGAAGAAAATGAGACAGCAAAATCGAATTTTTCCAGATTTCTGAATATTTGGATGAATATAAAGGGTCTGTATACGCTAAAGCTCACACGTTCCAATCTTCTGCGAATTTGATAGGATGGATATATTTGATTTTCTCCGTTCCAACAATTTTTATATCTTGGTATTCAACAGTAAGTACCTAAAATATTGTCTGAGCATCACCGCTGACTAGCCTGAAAGAAGGTGTTGAATCGATAAGACAATGTCAAAGGGTATGATTGCAGTAAACGATAACATCATGCATGTGAAATGCCAAATGACCTGAGCAGCACCACTGCGAAGTGCTTGTACTTCCACCCACGGCCATAAAGATCCAATCACAAAACCAGTCATATTTACTACGGGATAGTCTTTCAAAGCATAATGAACTGCTACTGGAATCCAGCGGATAGGTCTGCAGAAGAGACGAAAAGCCGCTTACACCCATCTTCTCCATAGCCAACAACTTGTTTAGGAGATGTCATCATCGACTGAATGTTATTCCAAACAACACTTTGTGGTTTTGCTTTGTCGTTGTAATACGCGCTCTATAACAGCAAAAATTATATTCTAGTGATTTCCTGAAAGAATCTACGCCAAGAAAAATCAAAATTCCTTTCCTGAATCTTTCAGTTTTGGCTTCTGACCTTTCTTTATACCGTTACCTATTTCGAATGCTCACTAGTTTTGCAGTTGTCAAGTGGCGCAAAGCTACTCTTTTAGAGATGGCGATGCCATGTGAAGTTGAAAGTCAGAATGGCTTGTATTAGGATTTCCACGATAACTATCTTGTTACGCTTGATTAGCTTTGAAACCGACACCGTCCACCCTCAGTGAGGGTGTTGAGCTTTTGGCAGCATATAATAGTAGGGCCCCCTATCAATCCAATGCCCAAGTCGCGGCCCAAAATGTCGCTTCGGAAGCGAGAAAATCGTTTTAGCGAAGATGCACGGGGACCCCCATCCATGCCCGCCCGTATGTGCGCGCCCATCCGATCACCGTTCCGGAAAGCAGGCCTGTGGGTCCTCCGGAACGGAGATAGTCAGGGTTTTCGCGCATTCTCGACTACATATTCAGATTTAGGGACATAAAAAGGCTCCGAAACGACATAAACCTGGAAGTCGAAAATCTGGGTGGACGGTGCCTTTAAGGCAGGCATGCATTCGGGGTTTTAAAGAGCAGCGAAAGTGAAAAGCACATTATGCTTAAGAAACGCCATGCTTTACTAGTTATATGTAGATAAAGATACCATGCAATGAGTCATTATGGTTATTTTGTAAGAGACTTTCTAGATAAAATGAACAGCTGTGTTGCCTTGGTAGCGAAAGCAGCAGTCTGTGATCCTCTTGTGGTTGAGCTTTGTCAAAATGGTGAGCTTTGAGGTACTAAAATTTCTTTCGTGATTCTGAATAAGATTGACCGGCGAAACTCAGGTGTTCATTCTTACTTATGTTTCTTGCAGACAAACAATTTACCTTATCGATTCGAATCGCACACATTTGGTTATAGGATCGAAGTTAAGGGGTGGCGGTCAAGATGAACGATAGCATGTGCCAGCCGCCAGCTGGGTACCGTACGCGGTGCGCTGATCGCTCCGCCCCTTGTTAATTAGCCTAGGAATATTATTTCGTCAAGAAATTTAGCGAGTAGGCAATTGAGCGACGAATTTTGGCGAATAAACGAACAGGCGTTGCAGCTATTGAAAAACTCTAATATTTCGTTCATGCTTCTTCAGTTGGTTGCAATTTGGATAGCAGTAGATTTTAAAATTTCATTTAAATTGAAAATCAGTTTTCAGATCATTTTCAATATAAAATTAGTTCGCAAGCTCTTTCGAATGTATTTCAATTATTTGCTCCTAGTAGGCTTGTCCAAAATGATTTTTCATTGCAGGTATGGGGAAACTGTTTCGAAAATGCTTGGAAAAGTGTTTTTCCCTATTCACATCTGTTACCATATTGAATATGCTTTGTTGTGCACTCTCAAGTTTAGTTCAAAAAGAAGTCAGCTTATCGAGAAATATTATCATCATTGCTGAAATGACCAACACCATTATCTCTTTTATCGGAAAAGTAAGTTTTAAAACCTTAATCATAGCTAAAAACAGAATAAAAAACAAAGCATTGTAGGCGAATTTCGTTTCACGCAAACTAACTCGTTTTGCAAATATGTGGCCTCGATTTCAGGAAAATCATACTGCACTTATAAATTTTCGAATCCGCTTTGAATATCAAAACTCTTTTATTTTGCTTCCAAAAACTGCTATCCTCAATATAAATCAATCTGTAACTCAATCGAAATTGCGTCTGAACTAGTCGTAAGATGTGAGGTCATTCAAAAAATCATGCCTGAGGTGTTCTAGATTGATTTCACTATCCAGGAGTCACTCGGTCATTCATAGGTACATCAGCAAAAAAAACAACAACAAAAATCAAGACAAGATTCTGTAAATAGTCAAGCTTCACCCCCTCTTGCAACAAGCTTATATCTCACTGTTAAAAGTTATTTTTACTTGACGGTATCGTCCGAGAAACTCGTCCGCCGCAGTAGGGCGGAGCTTCGAGCGAACACGTTATTGCCAAATCATGACCCCGCGCGCCACTGGTACCGGCTATCGTTCATCTTGACATATACCCGAAGTTAAGCACCAAGGCATAGGCTGATGCATGAAAACGAGTAAATCAGGGAGGTAAATACATTCTCGGTTGCCTATAGGCCTCAGCGCTTTCTAAAAAAATTGAAACCCTCCCTTTTTGACACCGCAGATTTCTACCAAGCCACAAAAATGGGGAGTTTCAGTTGATATTTGTTCGCATAAGCAATATGATCGAATCCTATCAGACTGTTAAGAGTGGACACAAACCCACGAGTAAAAATTTCGCAAAGCTTAAGATTTTTCAGCGGCTTGATGTTTCTTTCACTTAAAACATCCCGTGGGACACACAGCTTTAAAACAAATTATATTGGTAGAAAGGGATAGTTTGTGTAAGGTCGTCATTGGTTCTGTGCACAATTCAATTGAAAGTCTCGTACGCTGTAGCTGAATGGGTCTACAATAAATACATTGAGTTCTTAAAGTATGTATGCACTACTTAAATGTTAATATCTCTTTTTTCCTCAAGGTTTTTTGCATGTAATTACATTTCGCAGAGCTGGCTTCAGCTTAGCATTACAGTATAGCGCGAGTCACCGACTTTCAGTGCTCTACGATTACAGTGGAAACTTCCAGCACAAAGCGCCAGTGTGACCGTCCTAAATAATCTAAGTTGTATATCACAGTTTTCGTACACCCTGATTTTGAAAGTCACTTCACAGATTTCCAGGCTGTCGATTTATTTTTGTGGAACAATGAAATAACAGCTGTGTTACACCTGGCATGATTCATAAGCGAAGATTACGGTAAAGTACAAGCTTCACTTAAATCAGCCATCCTAAATGGCTTAATATAAGAAGTTTAAACTTGTATGGTTTTGTATCAGCAAAATATTGTCATCGATGGTATCCTCAAAGCTTCTGCCTTAACCCCACAATGTTGATGAGGAAACTTCAAGCTTAAGTCGAAGCAGCTCTATACAATGTTATGATGACAACAGACTATGTGGCAAGAGAGGTATCAGCGATAAAGTGTACATATACTTTCGAGACACTATGTACTTATCGGTTTTTCAACCGCAATAAAGTACAGGTAACTGACTATATAGACAATAATTGTCGCGGCTCGCGATCGACCGCTCCTCACAGCATGTGGCCGGGAGCACCGTGTTGCCGCGCGTCTCGGTCGTTAGCACGGTCGCCGCGCTTTACGGCGGCTACCTTGTTCGCTCCGAGACCACACCACGTAGGCACGCCCCCAGCCACTGCTATAATTATCGCGTACGCGCGCCATTGCGGCCTGTTTCGTCTTATCATCTTACTACTATCGCCGTGCCGCTTTCATTATTGATTGGTTGGGTTTCCACGATATCGTCGTCGTGTCTACGTCCCCGTGCCTCGCGCGATTGGATGGATTGTTGATGAATTGTTTGGATGAACACGCGAGGATAGAATTCCAGGATGATGAACATCACGAAGCGCCGTGGTCGCGCAGGAGTCGTTGGGAGCTTAGTTCGATGTAGCTGGTTAACATCATGGGGTCAGTATTGCCGTGCCGTAGTTGCTGCCTTGTCGGCGCGCGGCCGGCCTGTGGGTAGCTCCCTTGGATGCCGGGAGAGTGTGAGAGTGTGTTATTGCGTGAGTGTGAGTAAGCTAGAGTCCCCGTCGGTAGCCCGGGTTAGAGCTTAACTCTCCCCGTGGTGAATGTATATGTTTTATGTCGTGTATTCTTTGTGTGTTTAGTTTTCAGTAAATTTATGTATGTTTATTGTTTCACGAGCAGTGTAGGCGTAACGCGCCGTTGTGGGCAGGGCCCACCCGCAACCGCGGAAGTCCTTTGGGGACAGGAGCTGCGGCGCAAGGCAGTCGAGCGCTAGTTGAGGGGGCGCAGAGCCCACCGAGCCGCGACAGTAATCGCTTCAGTTCCAAAATACCATTTTTTTTGGCTTGCGACAAGCAGCTACAAGTTAGAATGGCTGACACAAGCACAGGGGGGGGGAGCATGCTGATTACAAAAGTATTATTAACAGGTCCAAGCGGAGTCGGGTTTGTCAGCTACTAGACCATATTTCTTTTACACTCAGGATAAGTTCTGCTGCACCGAGTAAAGCAAGCAGGCTCTGGTATACATTCGATAGCGCAAAGCAAGCTCCACAAACAGGGTCAAAGATTTGTAACAAATCTGAACCACAAAGTTTGAAGTCCTAAAGATCCAAATGCCCGAAAATAATTGAGAAAATTATAACTCCATTTGAAAAATGCTAAGAACCTGCAACTTGGCCAGAAATACTGTTTGCACCAGGGGCGGTATGCAACAATCGCCCGTCCAACAAGTTACCCGGACAGGTAGTTTCCGCTTCATAGCTCGGTACTCTGGGGATCTGTGTTCTTCCTTGTTTGTTCATCCTTGGGAGGCTCTACTACCCGAATATTGTAGCACAATGATTAGCAGCACTTTGCTGTATAAGCTGAGATAATTCGTTATTTGTATGATCCCGAACGGGATCTCCCACTGATCACGTTCTTTTTTAAAGTTATTTATATCCGTAAAAACTCAAGGAAAACGTCACAGAGTTTTGCTGTCCAATTATTACGACAGTGCTACGCATGTTTGTGAAAGAAATAAGTGAAAAATCAAGTTGACAAAATCTTCGCTGAACCTGTGCTCGCGAATTGGGCTTTATCGAAAAACACAAAACTTGCACATTTTATCTGTGCTACTAAAATCATGCGTAGCACTGTCGTAATAGATCGAAAGCAAAACTATGTGACGTTTTCATTGAGTTTTTGCGGATATAAATAACTTTGAAAATGAGCGTGATCAGTGGGAGATCCCGTTCGGGATCATACAAATAACGAATTATTTCAGCTTATACAGCAAAAGGCTACTAGTCATTGTGCTACAATATCACGGTAGTAGAGCCTCCAATAGATGAACAAACAAGGAAGAACACAGATTCCCACAGCACCGAGCTATGAAGCGGAAACTATCTGTTCGGGTAACTTACCCGGACGGGCGATTGTTACATACCGCCCCAGATTATCATATGTACACTTAAGTTGCCCAGGAATCGAAAGAATGAATTACTTTTGCCAAAATGATGTTGGACTGTGTATGGCTCCCTCTTCGGCTTCTTCATGCCAATTTCGATTTTTGGAAACTGCTATGGAACTTCAGAAACTTACGGTTTTACTATTTAAGGCTTGTGGTATAAAGCTATCAACTAAATTTCGCAGCCTTTTTCTCTTCAAGCATGACACATTTGAATTTTGCCGTTATGTAAGCTCTGACTTAAGCTACAAGCACAACTGCTGTTCCGTCATATTCTGACGTGGAAGTGAGGAATAAACCCATCATGGATTTGGCTGACACTTGGCGTAGGGTGAGGGAGGGGGGTGTCCGACATGCTCATCATGAAAACAACAAAAAAATTTGCGTGGTAAGGTCTTTTTTGTGAGACCGCGGTACTTTTACGATATGGGGTTTGGCCTTGAGCACGAAAAGAGAATTAATCGAAAAAATGAATATGATTTTCGTATTCAGCAGGCAAGTAACCCCCTTACGCCAAGTTTCGGCGAATTTTTAGATTCTGATATCATAATCATTGACGATTGGCACTTAGCAGCCTTGCGTAGAGCAGCTCGTCCAATTTCGCGAGGATCACCAGTTGCCTCCAAATTCCATTTTTTTTGTTGAGTGAAATAAAACAACATCTGGCAAAAATCTGTGTACAATCTTAGAATCGTTGTGCGTGATCTAAATTGCAAACGGCTTTATTTTGCTTATAAACCCCATAAATTCTCAAATTTTTTCAAAATTTCGAAAAACACCTGGATTTCTAATTTGTTACTAAAAAAGGAGCGGTTTGTTCCAATTGGTTAGCCCGCACTCCATTCTACACAATGAAATAAACGCGTCAAGATTAAAAGCGTAAAGTTACCGAAGAAGTTGCAAATTTAGTTAACAGCCCAATATACGATTGCTGACGTGAAAACAGCTCAGCACTGCCTCTGTAAAAACATGAAGATTTTTCGCCTTCTCGGTTTCAGGCAACCAACAAATACTACAATTGCGTACATTGATGTTTAATGCGCGATGTATGAGCGTGAGCAATTTAGGATTTTTGCAGGATTTTTTCACACTGAATTAATTCTTCCTATTTTTGGGCAGTTGGATCTTTTTGGTTTCAAACAAATCTTTGAGCTTCACCTTTCAAAGCTTTGCTCTATTGATATCGAGAACCTATGCGGAGGTAAGAAAAATATGAGTTGAGTTATTGTGGTTTTCTTCTCCTCGGTGCAAGACTTATGTTCCAACTTAATTCTAACAAAAAGCGCGAAAGAGGTGTAGAGATTTTCAATTTACCTGATTGAGGTGTGTGTATCCATTCAAAAGGAAAGCGTTTCTTTCGCTCTCTTCTATTGTCTTTGGAGGAATTTCAGGACTCGTTCTATTGGCTACAGACAACCACTCTCCGAAAATCTGAATCTCGAGAGGTTACCAATGGAATCGCATAAAAACGAGATCTTGCATAGTCTAGTTTTCATGATTTTCTGCAAGAGTATAGCTTATACATGTCAATCAACGTATGTGCCAATATGTGAAAGCGGGGTCATATAACCTCGTAGTGTTGTTGCTCTGAAATCTGGGTGCAAATTGAATGACACTTAGGAAGGACTTCCGATTTGGCTCAGAAAGCTCACATGCACACTAATAAATTCCCATACGGTGTTACCATTTATGGAATTGTGATTATAAAGAAGATAAACATTTTTTGGCCTTAAGATTGCCAAAAAAATTTCTAAGAACCTCTAGTTTGAGTAAGCATAAGCTCTGAAATGAATGGAACAGCTTAAACCTATTTAGCTGAGGTTGGTTTAGCAGTGTTGTCAACCACAAGTTTTACAGCATTTGGGAGAAGACCTTGCGAAAGATCGAAAGTGCTCACCTTTTTAAGCTTGAGAGAAGGCGAACAATTGACTTTTTGCGTTTTAGATTTTATCTCTACTAAAATGTAACCCTACGCTTCTTATGAACAAAAGTAGTAGGCTCATGTTGAGGAAAATTCTGCAATCGCTTTTTCAAGATTTTTGCGATGAAGAGCCACAACAAACGCAAACTCTGCACTCATTATGCATTTTTTGTTGAAATCTCGACCTTCCTTTGAAGCAAAACAGGTAGAGTAAAAAAAACAAGAGTTCAAGACCCAACCTCCTATTTTCAAGTGCAGCGGCTGATTGAATGTAAATCTACGGAAACTTATATGAGATACTAGCACCTGTTCTCAGACAGTGAAAGTGTTCAAGAAAGAAATTTTCTTGAAGACAACGCTAAAAGGTCAATATAGTCGAACGCAAATTGCACCTGAAAAGGTGCAATTAATTCAGTCTATATTCTAATGACCGCATCAACAAGTAGCTTTGTGAGACTTCGGCGCTGTTGTAAAATTTCTTTCGAAAATCTGCAACTGACGATCACAAATGACAGATGCCTCAGAGGATTTACCAAAAAAATATATCTTAGGTTGTCGGATGATTTCTGTTACACTTTTTTCCAATCTTTCTATGAAATTCCAGGAGTTTCCTGAAAACCCCAGATTCGATACGCTTAGCACATAGCAGGGTCTACCCAACAACATGGTTAAAGGCAGCGTCCAGGCAAGATCCATCCACCCAGATTATCACGCAGTTGTAAAGAGGGGCCCATGAGTATCCGATCTGCGTTGGTCCAATCCTTTGACGTGGCCTCTAAAAGGAGATACGGGCCTGTGATACGTATCACAAGCCGACCCTTCGTATCACAAACCACCCCTGAAGACGAGTGCTTACGCAGGGTGCGGTTGCATTGCAGTTGCATTGCAGTTGCACTGCATACTGCAATGCAACTGTATCCATGCAGTTGCAGCTCCTCCCGCTGGCATGACGATGGGGACAAGCGATTCGAAACTCGTCCACCTTTTGAAGAGAGAGTCCCCCAGAACCGGGTTTTTTGGGAGTTTTGAACAATTTCGACTTTACAGCTGTAATCAGGGCCACGGAAAGGCCCCAGAATGGCAGAATCATGAGATGCGAAATTTTGCCCGGACGCCGCCTTTAATGCCGCAAGTGCACTAACGACCAAAAGTTTACGGCAGCTTTGTAAAAGCACTCAAATTTTCTGTTTCTATTCTGATTTTTTTTCTCTGCATCTACTTATGCTTTTTCTCTTCCAGAAATTTTTTAGAACGTATTCTGGCATTGTCTCTTACATGGAGGCATTCGGTGCCTCTAGCGCTCTAGTAACGAGAGGTAAAAAAAAATTTTAAAAAAATTAAATAAAAATAAAAAATTCAGAAACTTTCCTAAATTCTTCTTTTTATGTGCATCATGTAGAAATGAATACAGAAAACTTTAAAATGACTTTTTGAAATTTTTTAAAAAAAGTTTTCTTCGTTAAAATGTCGATGATTGCAAAGATGGCGCATACTGACATTTGAACCGCTCAGAAAAACGTGTGTAGACTTGTATGTGTTATGTCCCCATATTTGCTAAACGCTACAGGCTATGTCCTACTCGATTACCATATTATGTGGTTTATCGCTCATCACCTAAAAGAATGCCAGCTCATTTACAAAAATGATAGCAGAACAGACTTTCAGCCACAAAGTGGGTGTTTTGCGCACGGATCGCGGATGCGACGGTACCGATGAATAAGCCTTTTGATCCTGCCCATATGCCGTAAATGTGAGATCTTTCCAAGGCTTCTGAGATTGAAAATTATAGTAAAAAGTGTAACAGAAAACATCCAACAACCTAATACTTTCAACCTGTAGTACCCCTTCTCATTTATTAGTTGGTCCAAAAGTACTGTCGCATCATCAAAAATTCATAACTTCTGTATTTACAAACCAATTTGCCTGTTTTTACTTTTATCTGAAAGAGCAATAAGTTTTCTTTATAGGGGTGCTTTAGAGATTTTTCAGTAGACATGCGTTGCTTGAATAGGAGCGGTAGAAGAAAAGTACTCAAATTTCGAATTTTCTTCATAGGGTCATAAAAAACCTGAAACTTGCGGTTGCAGTAGAAATCGGAGCAGTCAGTATCATAGGTTCTACTACCTGCTCTTTCTGAATGTGCGAAGTTTGTGCTGTTTGAGCGTGTCTATGAAAGTTATGATTTTCGAGCAAGCAATACAAAAGGACGAATTTGATTTGTTTCGGTATTTTCTTGAAAATCATAACTTTTCATAGAGAAGCACAAGCTTTGCATAGCTGGGAAGTGCAAGTGATAGAAGCTATAATAATGACTGCTCCGAGTTCAACTGCAAGCTGTAGATTTTTAATGACCTTACACAGAAAATCCAAAATTTGAGTAATCTACCGCCTCTGTCTACGCAATATATGCCCATTGGGAAGCCGCTAAGACACCGCTATGAAGAGAACGATTTGCTCTTTCAAATAAAACCGAATGCAAGCAAATTGGTTGGAAAGCTCAGGAGTTATGAGTTTTCGAAAATGGTGCGACAGAAGTTTCGGCCTACCTAATACAGTGCTGGCCAAAACTATAATTCCACCCTGAAAACTGCCGTAACTCAACTGCTTCTCAACGAATTAATCTGAAATTTGGTACAGATGTGTGTTTAACAGGCTACCATCAGTAACTGAAAGGATCCCGTTTTTGATTATTCGGGAAAAAAATCAAAAATTTCGAAAAAAGCAGGCTTGAAGGTTGGCCAAAACCATAATTCCACCTAAGGTTTCTGTCCACTAAAGTAATTCTCGGCTTCCAAAGTTTTTTCTGCATATACATAATCAAAAGTCAAAATAGTCGCTTTAGTCCAGCTGTGTCATATCTTTATAACAAACGCTTATCTGCTTTTTTCGCTCAAAAAACTTCCATGCGTATTTTGTTCCCAAAAATGTGTTTTTATGGATGATTTTGCAGTTTTTTGACTGGTTTGGAAACGATAGGGCTCCATCTATCTTATAGATGCTTAGCGAAGTGAGAACTAGTGAAAAAAATTTTGAGTTTTCACATTTAAAGGACACCCACCATAGACCTAAGCGCAGGCCTCGCTCAAATATTTGCCTTCAAAATCTTTCTGCAATGTTCTCATGAGCGTGAAGTAGAGTAATAACGCTGTTGTACGTTAAGAGTCCGGATGCAGCGGTTGCAGATTTCCGCAGGTCCTAGCATGCAGGCTTGAGAATTCAACCTGCAAAAACTGATTTGCAAAAAGCCTCGAACTTATTTTTGGTCCTGACCGTAATGCTCACGTGAGTCACAAGGCAACATACAATACAGGGTGTTTTCACTATCTAGCAGCTAAACTGTGGCAAAAAATCAGGAAAGATACCACTTGGTAAGTACTTTGGGATTGCTTAAATATTATTATTGATCCGCGAAAATTTATGGTTTGAAAACGAAGCAAAATGCGACTTGGCGAACAATCGTAAGTATAGTATACAAACTTCTTTTTATGTAAATAATGCGTTACACCATTTTAAGCTTACAAAAATAACATAAACCATTTTTGAAGGCAAAAATTTGTTTGAGAGCAGGGAGCTTAGGTCTATGTTGGGTGCCCTTAAAATATGAAATTCAAATCTTTGTTCTAGTTCTCAATTCGCTAATCATCTATAAGATAGATGGAGATCTATCGTTTCCAAACCAGTCAAAAAGTTGCGCAATCACCCATAAAAACACATTCTTGGGAACAAAATGCGCATGAAAGTATTTTTGAGCGAAAATAAAGCAGATAAGCGTTTCTCATAAAGATATGACACAGCCGGACTAAAGCGACTGTTTTGACTTTTGATTGTGTATATGCACAAAAAACTTTGGAAGCCGAGAATTACTTTAGTGGACAGAAACCTTAGGTGGAATTATAGTTTTGGCCAACCTTCAAGCGTGCTTTTTTCGAAATTTTTGATTTGTTCCTGAATAATTAAACAAAAGCGGGATCTTTTTTAGTTACTGATGGTAGCCTGTCAAACACACAACTGTACCAAAATTTCAGATTAATTCGTTGAGAAGCAGTTGAGTTAAGGCAGTTTTCAGGGTGGAATTATATTTTTGGTCAGCACTGTATATAGAGAGTTTGTAATCCGCAGTTCAATACCGATAGCGCGTTTTGTCAGCCGGTCTGAATATGATCTATGGATCACTCCTTACAGAACTTCTCTTCGATTTATCATGCGATGTTGAACCACGATATCAGTTGACACTGCACATGTGTAAAATAACGTTCTCGTAAGTGTAATACCTTTGCACAAGAGGGTTTCTCAACAAAATCCAATTTCGGAATAGGAAAAGTGTATTCAACAATCTTGTAGTTGTTTGGGCGAAAGACATTTTGTTCAACTTCTTCGTAGGTTACTGGTCCTTTTGCAGTCCAAATGATGTCTCTGAAATTACATGATTATTTTTTATGATGCTCGATTTTCAATACTTGGAGCTATGGGCAGCAACATAAGACATTTCAAATGATGTCATTAGCAGCTTTCAAATGTAGGGCTCACTTGCGGTAACAATTTCTACAGAGTAGAAGGAAGGTAAGAGTTGAACCAAAGTGCGCGGCGTGCGGGCGTACGTTACATACGCAGCATATGCTCGGATATTTCATCATAGGAGCGTACGTTGCGTACTCCACCTACGCGCGCACGCTGCGCACTCTGGCTCAAAAGTACATAAAACACATATTAGATTAAACGGATTGGCGGCTGAAAGGCGGGGCTTCGAGGCCTGTTTTTCCCTGTTTACCCTGTTTTTTTTTACCCTGTTTTTCGTACGTTCAGAGACTCCTTACGATAAGTTATGAACAAATAACAAATGTTTCTGAATCGGGTCGCGACTGAAATCTCGTGGGGTATGCGGGGCCTTGGAAAGCGCGCTCGCGAGAGAGAGAGAGCAGGGCTGCGTTGCGGGTGCGAGCGGTCGCCTTCCACTCTCCAATCCCGTTAAATCAAACGGTAGTAGCCGGCGTCACAGACGTAGGCGTATTTTCACGGGTAAATTTGACCTCATTTTCTCGGCACCACAAGCACACTATATTAGGCGGAAAATCTCCTCAACCGTACAGTTCATGGAAAAAATGCTAAAAAAATTATATGAGCGAAGCATCGTGTCCAACTCAACAGATATCCAGTTTGAACTAATCAGAAAAATAGTTGGACACGGATTTGACTCATCTGGAGTTTCATAACATTTTTTTGATAGTTTGAGTTCACTCACTGGTACAACAAGCTGGTGTCATATCATTGCGTTTTGGCTGTAAGCAAGGCATTTGAGTGCTTGAAGCGCGATTTTGAATTGCGTTGTGGACATCGAGTTAGAACATGATGGCCTACGTGATGGCCTTATTTTTTTCAATTTGATGAGGTTGTCTGGAAGAAAAAACATATGATTTGATTAAGCATTTCTAAGCGTTCTATTTGATGAGGGGAGGCTGGTAGCTCCTCCCCATCCCGAAAAACGATATACTCTTTGCTTTCTCGTTTATAAACGAAATCCATCTTGATTTTCCAAATGTGCAAAACCTAGAGTGTGAACATGGAAGAAAGCTGAAAAAATAATAACAAAAAAGGTAGCGCTTGTCATTGGCAGGATAACTTCAGGATTTGAAGGGTGGAGATATCTGTATTAGGTTCGTATGCACGTACTTGCCCGCTGGGGAGGGGAGGGTATATGACGAAGAGCGTTCATATCTCCTTTATATTAGGGTGAACGGTAAAAAATGGGACGCTTACGAAATAACTGGAGGTTTCTCAAGAACGAAAAGCGATTAGACCTTCCAATTCTGATAGATGTTAGAACATGTTATTCGCTTTCAGATAATACCTATATAAGGTCATTTACATACTCAATAATTTTTATACTTGCTGAAATGCAAAGTTAGTCACTTCGATAAATTACGAAGTTTGAGCAGTATCTGCGCAGCGAAACATCTGAGACTACCCAAAGTACCACTGCTGGAGTGGGTGGTGGACGGTCACCAAACCCACGACGGCTTGGTGGCCTCAGCTCTCAAAGTCAGGAGATATGGCTATTAGTAGCTTTGAGAACGAAAATACGTGTTATTCAATTCTTTGCAGGTAAACGCATGTCTTCTAGGCACCATCTGATAGAGCTTTTTGCGCTCTATCCATCCATATGCAGCTTATCTCAGATTTTATCTATCTTCGGAAAATATAGGGCAAAACATGATTTTTGGTTTTTTGTGCCATAGATAGCTATCTTTTTTTCGCTTTCTTTTCTGAAATTGAAAAGAAATCTCAGGCGCTTAACATATCGTTTGAAAGAGCATAGAGAGCTCTTTCGAATGGTATGTTACTTGCTTTACGACTTTACGGTATGGCAGCGCAAGATTGAGATTTGTTTTAGAAACCCAGTCTGAGTTCTTCACGGCGCCACGCGTACTGTTATGAGAGAGTAGCGGTAACGCGTTGCCAGAATAATAGGCGAAGGTCGTTTATGTAAGCGACGTTTGAGTTGTAGTCTGCTTGTTGTTGGTGGAACTTAAAACCTTAAAATTAAGCTGTCCCATTTTTTACCGTGCACCCTAATATATCTTTATTCATCTTTCTCTACTTATCCCTATCCTATGAAGGTTCTCATACCCTGATGACTGAGCAAGATGGATGACAGGACATTGCCATGTGGTGAAAAACTTATATAGTAGTGTGATCCCCTGGGGGCCCAGGGGATAACCTTTCATTTTCAAAGCCAATTGTCTTCCTACGAATCGATGAAAACGCTGCAAAATTCTACTGAGGATATACTATTTTACTGCTTGACATGTTTGAAGTATTAACAATGAATCTCAGGATGTCGAAAACTTCGATGAACCACTATTTGTGAGCTGAAGGTTATCAAATCAAAATTTTCACATTTCAGTTGTCATTTCAAAAGCATGCTTAGCAGCCACGATAGATCCTCAGTGTGACTTTGCCAGTTTTAATCGAGTTTACGAAAAGATGGAAAATTTGGAAAACAAGGGCAGATTCCCCCTTGGGATCCCCAGATCATGCAAAATAGTGAAAATCTCAGCTTGTAAGGCAATGTCCTAGCATCCATTACGCTTGAAGGCAGTGGCTCGGCAGATTTTCAACTTCGCGGTTTTGGCAGATTTGGGGCTATTCCGGCCCCCTGAATCACGATATAAACTCCCCTTAGCTCAAAAATGGGGGAAAACCCGGTCTTTTGACCCCCCCCCCCTAGGACGGACGCGGACGAGTGAGCCGTTTTTCTCTGCCGTCAGAGAGCAGAGTAAGGAGGTAGAGAACGCTAGAACAATTCTGCCCTACGAAGCTACGAGTGACGGCGCGTCTTCTAGCGGAGGAAATACTCGTCCGAACAAGGTGTTAGGGGGCGAAAGGAGGAAGGGGAGCGCCGCTTGGGCCGCCCCCTGGCTTGCAGAGTTCACATTTTCAGCGCGGAGTTGCTGTTTTGGTTCACTTGAAGGGCCTCTTATCCATCTGTGTTAAAATCTGAGGTAGGTCAATCTGCCGAGCCGCTGCCTTTAAGAATCAGGATATGAAGAATATCTAGCGAGCGAGACATGACGGCTCTATTTAGACTTCTCACCACTCAAGAGGGGATGTACGTGTTTACGAGCTTAGACTTTTGAGTGGCAATGTAAGCTACCCTATTTTCAGGTGTATAAGCCGCACCCTTTTCGCTCTAAAGGCGAACGCGCCAAAAGACTGACTGTCATCATGGAGTGCATTAAGTGAGAGCATGCGCTAAGGCGACCGCTTTGCGAGACATATGCGCGGCGGCACGCCTGGGTCTGCTCGCGTTTAGAGCAAAAAGGCTGCGGCTTATACACCTGAAAATAGGGTACTAATTTATTGTTTCCTCTCAAATGTGCGCAATCGTAAAATCTTGCACAGAATTGTAAGATGTGCCATCGAATTTACTACATTCTCCAGCTGCAGCATATACAACCTGCTCTCGCTAATTTTATGCCTTAGAGGGTGATTACCTGCACTTAGCAGTAGTCTTCGAGCTGATGCAGTCTTAAAGGTCATACAAATATCGACGATTTGCTTATACTGAACATATCTTCACATTACCTCCTTATTTTGAGCTCGTTTTCTTCGAGTATCCTCATGGCTTCTTCTGTTCCTGCGAACGAAAACCGCTCCCTCTTGCTACAAATAAGAAGATTTCAAATAATTACCACATACTCCAAGTTGGGTTCATCATCTTCTTTCCCAATATAGAGACGAGATCATTCTATATTAAGTTCCTGTTTTTGGACCAAACATGACTGATAAGTACCAAAGTACCAGTCAGCCCCTGGAGTCCTACAGGGCTCATCAACTGCAGCGTCGGGCACTAGCTACTCCGCTCCCGCGGGGCCGCTTCGCCTGAACTCTGCACCTCTTTCGCCAACATGCTCTCTGATCACTTTCCCAGCGTGGGAAAAGCGAAGCCTCAATCAATTGGATATGATTAGAGAGCATATTCGCGGAAAAGGTGCAGAGTCCTACGCGCGTGGAAATGCTGGCGCATTCGACACTGCAACTGATAAGCCCTGTACCTCACATCCAAAATTTTTGCGTCTCTGCGCTACATAGTTGTCAAATTTTAAAGTACTATATGGCTTTCCCGGCCCAGCCCGGGTCATTGCTCACCTGCACTCAAGCCTCCCCCCCCCCTCTTAGAGTTGTTTCATACTGCAGTCACTGCAGCAGTTGCAGTCATATTGGGGCGGACAAAAGATATCGATCGATCGACTGTCGTTGCTGCAGCGACTGCAGTATGAAACAACCGTTATATGTTATGGATGACTTACTCTGGGACATCCGCCTTCAAACCGCATCCTTGTGATGCTGAGGTGAAAATGAGCTTCACCGCCCTCTTTTACATGACTATGGGGAAAAGCTTGATTAAACATGATAAGCCTTCAATTCCTTAGAAAAACGTAAGCAAATCAATAAATCCATAGAAGGACCCAGCGAATTCCAGTGAAAGGTAGCCTAATACCGTCTTCAGGGTCGAAAACATCTGTGTGCAAACTTTCAGCCCAATCGCTTGAATGGCGCGCGTTTCTTAACTCATATACCCTCCATACAGACAATTTTTGAGTTTTATATATATAGAGATTTTACAGGGTGCATTTCAACATAATATCTCTTTGTGCGTCAAAATCACTGAGTAAATATTAAAGTAAGTTTGCTGAATATCTTGCTGGACTTTGCTGCGCTAACCATTAATAAACAAGATTATGCTGCCCCCGTTTCTCCCTATTAAATTTCAATTCGCGCAAAAAACAGCGATCAAGCGTACACTCATACATTAATACATAGAGACATATTTTAAGAAAGGAACAATCTAACTTCAACTGATAAAACTTGATATCAAAATGTGGCAACATATCACAACACCGCGAAAGGGGCATTACAATGTTTTGAATACTGCACCACTTTTTTCCTTTCTTCATTTCGCTTCGTATTGTAGAAGTGGTTCAAGAAAACGGATGTTCAAAAGAAAAACTTCCAAATTCCTAAGGGATTTCGCATAATACACAACATAAACTGAGCGGATGATTCAAAACCAAACTTGAAGAAGTTCTAACCGAACTGCAGCATGTGGCTTGCTCACCCTTACGGACCCATTGCACATTTTTTAACCAAAGTGCAGCATATGGCGCATAGAGCTTATAGTTAATCGTGATCCAAGAATATATGACTTAAGTATCTTGTTGCTTGCGAAAGCAGATTATTGATTACCAGCTCCACTTTCTTATCATGTTAAACCTCAGTTTGAAGCATATTTTTGTCCTTCTGGGATTTGAATCCGCACGAGCTGTTGAGATTGTATGCCAAGAGACCATTGAGAAACGCGAAGAACCTCTGCCCGCACAATACAAAAAAATAATCCTGTTATAAACGATTTCCTTTGGAGCATATTTATTTTTTGAATTTTTTTACTTGATCTGATCGATAACGCATCACACTTCAAACAGTGAACAGTCGCACTTACTTCACTAAAATGCACCGCAGGTATCTCGATAGATACAGCATGTGTGATTGATCAATACATCGTAAAACAAGAATTAATTTGCAAAAGGCTTAAAAGGTTGTTCACGTGCAAACAAAGACGGTTAAATCATTAAGTTGTTGGAGAGATGACGAAGAAGTATTGAATATCGCGATTTGGGGGTATGAAAAATAAACGGAATCACCTTACAACGTTCTAATCTATCATAAGTTTATCTCAAACATGAGCAAAAAATACTTCGGGTGTACTTCTGCCAATGTAAGAAAAGAAGTTGAAATGGGCCAGAATAAATATGATATCAGGGAAAATTATGGGTTCAAAACGGTATGGAGAGTTCTTACTTGAATAACTCACCTTATATAGAGTATCAAAAATGTGAGAATAAGCAGTACAGCAATTGCCCAACGTTGGTGTGCAAATATAATTCCGATCATACTAAACAAAGATAAAGGAGTTTTGGTTGGTGTTTTACTCTACGTGATAGAAATAATGAGACAAAGTGGGAACAACTCCGCATGATTGTGAGGATTTTTAACACTGTTGGTACGGTAAGTCTCGGAAGCAGCACAGGAGTTTCAAAGGAGATACAATCAAAATTAGATTTTACTGAATCGCCTATCAAAATGTTTGAATGAGGCATTCAATCGAAATGATAAACGTGGCTGGTTGCATGTATACCCCATTGCAACGTAATCATGTCATACCTATTCTTGTAAAGACAGGTAATTTGCATTTCAAAAGCTTCTTTTCCAAAAATCAGCGTTTTCTTATGATTTTAGCATTAGATTGAACGTAAGGCTGTTCCCAGATAAACGCTTCCAAAAGTACCGGCGAGACCAAGTTACTCAAGCACTCTGTTGTCTGCAAGCGGAAGAGAGCTAATTGTGGCTGTTTTTACAAGGGGAGGATATTTGGTGACCGTGGTCATTCGTAATAATTTGTAAAACAAAAATGTGCCTTTTAATGCTGGTTCGAGTACTATCTTCACATCCGCGAAACGATAACCTGGATGGAATTATGATTACTTTTCATGAATAAATTGCGCTACTGCTGAGGGTCAACATCATCAATGAAAAAATTTCTTTCCTTTCCACATGCTATGATTTAGATAGGATACAGCAGTATTTCTTCAAAGAATCTCTTCAATACCTTTGAACAACAGCCAGTAGAACAAATTTGTGATTTTAAAGCCAGTGGCTCGGGAAAATCGCGACTGGGGGCTTTTTCACAACTGCATGGTCTTCTGGACCAGCCGAGTCAGGCACTGTGCTTGAAATGTCAAAAGGGTGTTTTTTTGAGTTTACCGGCCCTGCAGATTGCTGGAGAGGCGGGGCGAGGGATTTCCGCCATAACCAGCGAGTGACTGCAGGATACTGTAACTGCTCCTATTTTGGCGGCAGTTGGCTGATCAGTCCAAGCAATCAATACACTACAGTTGACTAAAACCCTTCGCCCCGTCTCTCTAGCAATCTCCAAGTCGGAAAGCGAAAAAAAGTACTTTTTTGACTTTTCAAGCGCAGTACCTGACTCAGGTGGTCCAGAAGGCCATGCAGCTGTAGAAATCCCCCAGTTGCGATTTTCCCGAGCACAGCAACTACCCAAAAGTACGCAAATATTGTACGGAAAAAGTTCATAACTTTCTTCAGAAGATCGTTTCGCAGATCTCGAGCACAGATTTAGAATCAGCGTTTCGAGATGCATCTCAAGGTATACATCGCATTTCAAATGGCTACGGTTACCGAGTATCATTTCCTTGTTAGAGCTGTTTTACCAAGAGTCAAGAACATACATGAATTTAGCTCAAGTCATGCTGTCAAGCAGTTTGGCATTATTTCATTAGCAATAGTGGGACTAGGATATAGTAGTTGACCAGCACATTCTGGGATAACAAGCATGAAATAAATCATTTGTACAAAAACAGGACATTGGCAAAGTCACAGTCATTGCAGCTCTCTACACTCATGATTGCCTCTCAAAATACTTCTGACCTTCTCACGACAAATGCTTGAGTCACTCGATTATGAAGCCAGATTTCAAAAGGCATGTCACCACTGGCAGCAATCCAAGAACTTAGTATATTTCATCATGATTTTTTCGTCTGCTGTCTCCTCATTTGTCGTGTTCCACGAATCTGGGGCAGCGAAGTGGTAAACAAGAAACCGTTACGTATTACGTGGTACATGATCCCTTTCCGCCCAAATTTTGAGAAAATCTCCGAGAATCTTTTTTCTGAGAGCAGTTGCTCTGCTCGAATTCAATATTTCTCATTAATACGTGATCATGAGTGCCACAAAGACATCGTGGAAGGAAATTGTACAGTGACTCTCAGAGCAAAACACTATTTTGGAACGATGTTATCCCGTGAACGCATCAGCTTACAAAAAATCCCTTCAGGAAGAGAAATTCGTCTAGTTTCTAAGGATTCCTTTTAGCAACAAGAGGCTAGATAAAAAACAGAAAGCGAGCTACTCAACTCCCGATTTTCGAAGATAAATTGTAAAAAAAAATCTGAAACACTGCAGAAAAACCTGAGAGGTTTTTTTCAGTGGTTCAGTGTGCTGCCCTTTACATTAGTGCCAAATTTTTGCCGATTGAGCTTCTACAAAAAGTTATGATTTTTGTGAAAAATGCAGAGAAATGAAAAAACTTCATTTTTGCCGTTATTCTTCACCGTCTACATATTGAACAGAAGCGAGACTTTCCAGCTTTTTGTATGAGTCTCAAATGATCCCCGCGGTGACAGTTTTCTTAAAGGCAGTGACCGGGCAAGGTGGGGGTTCTGGGATTTCAGTGCCATGCGAGAGTGCCCCCCTCAGACACAACATCGCGCAAGTGCGACTTCATAACGCTCGATCTAAAGCAAGAAAAACGACCGGGAATTGGGGAAACTTAGCCTTGGGGCGGAGTCCTCCGACCTGTCCGAATTCCTGCTGTGCGGCAGAGCACGCATGCCGCCACAGACAAAATCGTAGAGTCCCGCAGAGGCCCTGTGTCTCTACCTTGGCGGGGATCGTCGAATTTCAAAATGTAAGGCTTTGGAAAACGCATGTTCTCGCCGTTTTCGCGCCTTCTAATGTGGATTTTCGGACTCAACGTTGCGGATAACCCCGGTAAGGTATTTTCTAGAAATCGAGTTATTGCCCTCACATTGCCTTTAGAGCCTTTTTTCTTTCTTCGTACTTAGCGAAAACATTCCAAAGTTGCACTGATTATCTAACCTACTCAGACACTACGAGCGGATGAGCCGCGGCCCCAAAAGGCCTTTCCGGCCCGCCCGAGGCCTTAATTCGGGGCGTGGCCGGAATGCGGCCGACCCCCGGCCCTTCGTTCATGTCATTATCATTGCACCGGCCGAGCCGCTGGAGGAGATGGGCTTACCGGCTCAACCGCCGTCCTTGAAGGCAGCGTCCAGGCAAGTCTGGACACATAAGGATCTCATGTGGATAATAATTTTTGGACCCTAACTAAGCTACTGCCCAACCGGCAGCTTAGGTAGTGCTCTAACGGCTGAGATATTCCCCACGAACCTGAACCCCGGGATCGTATTTCGCACGGATTCATGACGTAACGCGTGGGTACTCGCGCGAAACTGCCATGAATCCATGCGAATATGACCTGGAGTCCGATCAAGCGTATATCTCAGCCATTAGTGCGTCACCTGCACCGCCGCTTGGGCAGTGCTTTAGTTAGGGCTCCAAAATTACTTTCTATGTAAAATCGCCGTAAGTCTAGATCTGCCTGGACGCTCTGGATCTTTAATGATGGGGCGAGCATTGCAGCGGCTGAGGCGCCGACCAAAATCTATGTAAGAAACTCCGGGGTATATGTCAAGATGAACGATAGCTGGTACCAGTGGCGCGCGGGGTCATGAACTGGCAATAACGTGTTCGCTCGAAGCTCCGCCCTACTGCGGCGGACGAGTTTCTCGAACGATACCGTCAAGTAAAAATAATAACTATTGATAGTAAGATATAAGCTTGCTACAATCTGGGGTGAAGCTTGACTATTTACAGAATCTTGTTTTAATTTTTTGTTTCATTTTTTTGGCATTAATGAACAGCTGATGTGTTGGTCGTGAAATTCGAGAGATCTGCTGATTTACCTATGGATGACCGAGTGACTCCTGGATATCCAACTTTGAAGTGTGAAATCAATCCAGAACACCTCAGGCATGATGTTTGAGTGACCTCACATCTTACGACTAGTTCACACGCAGTTCGATTGAGTTACAGATCGATTTATATTGAGGATAACAGTTTTTGGAAGCAAAATAAAAGGATTTTGATATTTAAAGCAAATTCGAAAATTTATAAGTGCAGTGTGATTTTCCTGAAATCTGAGAAAATTTATGCGATATGATCGCATATTTGCAAAACGAGTTAGTTTGCTTGAAAAAAGTTCGCCTATAATGCTTGTTTTGAATTCTCGTCGCAATGAAATCTGTTTCTAGCTATGATCAGGGTTTCAAAACTTACTTTTACGATAAAAGAGATAATGGTGTTGGTCATTTTAGCAATAATAATAGTATTTCTCAATAAGCTGACTTCTTTTTTAACTAAACTTGAGAGTGCACAACAAAGCATATTCAATATGGTAACAGATCTGAATAGAGAAATCACTTTTCCAAGCATTTTCGAAACAATTTCCTCTTACTTGCAATGAAAAATCGTTTTGGACAAGCCTACTAGGAACAAATAATTGAAATACGTTAAAAAGAGCTTGCGGATTAATTTTACAATGATGTGAAAATTGATTTTTAACTTAACTGAAATTTGAAATATATTGTTATCCAAATTGCAACCAACCGAAGAAACATAAACGAAGTATTTAGAGAGATTTCCAATAGCTGCAAAGCACTCCTAGGCTGATTAACAAGGGGGCGGAGCGATCAGCGCACCGCGTACGGTACCCAGCTGGCGGCTGGCACATGCTATCGTTCATCTTGACCGCCACCCGAAACTCCGGCCGAGCCGCGGCTCATGTCAAATGAAGGCCGTGGCTCAGCCGCTCCCAGTGTCTGAGCGTAAGGGATTGCGTGATGGACGGCGCATGGCCAGGCTGCCCTCAATGCGAATGTTCTCCGAGGTAGGAACAAGATCATATGTTGTCTTATGAACAACCTTCGATAGCATCTTGGCGTCATCCAGTCTTGAAGTCTGACTGATTTCCGAAGCTGCTACATATATAGGTGGCCTAAATTCTTGCTTTTTTTTACTTTGTACTAGTGAACCAGTAATCAGGTGCTATTTGGAAGGGCGCCCGCCCTCGGTTCCTGCTATTTGCAGATTTTTGAATTCAGTTAACGATTCTTTACATGTTAGATTTTCTTATGTGCCATGTTGCGCCAAGGTCCAATTAGGCCGAGCTAGAATGAACCACGGACGGCCCGACAACCACTTGCGGCTGAGCTGATCCACTCGCGGCCGAGCCGAGGCTCATCTGACAATGAGTAGCAGTGCTAATCGTGTTACTGATAAGAACAACTGAGTTATTGAAATATCGAGATTCTCGACAAACCCCAACCTTCGACTTGTGGTTCATCGCGATTTTATGACTTCCATATATCATTTGTTCTTATTAGGAACTGCTTATCGTTAGCACTGTTTGGTTAGATAATCAACTTTGGCACGTTTTCATTAACTCTAAAAAAATGGTTTTGAAGGAAAGACTGCCGGCCGCCGGTGCAGCATGTTCATAGTGAAGGATAGTAGGAATATTTACGGATAGATAGGCAGCGTGAAATCCGGGTGTAGGACGATTCGCACGACCGTAATGCTTTCCACAGAGGACCACCGCCGCGCGCGACACACCCTGCGGCGGCTTTTGCCTAAGCAAAACAGGGGGAGGAAACGTTTGCGGCGTGCACTACATGTTAAGATACGTCAAAATCAGGGAGACTCTGGAGACCGCCCGTGCGAAAAGACCGTCTCCCGTGAAATCCAGATATCTGGAGCTTCAAGATATGAAGCTTTATTTTAAGCTGCGTCCCCTCCCCGGCGGGGACGTTAATGCATGCGGCCCTTAGTGAGTGTGTCGTCTTCTTTGCATTCATCAACAGCTTTACTGCACCACATTCTTTCTGCTTCACAAAGAAAAAATGTTCAAAATGGAGTTGCTTGAGGTACTAGCTTCGAAAAGCGATATGTCGATCGATCAATTCACAAAGTTCAGAGTGCGGTGCAACTTTACAAAGGACCGAATTGACGTCGGTGTGCCCTTAACGAGCCGTTCTCTTCCTGCTTCCTCCCCCCCCCCCTTCTCAACTCGAACGTCTGATATGTCTGGCGCCGCCACCCTACGACTATCAATCGATTCGCGGAACAATTGGTGGGACCGAAAATGTGCGATATCATTGACTGAATGTCACAACGGCAGCCCTGTCCTGCGAAAGCGATTGTACATATCAGTTCCGTATCGATGCTTTGGACTCATTAAACCTTTCTTTGTTGTGTCTACTCAAAATAGAACGGTTATTTCGATGAGGTTTTATTATACGAATTCATTTTCGTTAGCTTGCGATGTCACATCTACGCTTTTTTTTCAAATGAATATTGCTTACTCTCTGGATGAAAATATGCCTTCACTGTCGTTAAAGTATTGCAACCCAGCTGGGCATGTTGACTTAGCTGTGTATTACGTTCGAAAGGATTGTTTAATATATTTGTACAATGCAGATTGTACGTCCAATTTGGGAAACAGTAGTTTGGGGAACAAAGTGTGCGAAAAATGCCCGCTATATGCCCATAATTTACATTTATCGCTTTACGAACAATCCGTTCTTCTCCGTTTCGTCTGCGATTCCATGATCAGCTAAACAGAGACCTATTTTAAATCGCACAGGCATTGTAAGGCTAAAGAATCTACCATAAGATCGTTGAAAGTCGAGGTTTCCTGTCACTTCTATGTGTTGCTACATATCGTGGCTAAACAATTCTCCCCTACTCATCTTCGTTCTCTAACCTGCAGCATACCAGGGTTTACATACACAGGCTACTGCTAATGAAGGCACTAAAGCATTACTGATTGAGCGTGCGCGGGCGCGGCGCACGCTTAGGTCTTGCTCCTTCGTCCGGCAGCAGCCTTTACTCACGCATGACAACGTGAGTACGTGCTTCCACGCAGTTCTTAACATACCAGTTGAGTCAGACATGGAGTAGCTGGTGGCATCATTCACTTCGGAGGTTGCAGATAAAGACGCGTACCACTTCTCTTATCAGTTAGTGTTGATTCTCGCAGCCAAAAACATCTTGTTGCTTGATAGAAGTGTTTTTACGGCACTCTAGTTTATCAGAATCTGAGTGAGTGGTCGGAGCCATACAAGACATATATAGGGCATTCAAAAAATCGTGGCCAAGGCGCTACCGCGCGCGACACGCACGCTCTGGCAACTGCGTTTTCTTGGCTTTCATCCCTACTGGAGTGGTTTTTCTACTGATCTATGATAGTATCTAGATGGAAGTTGCTGAGCTGAGCATTGGTGTGATGTGTGTGATGACTTTTTGTATAAATATTTTACGCTCCTGTGGGAGCAAAGACCGCCGTCAAATCCGTCGTCACGATTTTGTAAATGACCTATAGGTGTTGGTAACATGAGAATCATGAATTATAGTAGTAGGTTGATTCAAAAATTCTATCGCTTTGATTTTGAAAAATTTGTTACTGCTCCCTGTGTGACCGTATTAACTTATGAAAAATACCTCCAGATGGAAAAAATTTATCTACTTTCTACCCACCTCTTCGCCGCTCTTAGACGACAAAAGACTCCAAAGATAAATTTTCGAATAGAAGAACCACTCAAAGTCGTGATTTTCGAAAATAAATCGTAAAAAATCTGAAACGCTGCAGAAAAATCTGACAGCATGTTTTCCAGAGTTTTGTGAGTCTCTTTTTAGTGGTGCCAAGATCGTGCTGATCGAACGTTTCTACGAAAGGCTATGTTTTCAGGAAAAATGCAAAGAACGGCAAAAATGACGTTTTTTGCATTTTTCTGCATTTTTCACGGAAATCATAACTTTTCATAGAAAACCTTGATTAACATAAACTTGGCACTGTTAGAAAGAGCAGCTCACAAAACCTATGAAACTCATGCTCTCCGATTTTTCTGCGGCGTTACCGATTTATTTTCAAAAATATTCGAATCTATATCTCTGGAGTCTTTTGTCGTCAAAAAGCATCGAAGATGTGATTGGAAAGTAGATGAAATTTTCTCGAATGTTTTTTGTAAGCCAATACGTTTACATAGGGAGCAGCTACGAATTTCCCAAAATCAGAATGACAGAACTTTTGAATCACCCTAATACAGTGCAGCTAACGATGTACTCACCCTCAATATCATGAACTTCGGTAGTACCGACTTTGTTTGTGACGCCCGAAAATTTCAGTTGCATGTTCGCAAATCGGCTCTTTTGTGATTGCAGCTATACAAGTACGAACACATAGTGGTGGCAGTGACGCTGCGCTATCCCTATCCACGCACCATGCACATTCAAAAGCGCATAGGAACTCTTATTAACCAAAAATTACATTTCCGCTTCCTAAGTCCATACCACAGAAATTGAACCAATGCAGATCTCGCACATTTGTCCTACGCCTACGCGTTTAAAGGTGAGTGCGCGATGGCGCGTGCAGCGGCTTTGGTCCACGGCGGCATCGATCGCCGATGAATTCGAGAGTTTTCCGGACATTAGACAATTCGTCGATGTTTGATTTGCGGTATGCCACGCGTCGCCATCACGGTATGGCCGCTGCGGCGGCGGCTGCGCTCCGCCGCGTTCTCTCGTCGTCGCTTTGCGTCAGTCACTCTGTCACTTGCGTTCCTGCTCGGTCGCTTGACTGTACCAGCTGTCGATGAGTTGCACTATTCCCCTTTCCTTCTTCCTTCTTCAATTTGCCCTTCTCGAATTTACTAAAGCAAAACTATCTGGTTAAGCCAATCTCTGTCCTCGAAGTAGATTGCTCTCTCGCATTGACCTCTGACTATCTTGCCCGGTCAGGGTCACCAACCCGTATGTTCGTGGCCGCTCCTCGCCGCGCTCTACACCGTACCAATCGCCTTAAATAAACACGTACCACGGGATGACCTCAATTTCTTCCCAGACATTTCGCTGCACGTTCTCTCGCAATCGTCTCTAACAAATCGCGGTGAATTGCTTGCTTTTCTGACTCATTTGTTTCATCCCATCGTCGTGTTTGGTAGTTTACAGCACCTCTTCACTTCCTCATCGTCCTCAGCACGATACAAACTGGTTCTAGGTATTTTATCATCACTCCTAATCGATCGATACTCGCCTTTGATCGCACAGTTGTTCTGCTATACGCTTCCTGTCGGTGTACGGCGCTTTTCAGTGCTAATGTTTCCAGGTCCCCTCCGGCTCATTTGACCCCTTGCTGCTTTCTGTCGTACGGAACCGGCCCGGAACAGCCCATCTAACGCTAAACGAGCAATGCACAACGGACACGAGTTTGAACAGAACGGACATGCAACCAATGGAACAGCACTCAGTAGGTTTCTTGCTCCTGACCATCTTAATGTAGATTACACGCGTTAATCTGGCGCCGAAGCGGCGTGCTTGACTTCTGATAATTCTGTGAGTCACTATGGTCATAATCATCTAAGCTTATTATCGTGATTAGGAACACGCCTATGGTTTTTGTTATTGAACAACAGGATTGAGCTTACAATCCAGTGCTTGAAGGTATTCATTGTCAGAACCTCAATTACAAAGATAATTTTGCGCGTGCTGGAACTTGTTTTGATTGCTGCAGACATTCTGCATGCATCCCTGCTTATACTGCCGTTGAGTGTAATATTAATCTAACAGAACTTTCCGCTCACTATAATTGTGCCGGTATCTTGAAGAGATCGTTGAAACAGTCTTTCTTCCATTAAAGTACAAGAGAAAAGGAAGTTTCCTGAAGAGGTTGAGTTTTTGAAAGTATTCTGAAAGTATTTAAATACCAAATTTTCGCTTCGTCATAAGTCCCACTAGATGATTGTAAATCATGAAAAATCTGTTAGCAGACTTTGTTGCCGCACGCTATATTTTCACATTGTTTATGTCACGTGAATTTGTATGAGACTTTGGAAGTTTACAACGAAGCAGTAGGTGCTACGACAGTTATATGTAGTCGTTGTGCTATAAACCAGAACGACCAGTCGCTGTTATAAGGTCGTTGAGATTTTTTCTAGCTGTTCGCTCATATCAATCAATGTGCGGTGTCAAGGTGAAATTCCGCAACGCACACCGTTAAGTGACATATATCAAGTTTTATATCGCATATGCAATTTAGATGGCGAAACATCTACTTCTTCGGCCTCGGCCGATGTTGTGAAAATGGATTACTCGACGGATTTTCCCAAGTTGCCTGAAGTTGCGCCCGCAGCTGCAAAGCCTCTAGGAGCATGGTCACGTCCTGCCGTAGGAACGAAACAAATTGTTCACGTGAGCACTTCATATTCTTTTTCTTTTTTCCGCACCGTCTGAGTTGCGCTAGTTGATTAGGATTCCTGATGTCTATGCTATAAAGTTCTCAGAAAAATTCGTGGCATGCCATAACCAACGTTTTTGAATTCAGTTACTCATACAATAATTTTTGATCGTTTGTAATCAGACCTCATGCGGGGATAATCCCTGCCACGACCTCCGAAAAAAATCGTTATCGTAATGAGCGACTATGTTGAGCGATGACGCCTTGAATTTCATTAACTTTTGTGCCTTTATGCATAAGTACAAAATCTCCGTAGTTTTCCTGTTGTCCTTCTGCATTTCTTGGAATATTTTTGGTGCGTATATAGCCTTCCACGGCTATGATTTTATTGCATTTCTTAATGTTTTATCGGATCATTTAGTCATTCATACTGGCGGCTGATGAGCGAGCTAACAAAGTAAAGAGCTTCCCCGGAAATACCAGCGAAGAGCATAAGAAATGTCAGGCTGTCGCAGCCGCAACTGGTCAGTGCTTAGAGAGCCGAAAAGTTAACGCATCTCATTCTTGTTACAGGTACTAGAATCGAACTGAGCGAGTCGAAAGACGGCTCTCTTACCGTCGTGATTAAGGGACTACGTGCTAAGGTCGAGGATGCCCATGCTCGTCTTGTGCGCGATCTACAGACGCAGGCTAGCCGCGATCTAGATATACCCAAAGATCATCACAGAAAACTCATAGGTTGGTTTCGACTACACTGGCTGCTTTTTTTTCTTTTTAATTTAGTAATGAACTTTAGGCAAGGAGGGAACAACGCTTCGTCAGCTAGAGGCTGATACTAACTGCCGCATCACCATACCCAGCCGGGACACTCCTTCGGAGACCATAAAAATTGTAGGACCTCGCGAAGGCATTGAGAAGGCTGTGGCTTACATAAAGTCTGTGTCGGAAAGAGAGGTTAGTGTTACCAGTCACATTTTAGATTACATTGATTGCATTTAAGGGGCCGTCATAAATTTTGGTCTATCTTTCTTATCACCAGCATTTTATGGGTGCATCTGTCCTATACCATAGAGGTCGTTGGCCTTTCTATGTTTGTGTTGGTGTAGAGATACTGTTGACCTGCTCTGCAGGGTTGGGTTTTGATTGAATCTGGCGATCTTGGCAATATAAGAGGTGCTCCGTCTGCATTATTGTACCGAAGCACTGCAAGGAATAACGAATACAATTCTCGTTTGACCCTCCCACAAAAGTAGTCTGTGATGTCGTTGTCACTGCTGCTGCGGCTTCCCCTGCATCAGCTGGTAACCATTCTACAAAGTGCTTTGTTGATGAAGCTGTTCAAAAATGAGTAAGTCAAGACACGCCTTGCCTCGCTGTAGAAGGAATCCTTCGACCAGATACACAAATAGTTCTAAAATAGCATACCCAAATCTAAGAAGGTATAGGCTTCATAGCACGCAAAGGCTGAGCGCCGTCCGATCAAGATAGCTTGTGTACGGGAGAGACAGCAGAGATAAGAGAAACGAGAGAGCGCTTCAGCAGGAAGACGCTGATACGTCCGCAGTCTTTGCGTGCCATGATTCGCCTATTCAAGTATGTTCCTGATCGCCTAGACTCAGTCAAGTATGTTTGCTGCTTAGACATGAACCACAAAACAGTAAAGTTTAGTCTTGCATATGCTATTTTAAGGTAGAATATGACTCATTATGCATTCTAACTTTCATTGATGTACAAGCTAAAGTAAAGTCTGTCTTTAGAAAGCGCAAAGAAAGAAACTGTACGAACATTTTTCATCAATAAGTCGGATTTTTTCTTTGGCTCTCAGCGGTATTACAACAATTAAAATCTATTTCTTTAAGTATAAACACGAAACTTGACTCCCGAGATTGATGGTCTATTGACGTATTACGGTTCATGCTAAAAGCGAGTCTTTTTTCTAAATAGTGGTCGTCCGCATTCATCAAAGTATATCCTTGAACAGCAAACGAGCTGAAACGCAAGTATGTACTTGTATCTGCTTGGTGAGTCTAAAGGTAGTTGAGATTTATCTAACCCCATGAGGGTTCGGACATTGCTGTCAAATGGTCATGAATGGAAATTAAATTGAATTCACATACTGCTTCGCGGCACTCGCTTGACCTTGTTACTAAAACATCTGATCTTGCTCATACAAATGATTTCTTCAGTCGAAGTTGGCTACTGAACATATCGTGTGTCCGCGTATCTTCTATCCATTTGTTCGTGGACCTTTCAATGAAACTTACGACAAGCTCACACAAGAAACTGGCGCAAAGATTAACATTCCACCAAGTCAAGCCAACAATGAGGTACATTTGCACTCTATAAAGAGGAGGATTTTTTCAAGTTTTTCTTTCCAGGTAATCGTCATCACAGGAGAAAAGGAAGGTGTGCACAAAGCCGCTGCGGTAATTCGTGGCATAGTTGCTGACAAGGTTTGCCTTTTTTATGAGGAAATGCGACGTCAAAAGTCGAAATGATTTCAGCAAGCAACTGCAAAATCAGTGACCTGCACTGTTGCCAAAGCTCAGCACAGATATATCATAGGACAACAACGCAGTGGTCTACATACAATCCTCAAAGAAACCGGTGTTTCTGTTGAGGTAGGATAGAAATTGACCTCTATGAGCATATTATATCAAGAACATAGTCATCACCTACCTGTATTTAGGTTCCAAATGAGGACGAAAATTCTGACACAATTACTCTGCGTGGAGATCCTGCCAAGCTCGGCGAGGCTCTTGCGCTAGTATATCAGCGCGCTAGCTCCGTGATCACCCAACAGATAGTGGCACCTAGTTGGCTTCACAAACATCTCATCGGTCCGAAAGGATCAACTTTGCAGGTATTCTTAGCTTGATTTACATAGTTTGCGCGCTGTGTCATACACCTCGTCAACATCATACTTCCTCAATAGCAATTTTGGGTTCCTACTAAACTTTGGAAGCATGCATATGATAGGAGCAAATTTTGTCTGAGCCAAATTATTCACCGTCCACGGCTTATCGTAACTCCACTGAACAAATTTTTTAAGATAACACATTTGAAATATTTTACTAGATATAGTCCTACATTACAGAATCTTGTCCCAAATCGCGGGAAGGTACAGATTGACTTTGAGGACACCGGTAATATCTTTCTCGAGGGAGCACCGGAGGAAGTTAAGGTTGGTTTATTCCTTTGTTGCTGACATTGTGCTCCTCATTTTAGGCTGCTCATGCGGTTCTTTCTGCGGAGGTAGATCGTCTCCAGAAAGAAATGTGTATTGAAAAAGTGAAAGTACACCCAAGTCTACACCGGCATGTCATCGGTAGAGGAGGAGCGCTAAGTGAGTTCCCTCGCTTTTTTTCTTTACTTTTGTCAGTTTTACATTTTCAGTCACGAAAATCAAGGATGAGACTGGAGTGCAGATCTCAATTCCAAACGAGCAAACTAACTCGGATGAAATTGTTGTTGAAGGAAAGAAGGACGGAGTAAAACGAGCCGTCGAAGATATCAAGACCATTGTATCAAAGATTGTATGTTTGTCACTCTTCTTGTATGCTATAATGTTGTAATCGGAATACAGGAGAATGAGAAGTCGCGCGACATAATAATCGAACAGCGTCTTCACAAACTCATTATTGGTGCAAAAGGAGAAAATATCTCAAAAATCCGCGTTGCTCATCCCAACATCGTAAGTTCGAGACGATCCTTTTTTGAAAAATTTTGCTTACCTTTCAAGTCTACAATAATTTCCCCTTTCAGGTCCTTTCTTTCCCTGATGTCAACAAAAAATCTGATGTCATCAACATTCGAGGTGAAAAGAGCGAAGTGGACAAGGTTTACAAGCAACTCCAGACATTAGCGAAAGAGCTGGTATGAATTTTTGAAATTTTGATATAGCATTGAGGATTGAGCTTGACTTACTTCCAGGCTGAAAGCAACTATCAGGAAACCGTCCCAATATTCAAAGAGTTCCACAAACATATCATTGGAAAAGGCGGTGCTACGATCAAGAAGATTCGTGAGGAAACAGAGACCAGGATTGATTTACCAGAGGTGAGTAGAGGTTTCTGAAATATTTTTATTTTTTATAGAGTAACTTTTACTCATACATGTTTGTCGTAAAGCATAGAATTAAAAAAAATCCAAACACCCAGCTTCTTCTTCTTCGTCGATTGAATCAAATACGAAATGGCTCATTCCAACCGCATTGTTAAACATAAAGGCAGTATCTCACCAGAAATTGGATCTCGGGATTTTTACGAATTACAAGGTCTTCCCGACTTGACTTTGTATAACCCCGTACGGGCTCAACCGCGCGTAAAAATCCCAGCAACCCGTTTGTCGAAGCCCCGTAGGTGCAGTGCCGACGAGCTGTTCCGCTCTACCTTATTTTGGCCGCAAGTTTTAACACGTCAAGAAGAATGGTGTCACCTGGAAAAACGTGTTGAAACGCAACAGGGAAACCGACAAGTTGTCCAGCTCGCGCCGAAATGCGCTCCGCGAGTTACTTTGAGCCCAAGTTTCTCGGCATAGGGGAGACCTTATCGAGCGGGATTTGGGCATTCGCATAATAAGGGGTTCCCCCGATGAAATGCGTAAAAATCCGTTACAACCCAAGTTTGATGACACAGTGCCTTTGATGCTTCCAAAACGGACCCATCTGCTCAGACCTTCCGACCTTTGTAACTGCAGGCAGTCCTGACTGGCAATATTTCAGGGCGATTCCGGCGAGGAGCGCATCACTGTTACTGGAAAGAAAGCGAATGTCGAAAAAGCTATTGATCAGCTGAATAAAATCCAAAATGAGCTTGTGAGTTCTACGAGTCGACATTTTTTGAAATTCATACATAGGAGGTTTGCAGGCCAGTATTGTCATCATTGAAGTTGATATTCCCGTGAAAGTGCAATCGCGACTTCTTGGCAATGGACGCCGTCTTATCTCTGATATTGAGGAGGAATGCGGTGGTGTGCATATTAGATTCCCAGCTGAGAAAAGTGAAAGTACCAAAGTGAGTTTTAGGTCTTTGATGGTAGGAAAATTTGCGTAATTATCTGCAGGTCACCATTCGTGGACCAAAACCGGATGCCGAAAGAGCTCAGAAGTTGCTCGTTGATCTTGCCAAGGACAAGGAAGTCAACCTCCATGAGGACACCATTGTAGCAAAACCTGAATTCCATAGATTCCTTATTGGAAAAGGCGGCGCAAAGATCAATAAGGTACTTCCTATAATATACTCTTTCTATAATGATAGGTAGTTTTCAGTGGCGGGTCAGGATTTCGGACCGGGGGTGGGGTGGCAAAAATTTTTTTAAGTGAAGGTGCGTGGCGTCAGCCACGCACTCCAATTTTTTGGGTGCTTCTCAAAATTTTTGAGGGTCCATAACCCCTAAAATCTTGAGAAAGGCGGCGTGGCGTCTACGCCCCCGAGAAAAATTTTTTACAAGGCTAGTTTGGATCTGCAAATTTAAAAATTATTCTAATTATTTACAAGAATAAAAAAGTCACTGCACATTTTTGTAACCCATGTAAGTAAATTTCAAAAATTTCGCGACCCATCTTCGGGGAGGGGGGGGGGGGGGGGGAGGGAGGGGCGCCGCCAAGAACTGTTTACGTTTGATCTGCTCAGTATCTTAGCTGAAGTCTATCTGAAGTATAGTGTCTCTGCTTATAGATGCGTGAAAATTATGATGTACGTGTGATGTTCCCCAGAGAAACGGACGCTGACAAGGAAACCATCCATCTTCTTGGTAAGAAGGAAGATGTTCTCAAGGTGAAGAAGGAGCTTGAAGAGAACATCAAGCAACTCAACGAGACAGTCGAAAGCACCGTACGTGAATTATAAAAATTTTTCGCGGCGTTATTGTAATTCCAAAATTAGATCGAGGTTGATACCAAGCATCACCGTCACTTCGTTATGCGAGGAGCTGCAGTACTTCGTGAGATTCAAGAGCAAAACGGTGGAGTCGTCATTTCCTTCCCGAAGGTTGTTAACGGTTCTCGTTTTTTATCCGTCAAAAAATTCTGATGTTTAGATGGGAAGCGACTCGACTACCGTCCATATCAAAGGCTCCAAGCAATGCGTCGAATCAGCTAAGGCACGCATCGAAGAGATTGTTGAGGACATTGTAAGTAGTTTTGATACGTTTCTGTTATTTTTTTGGGATATTGCTTAGTTAGCGATAATAATTTTGTTGTAGATTTCGATTAGGATAAGACCGCTGGCGCACCCAGAACATAGTGCTTTTCCGACGATCGAAGTAGTGTATTTATTTAGGAGAAGCAAGTGTCGATTCAAGTGGAGATTCCATCACAATTCCACCGTGCTCTACTCGTAAATCGTGGTCAAAAGATTCAGGATCTACAATCGAAGCATCATGTACTCATCCGTTTCCCTGAGCGCAGATTCGGTAATGGTATGCTACAAGCATTTCCATACTGTGTGTCTTATTGCTCATTCGGATCTTTCCAGAAGCCACAGACGGTGCAGATGCCGAAACACATCCTGAGAATATTGTGACGATCTCTGGTCGAGACACGAAGTGTGAGGCTGCAAAGGAAGAGCTGCTGGCAATGGTGCCGGTGTCGAAAGTGATCAACGTTCCTATCGACATGCATCGCAGTCTTATTGGACGCGGTGGAGAAACGGTAATAAATCTCCTTTGTGCCACATCTTTCTACAATGAGATATCTAGGTTCGCAAGCTCATGCAAGATTACGACGTCAACATATCAATCCCAAAGAATAACGAGAGCGAGGAGATTACGGTCACTGGGCAACGCGAACATGTTGAGGATGCTTTGGAAAAGATCAGAGAGAAGATCGCTGAATTTGAGGCTCTGGCTGAAGACAGGGTGCGTTTTCGTCCATGTATAGATCGTGAAGTCACTTTCTATGTATTCTGCTCTTCTATTTAGTGATTTTTTTAGAAGCTTCGTTCGTTCCAACTTGTAATCGACGTTCCTGCTGAATATCATACTCGCATCATTGGGCCGAGAGGAGCTACTGTGAATGCACTCAGAGCCAAACATGATGTTCAGATCAGTCTGCCGCGTGGTGAAGAAAAATCGGACCAGATCACCATCCAGGGTAAGTGTTCTCCTTGTAGTGTCTAAGCTTGTGGTTCGCCAAAATAATTGCTTTTTTGATTGCTGTCTATGCTGGTACTCGCAGTTTGCGTGTGAGAACCTAGAAAACCAGAAAACCTAGAAAAAACGTAGAAAAACCTGGAAAACTTGTTTTCTATACTGTGTGCAAATGCTAAGCGTATATGGCAAGTTGCTCCGGTCGCATGTATAGCTCCGATAAAGGGTTAGGGACTGTATGTCGCCTATATGCTCCATCCGCTCGGACAGCTACCACAAATCTGTGTTACCATAATAATCACCTACAATATGCATGCGTGGTCTGTCGCAGGTGCCCGCATGGGACCACCCCTTTCGGCGGCATGTCGTTCTCTACTTTCCGAGAAAAAGCAGAGCCTCGTGTTGTTCTGTGATTTTCAGCGGAGTTAGAAGGCAGCGTAAGCATCATATTGCAGGTTACGAGGCTTCAGCACGTGCTTGCGCTGCTGAAATTGACGAAATGATTGAAGAGATTCGATCCATGTTTACGCAGGAAGTGTCCATAGACGCTGGTTTCCATCCTCGCATGATTGGCCAACGTGGCAAGAATCTCAAAAAGGTAGCCTATTCGTTTTGGGTAATAACATGTGACATGCTCCTATCCTTTTGTCTAGCTCATGGAAGACTATGGTGTTGAAATTCGTTTCCCTCGTGATGCGGCGGACCCTAACCTCGTCATCATTGCCGGTAAAAGCGAAGATGCGGTATATGACTGCATCGATCATTTGCGTGCTGAAGAAGAGGAGTTTTTGGTGGACCATGTCGATAGGGTAGGTTTTTATTTGCTGCATACGTTTGCATATCGATTGAGCGCAAAACTTGTGTAATAGGCATTTTTCCTGTCGTATCAAATAATTATCCTTTGGCTTCTGTATCAAGCGCAAAACCTTTTTCTGCGTCTTACGTTATTTTTGATTTTGGGGCATCTTACCAAGTATAAATGCGGCCTAAAACACCAAGTTGTCTAGTGCTGAAGGATATTCGTCCTGCCCCGACTCGTGCAATTACAGCACTCGGGCATGCCTTATTGGTGCCTTTCCAGCTTGACAATACGCTGCAGCGCGCGAGGACTTGGTAGCTCGCAGCATCCTTGTCCTTTCCCTGTCCTGTCCTGTCCTACTGTCAAGCTGGAAAGGACCAAAGAAGCACGCTCACGGTGGTGTAATTGCACTAGTTGGGGCAGTGTCGACAAATATCCTTTAACGAAATTCTGACGTGCGCTTTTTCGCAGTGTACTTACTCAGCTTGAGCGCTCTCTTCTCTGTATGCATCGAGTTTACTCTGCAATAATTAGTTTTTAATAAAAAGATAACAATGTTTCTTTTTTTGATCTTTGCTCTATATCTTGTATCTCACGATCCACTTTCAGAACCAATACGTCTCCACACGCGTGCAGGAACAGCCAAAGGTGAATAAGCCCGTACAGATTAGCAATGCTCCGTGGCAGCTGGATATCGGAAGCTCGGAACATTTCCCAGACATGGGCGCTGCAGCTCCTTCCCACACTGTAGGTGGTGCTTGGGGAAGCGCCCGCCGCTGGTAACCACCATCTTGAGGATTTGACCTACACCAGCACACACACACCTTGCTCCCTGCACTGATCTGCTCACAGAAAGCACTTATACGCTGTTTTCTAGCTTAATTTTTTCATTCTGAATTGTTTTAGTTGAATTTTCAAATTCTCCAGAGATTGTTTTATCGCCTCTTTTTTCCTTTTCAAGTGCCTATTCCGTGTAGAATGATTCTTAACGGGATTTCGTTCTAGTACTATGACTTTCAATCATTATTTATTGTGATCATATATTTATTTTTCCTGTTTTATTCCATAATGGTTCTATAGCCATATTCTAGAAGGATTCTGTGTGATGATAAACAGGTCAAATCGGTGTTAAAACATTGTGCCTTCAGTCTTGTCAAAATATAACAGTATCGGCTCTAACATATCTTTCTTAAGAATTTCTTCTCAATAGTGAAGGAATTACACTCGACCATCACTCTAATAGTTTATGGAAGATGACTAAACGAAAGAAAGAATCTTCATGTTTCATTCTCCCTTTTTCCATTGTGCTGATGAAATAGAGCAAGAAGAACAGTAACGTTCGATTGCGCTAATCAGACCTTTGGGAAGCATAGTCTGTAAAAGTTATACAAACAAGGGAATGATCAGAATTCGAAGTGGCCAATCCAAGCAAGCTACCTATCGATGCACCATTCAACGCTGAGTTCCAGTGTGTATTTCATATCTGCTTAGCGCATTTGTGGACGAAGTGATGGGCAGTTTCATTGCGAAAAAATCATGCTTAGAAATTGCAAAATTAAGCACATTTCTGCACTTTCAGCTCACCTTTAGGCTTTAAGAATATAAAGTAACCTAGCTGCATGTTTTGGACCAGCATTAAGTCAAACAAGGCTCTGTATCATCAAATTCGCGCTTTGCTTGCACGAGTTTTTAGCAAAATAATCGCTTTTAACGGTTCGTAACTCCGCCCACATAGGCGCTGAGCAGATATGGAGTACAGGTTCGAAGTCAGCGTTTTTTGCTGCATCTGATGGCATGCAGCTCGTTTGGATTGGCCAATTCGATTTCTGACCATTCCCTTTCGAGGTATCCACAGTCTGCCGGTTTTTTTCTAAACTGCGTTAATGTTTTGGTCGTGAATTATCGTATCAAGCAAGCTGAGTAAAGGTAGCGAACTGATGTAAATATCGGGAAACAGAAAACAAGATATGAGGAGATACTGCTCAAGCTACACGTTTTAGATCATAGTCACCATTTTGGTTCACTTCAGAACTCAGCTAAGCCGAGTAGATTTCGCTTATGCGCTAACGCAGCAAAGGCTCCTATCGAAGAAAAAACTTGACGTTTCTGCAGCGCAGGTGAGCATGACTTTTTTCATTTTCGCTTTGCAAGATACTTTGTTTTGGAGTGTTCCTTATTTTGTACTATTTTTATTTGCATAGCCTGTAGCAAGTGTAAGTGCGGCAGAGCAATCTTTATGGCCAAGATCTTGTCGTTGTCGTTTTTGTGTTGTTTGGCGCAGCTTGAGCGCATGTAATAGACATAACCATCCTGAGCAACGTTTGCAAAACTGCGTGGCCTTCCGTCTCAGAGTTTTCCGTTTTATCTGGGAATTGCAAAAAACATGGAAACGCATGCAAAATTAGCATAGATCAAACCAAGATCAGTGACATGATTCAACCGAGAAAAAGAAAAACGTTGTAATCTGAACATGCTTGTGTTCAAATTACAACATTTAAACGTGCTACAATCCGAACAACAGACTTATCTTTGCATGCCGCTGGGTTCTGAGTGAACGTCTTCTTTTTCACCGTTTTGTACTGTTTTTGTAAACGCCGGTGAGCTTACGTCTTGAGTGGTACTCCGCAAAATCCGGAGTAGTACAACACAAGGTGGCTACAGAAACCGGGTTTTCAAGTGCGTAAGCTTGAAGAGAGGAAGGGAGAGAGAGATAAAGTGGTACTGTAATCTATCGACATGGCAGAACCCTATTTTGTCCCTGTTGTCTGTGAGGAAAATCGTGTGGAGGAAAACGTCGCCCATACGGGACCGCAGACGCAACAAACGCCCACACACACCTCTTGCATGCATAGGCGCGTATCTGATCTTGCAGATCTTCGCGTGGGACTTCTCAAGAATTGCTGGGGTAGTGAGGAAACTTCTACATTTGTGAGACTACTCATAGAAGAGTTCCCTGATCTCCATGCCTGACGATTGAAGAATGCTGTAATTTTTGCACCTCCTTTTTGCAGTTTTCCTCATGGATAACGTGAGAAGAAATCCTGATGCTAACGTAGATGACATCCAGTCAGAATTTGACTATCAAAGTGAAGTCGAGCGCAGAAAGAAGAAACGAAATGATTTGCTGGAGAAAGACTTCAGTTCGCTGGTAACTTCTTCATCTTTTTGCTTTGTCTTCTTCGCTCAGCATGAGTACTTTACGGCATTATGATCTAGGAAAAGAAACCGGGCAGGAAAGAGGCAAAAGCTTGGTTTCAAGAAGAACATGGTCGTATGCATAGGTGAGTGTAGAGAAGAAGTCTAAATGAATGAATCACTGGGCATTTTCAGACAAATAACTCGGATGATGGCAATGGATGCTTACTCTCGACACAAGGAATTGATCAATTTATACTATCTTTCGCATCCGGGTGCCACGAATATACTGCAACGTGATACAAGCAGAGATCGCACTGACTATGATGTTCTTAAGGTGATGTGTCCTACTTCATATATCTGAGTTTTTTCGAGTATTTCTTGGTTTGCAGGATAATCACAAATTTCTATGGACTGATGCAGATGAAGCTGCTGTAGCAACTAGTTGGGAGGCTAGGATGGCAAAGAAATACTACGATAAACTATTCAAAGGCTAGTAAGTTTCTTTTAGACAATAATTATGCATATTTCTAATAACCTATAACTGGTTTGACGTGTATTTGGATGACATGCAAAAATTCATCCGTCATAAAATTTAGAATACTGCATCGTTGATCTCACTTACTTCAAAAAGAACAAGATTGCTATGAGATGGAGGACAGAAGCAGAAGTGCGCTCTGGGAAAGGGCAGTTCATTTGTGGCGCCAAAAAATGTCCTTCTCAGGAAGCCTTGTCTAGTTGGGAGGTAATCTTGCCTTTTCTCATTATATCATTAGCTGGAAGAACTTTGTGAAACGTTGCAATATATTTATCCGTTTCGGACTAGTAGAAAAATAGTTTGTATGGTCTCGATCCAGTTGAGTAAAATTTTATTCCATCTATCTTGTGAAGTGAGAAAAGGTTCTTTGATAGATAATTTGAAAGACACAAGAAATCGCCTAAACTCTGATCTACGTAATGCTTGGAAATAAGATGATTAGACTGCGCCAAATTTTCCTCTAAAAAATCACCACCCTTCCAGTCATTCACGATATATCAGGCACAGTTTTGCTTCAAAAGTCTCGATAATCATTAATCTCTAATTCCGGCATTATCTTCGAAAGAAGAAATCTTGCATTTTCTAGAGTGCGTAAACTGAATAGGCATATCGCAAAGATGCAAGCTGATTTTGAGTCATATTGGAAAAGTGTCTTTGAATTACGGATACTCTGACCCATAGAGATATGTGCTTGTTGTTTTTTTTTCTCGTCAGTTCAGATAGGAAAAGAAAGTTTTGAAAGTTAATTCGTCTTTGGCAATGCTAGAGCCCCACGCATACATTGTCTTTGGTACATACACTGAAATATAAGGCTAAAAATTTCACGTCTTAGTTCCAGAGAAAAATCCATGAATTGAATTTTTCTAATTCCTTGAAAACTTCTGTTGCCCATTTAACTGTACTAATTCGATTTTCAGAATATGATATTGCCGCATTCTTTGAATTTAGTATACTACCAGTTAGCTAATTGTACTGGAAAAGGTTTTTTTTCTCGAAGGAGTGAGAGAGGCATAGTGGTTTTGAATTTCCTCTTCGACGGTGCCTCTGCTTCGACACCGGGAAAACCTTTTTCATTAGGCTTGAGCGGTAGGCAGTACTCTATAGGCATGAACAAATGGGTTACGTGATTGTAGGATATTTTTTCAGTGTATGTAAAAGCATCTTATAAAGTTTTGGTTATTTGCAGGTGAACTTCAGCTACGTTGAAGGTGGCGAACGGAAGAATGCACTAGTGAAAGTGCGACTATGCCCTCAGTGCTCAGAAATGTTGAATTATGGATCACAGAGAAGACGAGTAGAGAAGCATAAGAAAATTCGGAAGGAGAAGAAATCTCGTTCTAGTGAATCTGACCGAGGAGATACAGTAAAGCAGGAACATGATACAAAGAAGGAAGGAGGTGCGTTGTAGTTATGCTAAATATCTGGGTTCACTAGTAGGGGCTGAAGCTGAGCAGCAGAAGAATGAGTTCAAAAGTCTAGAGTTTTGATTTGAGACATGGTGATTGCACAAAGGGTCCTTAAGCTGAAAGGATACCTTTCCGAAATGATGCTCATACTTAGGTGTTTACGCCGTGATGTTATCGTAGAAACCGGAGGATTTTTCTGGTTTGGTAATACTCGATGCTCACAAATTTATAATGATATGGTTGGAAGTTTAGTTCCTGAAATAAAAGTGATCGTAGTCAATAGCATGATGATGATGATGATGATGATGTAGGCCTAGTAAGATAGCATAGTGTCCGGTGTTGAAATCAGAAAGGTAAGAACACTACAACGAAATCAACTTTCAAACTATCATCTGGCTACTGCAGAATGTCAGTTTTTGAAGATGTGATGCGTATTAGGTACAGTAGAGCTATGGCATGTATTGCCAGTACAGTACCGTTCATAATCTGTGTAGAAGAGCGATGATCACTTGGTCAGTTGGCATTAGCATCACATCGCTATATTTCGCATCGGAAAGCGACATTCTTACGTCTGATGGCACTATACAAAGCTGGGCTCTCTGATCTTCTGATACATAGAAGAGCTGTTTGAATAGAGTAGGTTCATGGTAGCTAGTCGTTTTCCACGAATAAGTACAGAGTTTTGCTTACGGTAGCTTATCTGCTGTTTTCCGCTGCGAATTGTTTTCGGCAATAAGCGAAATCTGAGGAAACCCATGATAGGTCACTGGCTAAATCTACCTAGACGCACCTTCATACATTAAAAAGCGCCTGCCTAGCTGAATTGAATGGTGCTCTTAGAATTAGGAGTTGTTCACACAGGAGCGAAATATGGCAATGCGGCACCAATATCATCTAAGGCCATCGCGTTTTTTTGATCTGGAAAAAAATATGAGCGGTACTGTCGAGAATGAAAAAAACATAGCGCAGTACAGCAGAAGTAAGCTTTCACACTTCTTACTCTAATTTCTTAATTGATGGATGAGAGACATCTGATGGTCATTTCTCCAGGGAAGAATGCAATTCTGCATTGGCTTCCTATGTAATTAAAATTCCGAGCCGTTGTTTACATGTTTATTTCAACAGCCGTCTGTCTTTAGTGTCCTCCTAGCTTTCCAGCGTATTTGAAGAACATGTGGGAAAATTGGTAGGAACTGAGCGAACTAATCGCCTGTGGGTCCTCGCATAGAAGCCAGATTGTTTCAACTCGAAAGCTAAGAGGTCCTTTTGTCTACCGATCTTCAAGTTCTAGCTGAAACACCTGAAATGCGAACACTATCTGCTAGTCAGAATCACTTCGGATCAAGGAGTGAAAAAGAACAGCTGAGTGGGTCACTTAAATTCTTGCACGATAGAACCAGCGCCTTGGTCAGAATTTGCGAGGAGCGGTTAAATCAGCTGATAGTTCAGTAGTCGCATCTAATTCACCTTTCACGTGCGTCAATGGATGGGGCAACAGCAATGGTTGGAGGCGTTATAGTATGCGCATTACGTGAGCATTGGCCATTTAAGTATTTTACGGCTGAAGACATGCATATTAATGAGTTGCCCTTCCCCCACACTCCCTCTGAATCTTTATTTCTATTAAGTTGTTCCTTCGTGTTGATAGTTGAAGTTTACGAGATTTTTTGCACGCATTATAAGGAAGATGCACCGTTAAGAATTAAGTATCATACATATAAGCATTCTCTGTAAATCGGAATCTTTTTTATGTCTTTCAATTAGAGCAGCATGTGGAATTCATTTCTGCGCGTCTTTTGCTAGTTAAACAAACGAATTTTAGCTTTTGTTCAGTTTTTCCTGATCTAACTCTTATTGAACCAATCATCTCTTCATAAAAGATGCTCTATCCTTCAACAGATATGTGGGAGATTTTAGGAATTTGAGCTCGGTTATGAGGGAAAGTCTGACATTAGGACAAATCGTGCTTCTTGGTTAGATTGTTACCTTCTCTCCTTCACTAATATGAGCGAATTCGGTAGTGTTATCTTTTCTTGCGTGGTCACTGAACCTCTTCAAAAAAGATTTGCGAACAGTTTCACAAGAGGTTCAAAAAGGTCACTTGGTTTTGTATCCCAGCTTTTGTTCGTCAGAATGCAATAAGATAGATCTTGAACGGATCGTGCTTGTTGTTAATCGAAAGTTTGATATATCTACGTCAATTGGAAATAGTGCTCAAAACTTGATTTTGTTATACGATAATTGCCATAGCCCTGAAAATTTGATTTTGAGCAAGTCTTGAAGTCATCGAAAAGTATATACAGGGCGTCCCAAAAATTGTGTCTGTCGTTTGATTGTCAGTAACCCCTTTGGTGAAGCCTTTGGAGAAGCTTTAGCTACCATTTTGTAGAGACAGCTTGAACTTAATTACGAGATAGAAATAATTGCCAGTAACTTATTCCTGCTGTGGGAGTACAGCAGAAACTTTGAAAGGTTACTGAGCCATAAAATTAACAGTCCCATTTTGTTCAAGAGAGAAAACCGAATAAGTTACCAAAAAGTTTCATACTAAGCTAATCAAAGTTGCGATTTCGAATATGAAATTTGCGCATCACAGTCGTGCTTCTTTGAGAAGATATTACACGTTAACCGTAGAAGCTTTTCTATTTTCCGAAAATGTGATTATACCATTAAAAAGCTCAAAATTGTTGCAGAAAACGAAATCAGCATGCACGGAAACCCTACTACGCAATAGACTTCTGTGAAATTTTTTCATCGAAAGCTTATCTGACAACGGCTTTGTAATCTGGAAGTTCCTACCGTAATCCTACAGTAATCTGGAAGTTCCTCTTTTAATTCTAAAGTAACGAAGAGAGATCAAGAATGCCTATACTGTAAATCAAAGTTGGAGTCGTCTCCACAAATTGTTACCTAAAGCTTTTCCAAAGACTGTATAATGAAGAGTTTTCGGATCAAACAGTAGCCATATTTTTTGGGACACCCTGTATCCTTCATTCCACTGGATTGGCAGCTGGAAGGCGGGGCTTCGTGACCTAGTCAAGGCTAGAGTATAATCAAAGAGCGAGAGAGACGCCGACCGCGTCGCGGGCGCGAGCGGCCTTGATTAGAATTAAAAAGCCCCGCCAAGCCGCCAATCCAGTTGAATCAAAGTGTTAGTGTCATGTTATGTAGCTATAGTTAACAGCATCTATATATTGTTTCTATACAACTTCGTGTAGGACTTTTTCTTACACTAAGCAGTGTTTGTTTATGGTGTTAAGCCCGTATGCGTTGCAAAAACTCGTAAAAATTTCATTTTCTTGCTAAGGCCATGAATAACAAATTTCGATATTTTATCTGTTCCAGGGGAAGCCACTAGTTCAAAAGCACCTTCCGGCGCTGATGCATGGACAGCTCCAGTGCAAGAAACGGTAAGAACAATGGACGATGATATCGATGATTTCTTAGACGATCTGTTCGAATAACTTTGATTCATTGACTTCTTCAGTTATCATCAGATCTTCACTGTGTATTTATTGCTTTGTTTGTGGTCAGTTCTTTATTTGTCTTAGTAATTCATTTTTAGCAGCTGCAAAGAGTCCCTTTTTCCATGTATTTTCAGCTTGCGATGTGAAATGTTAATTTGTTCCGGGTGATGCCTGCTTTTGGTGACTATAAATCACTTTCCTATTACAGCGAGCAGTTGAGAAATTGAACAATTTCGCGCTATGGTTAATTTGTCGAAATGGTCATCCTGCTAGATATGATTTCAAGAATTTGAGTAATTGGCGCATTCGGAAAGGGCTAGTACATTTCTTGGATTTGTTTTTGCACCATTGTGTTTGGTAAAAGTACAAAGCGGTTGGATGTTATAAAATAATTGAAAAGGTTCGCGGAAAGCTTTGAATTGTAATTCAAATCTCAACTTAGCGTAATGATCATTTTCAAACATTTTTCGAGTTCTTCTAAGCAGAGGCGTAATTTTTTTTTTTGAAAGTTCAAACTACTTTTTCACGCCCACTCTTATTGTACAGCAAACACACCTGATATCCATAGTTAGGAATTTCCGTGAAGGTTTGCATGTGCGTTTTTTAAATGAATGTTAATTCAGAATGCAACAACCTTGTACCAGTGGCGTACCCTGGATTTCGGCTCGGGGGAGGGGGCGACAAAAATTTTTTTCTAATGAAGGTGCGTGGCGTTAGCCACGCATTCCGAAAAAATTTTTGGGGTGCTTATCAACATTTTCGCGGGTTCCTACGACCTGAGAAAAATTTTTTTACAAGGTTAATTTGAATTTTCTAAAAATTTTTAAAAAATATTTTAATTATTTACAAGTCTGAACAAGTCATTTGCACAATTTTATAACTCATGTAGGTAACTTTCAAAAATTTCGCGACCTGTTCTCGGGGGGGGGGGGCCACCCACCCCTCCCTCGCCCCCCCCCCTCCCTCGGTACGCCATTGCCTTGTACGTGTTCTTTGTCCCATCTCAGAATTTACCATTAAATGTACTTATTTTTCCTGCTTATTATTTGACCAACGCGGGCTGCATATGTTCATCCCTCGAGGATCCTTAGAAGTAATGATGCTAGATGGCGAGCGTGGATAAAGCATTTTCATTGGCTTTTATGACAAACAATAGCGATATGAAGAAGATGCTGATGCGTCAAAAGTACTATGAACATTTCAGTGAAGTTTTCTAATCTTGAAAAGGAAGCCAACGACGGAAGCAACGGATACACTCAAGTTTGAAGCCAGCCGAGTTAGTGAATTGAGAAAGCAGTAGAAATCCCACAAATTTTCTTGGAAGCGGGAGGGGAGAGGAGAAAAATATTTTCAGGTGTCACGACGTATTCGCGCATACTTGAAGTATTGTCAGAACAGTGAGAACTGTTCGGATAAAGAGAATGCAATTACCAAGTATTAGGGTGTCCCGAAAGTTCTGTCATTTCATTTTTAAAAAATTCGTAACTTTTTGCCATTTCGACGGATTTGTTCCTTTTCCAGTTTGGAAAGAAGAAGAGGAGATCTTTTCCTCTTTGTAAAAGTGTTTCGATGAGCCTCCAATATACATTCATTGCAGAGATAAAACTGAAAAAAGAAGACCACTTGAGCTTTGACCATTTTGAAATTGGTCGCCAAAATCTGGAACGCTGCAGGAAAATCTGAAATTGCCAGTACGTTAGTTTTATGACCTACTCTTTGCATAAGAGGAAAAATTGTGCTGTTTGGACGTTTCAATGAAAAGTTATGGTTTTCCAGTTTACAATGGTAAACGCCAAAAATGATTAATTCGTCACTTTTCTCAAAAATCGCAACTTTTCATTGAAACGTCCAGACCACAAATTCTATCAGATGCAAAGAGTAGGTAAAACTTATAAAACTTGACTTACTAACATTATATACTAACAATTTCGGATTTCTCTGCGGTGTTCCAGACTTTTGGCGACCTAACTCAAAATAGTCAAACCTCAGATGGTCTTCTTTTGCCGTTTATATCTCTGCAATGAATGAATAGTTAAAGCTCACCAAGACACATCTACAAGGAGAAAGACTTTTCTTTACGAGAGAACGAATATGAAGCAAATCCGCCGAGACAGCAAAAAGTTACAAATTCTCAAAAATGAAGCGACAGAACTTTTGGGACAACCTAACATAATAACAAAAACTCTTTCTGTTATGAATGATATTATTAATGTATCTGTAAAAGTGTGTGGAAAAATGTGTAGGCTCTACCTTTCGATCCTTATTCATATAGTGTTCCGGTATTTCTCTCAAAGTTGAAACTTGAGCAGGCGATTTTTTTTATTTTCTGCCTTAGAGCTTGCTGAAGGCAGCGCTACAGCGGCAGTCGCAACTTTTGCAAAAATCGCAAACGCTACTTTGTCATCTGAACATACTAACAAAAAAGTTTAGATGTTGCGAAGCAGCCATCAGTTATCGTATAACAATCTCCCATACTGACTGCTTGATGACTCCTATTTAAGATAACGACCAAAATTTACAACATTGATAGGCGAGGAAACCAACGGAATGTGCTTATTCGAATTTTTTCTTTTGTGCTTTCCAAATCGCAAGTTAGAGTATAAAAAGAATGCCGTTGTTTTGAGCTCGCAGTTCTGACTTCAAAACTTGAATTTGTGTTTAAGTCGAGAATTACACAAGCAAATCAAACATAGAATCGTATTATCCTAAATGTTAAAGACAAAAAATGCTCGAAATCTCAAAATCTCAAAAGCTTAAAATCTGCAGCTTATCCAAAAAAAGGATGCGGTTGATTCGAGATTTTTTCTGCAAAATTCTTGACATCACACTTACACTAGATAGACACGACAGTCTTGAACGGCCCTTAAACCTTCTGTTTCATTCTCTCTCGCTTTTCTTTCCCATTCCAGAGTTTTCATGAATTCCACAAAGTCGACCAAAAGTTTAACTTCTTCCACAGCGCAAGTTGAAAATTTGCTGAGATCCGAAAAAATGAAAAACAAGAACTGGGTTTTTTATCCGTGACATGTACATAGCGAAAGTACTCCCTTTCCATAATCTAGAAGAGAGAAGATCCGAAAGGAAGTTACGAAGATTGTCCTTATGCAAATGTAACAAACTTTATGCTACGAGATATATTTGATGGTGCAAAAGTTCTTTTCGTTTTGTTGCACCAGGTCGCAAATCTAGCAGAGTAAAGGCAACAAATACTTTGAGCAGTAAAGCAAGAATTCGTCCTCTTTCCAGCTCTATGTTTTCGATGCTACTCTTTCGACAAGAGCTGAATCAATCGCCAACGCTTGCGACTCTTCATTTTCATAACATCTAAGTTTCCGTTAGTTTCAGGATTTTTTTTGGAACTTTTGGAGGTATTTGAATGGTCATCTGATAGTGCAAACCTTTTGCAAGTTAACAATTTTTGTATTTTTTCAACTTTCTCGAATTTAACTGAATAATTTTCCTGAAGTGTTGAATTCCGAAAACATTGCATAACGCCTAATTGCATCAAATACCTCATAATGTTCGAAAAGGCGAGGCTTCAAAGCGTCATTATTACTATCAGTAATCTTACAAGGTAAACGCGATTATCGCTTCAAAACAAATGGATTTTGAAATTTCGGGTACATCATACCACCAGCAGAATTGTAAAAGCTGACGATTTTCTCTGCAAAAAGTCCCATCCATCGCAAAGATAAGATAGCATTAGAAAGAGGAGAAAAACTTGTATCGAATGGCACCTGAGATGTTAGCATGTTACGTTTTACGAGGTCACAAGAGACAGAATATGGGATCTGCACCTTCCAGAAAATATTATTGGTAATTATAAAAAACATGCTAAAAATATACAAAAATTTGCATTAACTTGCAGGAGGTTTGCCCAATCAGCAGGTTAACAAAACAACTTCAAAGTCTCGACAATTCTGAAAATTAACGAAACCTAGACGCGGTAAAAATGGAGGTTCGCCTTAGCTGGAAAGAGAAAGAAGTTCTGCATCGAATGCTCTTTAGCCTATTTTTTTATCTTCACTCTACGAGGTTTGCAGGTTGGTTCGAAAACGGAAAGAATTTTTGCCCCAACCCCAATATCTAGTAACCATAAATAGTAAATGGCAATAACATCGAGAATGAAGGTAATATTAGGGAAAAGGAAATAACAACTTGCAAATTATTAAATATCAAAATAATGTCAGGAAACCTCAAAGTGTCAGAAATATACAGAATTTCTGCCACGAATATCATGTCTTTGGCCGTTATTTAAATGGCAACAACATACAGTGTCCACTTTCTAAATTTTTCCCTATGAGGAAAGGACATGACTGTAGGTGTTTGCGAGGATTAGTAAGCCATTATTGGGGAGTTGTCTGGTTTCCAGTTTGCTTAATATCCATTCGATTATCTGATCGGAATAATGGATATCTTGATATTATAATGTGGATGGCAGTTGACAACATCAGCATCTTTAGGCTTTCGAACTTGGAAATGTTTAGAAAAGCTTATCTGGGCTCAGAGTGATGTTAATCTTTTCATTTCATTTTGATTTTCAATACGCTTCAGGCGTTCCATAAAGAAAAATGAAAATGTTTGCTTCACATTGAACACGAACCGTAGCAGCAATTAATGGAGTTTAAACTCAGCCTCACAACTAGATGCTGCCTTGTAGTGCAGCCATTTCTCAATATTCGAGTTTCATATTCTTACACAAACGGTTTGAGTTTATAAGTCCTTGCGAAAAATTGCGGAGCAGATGAGAGAGATAGAATTAGGGCTACATACAATTCAACACGATTGTTCGCTGTCGCTTTGTATCCTTCCCTTGTAGGGTGGAAGTGTCAACTTATTGTTTTTGTCAGTACTGGATCTTAAACTTCACTTAATAGCACGAGGTTCCACAAGAGCCGAATGTGGTGTGCAAGAAATCGCAACTCTCACTTTTTTTTACAAACCAAAGTAATTTTCTTCTGCCTTCTTTCTCATGGTCCGGGTGAAATCTCATGACAGCGAGCTTCTCCAGATGATGACAGCAATCGCGCTCGGTTGTGACAGGTCGTTGTTAACAGATCGTAATCGATGCTCATTAGAATGCGCGTACGCGAAGCGACAAGTTACGTTAACGAGTGCGCGAAAGCATGAACAGTAGACCCAGCGGGATTGTCTCCCTGACAGGAGACGGAGGAGTCGATATGGATGTGCTCCGTCCCCCGATACTCGAAGAAAACCCAAAAACGCAGCCCCCAACGATTTTGCTCGATAACTCCATCTTAATGACTTCGAAACTCGTCCAAGTGTGTAAATTGATTCGAAATTATGGAGCATTAAGCAGAGAGCAAGAGCCGAAGCGGCTCCCTCGAGATGCTCCTCGGATAGTCGTACCCTCTCCCTTTTTCGTCATTTCGCCGTGCGCGGCATATGTATTCTATTTCAGCCTCATTTAAATAATTTCGCGGGTGCGGAAAATTGGGGAGCATCCAGGAAATTGAAATATGTCTTGAGGATAATTGCGCCACAATGCTGCTGCTCGACCTTGCTTCGAATTGATCAAAACATCCGTCAGCAATTTTTAGCAAGTTGAAGAGGCGAAATGGAGAGGGCTTGCAAATTAATGGACAAAGTGAAATTTTTCTTTTAAGTCTATTGGAAAAGTTACCGTACCTTATTCTAATTCAATTACAATAAACCAATTTAAAGCTTTTACATAATTTTGAGAAAATTCCACGCTCAAAAAAGGCTGGTTTGCCCCAAAAAATCCTACAGAGACGTGAAAAAAACTAAAGTAATTCCAAAACTTTGCTTCCGAAGAATACTTGAAATTTTTAGAAAACGTAGGTTGCGAAATTGTTTTATTAATGCGTTTCGAAAGGTGTTGATTAAAAGCCGTACTGGGTTTGGACGGTCTCAACTTCAATAAGACATGATTTAAAAAAGAAAAAGAAAGATGCAGTTGTTTTCTATAATGTCTTCTGGTTCGAATATAATATAAGAGAAGAAAATTAAAAAAATCGTTTTGATTTATAAAGTAGGCATATTTGAATGTTAAGTCACTATCTTGGATATTGTGACTGTTCCGTAAAGGAATCTGTAAAAAAATGGAGCATGGCAAAATTTTTAAATGTTTCTGAGTCCACATTTCGCATTCATCTTCTTTTTCTTTTATTGTATCTAGCACGCCTTTTTTGCTGTACCTAACATGGTCAAATTTTGTTTTTTTAAAATCAAATCTTTATTTCCGGAAAGTTGATGAAAGTTCTCTTTGCACTTTCACTCATATGCTCTGAAATTCCAGATGGATTGTTTAGTTGATGTTCCCACATTATCCTTCCCGGACATCGCTGAAATTTAGCGATCTGTAGCTTTTCTCAGTTATGATTGAGTCCGTGGTGTTGCGCAAGCCTCGGCGAGTGATAGATGCGTCTCCGGAGGACAAATCCCTCCCTATTAGCATGTTAATTGCTTGTTGATTCTACCCGGACACGCCCCCAGCGGCTCCTCTCATTGGCCTGCTACATCCGGCTCACAAGCTTAAAAATAATTCCTACTGCCGGCACAGCTCGTTTGCATCAGTTGCCAGGTATTACGGTAGTCTTACGAAAACTTTACTTTCAGTAGAAGCTATAAGATTCTCTTCCAGAATCTTCTCGAGATCGACTGCGATGTTCACCAACCTGAGCGTTCAAGATGTTTGGAACGAGTATTGGCAAAAACAGCTGAGTGCTGCTGCTCCAAATTTCAATGGTGAGATAAATGTTCTAAGATTAGAGAACGTTCCGAACTCAAAATTGGAAAGCTTCTTCTCCCAAAATTTCCTTCCATAAAACTACATCAGGGCCTTCTTTATATTTCAATGTTCGATGAATAACAATATATTGCTTTCTGAAGTCTCCTTGACCCTGTTTTTAGCCATAATGTTGTAACATGGTCTTGCGCCAAAATGAAAAATCCGTGATTCCTTCAAATTCAATGAATTCATCCAACTCAATCTATAATCTCGCACACCATGCGCTTTCTTGTTGTTGTGCGCAATTAAAGTATCATTGTTGGAACATCGCTGTTATAGGTACAAAGAGAAACACAGAAATTGCAATTATTGAAATTTTTTATTGGAAAAGATGCCAAAAATTTAGTGGAGCTGATCTTATCTTAGTTAGTTGGTATAACCTTTTTACTCAAGAAATTATGTTCTAACAAACGAATCTTTGAAGTAATAATATTAAATTCATTTGATCCTTTGACTTTTCAGAATGATCTTTGATTTATGCGATAGAAAAAAGATTACAGACCCTGAAAGGTTCAAGTAACACTGTTCTTCAAGTTTTTTTACATGAATTTCTGAACATTCTGGTGCAGATTAGGTCTCATTTTAAGCAAATGACAGTGATTTGGCATAGCCAAGTTTGAAATAATATAAATTTGTTTTCTAATGAGCAAGCTACATATTTGTTTTAAGCTCTAATCGTTCGTCCCGAAGCTGCTGAAGGTGCAAGTGGATCATCAAGAAGTTCGACTAGCACTCCTGATGCCACTGCTGCAAATCAGGGTATACTATAACATTCTTCAGTAGCTGACTCATTCCGATTCGAGCATCTTTTTTAGAAGACCTTTCCCCTTGCGAATCAGCCACTACAAAAAGACGACGCACTCGCACAAATTTCTCCGGATGGCAACTTGAAGAGCTAGAAAGCGCTTTTGAGGTGAACATTATATTAGAACATAAATCCTTTTGCAGCGTCTGAGATATTGAGCCATAAATACCGAAACCAGTGTCGGATATAGAAGCGTTCAAATAGAAGAGTGCTTTGCTGGAAAAACGTAGGAAAAATATTATGACTTTCTTGATTCAATTCTCGCACTTTCATAGAGCACTTTCCATTGAAGGTACACTCTAAGCAACTTTGTACCCATTATTTTTCTCAAATGCAAGTACGAGGTGGAACCATAAATTTTGTAATAAAGTGAAGATTTTTGAACCAAAAATAACATATTAAGCTGGCCAATAAATAAATCTGGCTGGCAGCTCGGAGGTAGTGCAAAAAAGTTCCCAATTTTCATCCTTGAAAAGACGTTTTGATGGAAATTAGAAGTTCACTTTGTTCTAGTACGAAATTTTTCCAAGACAAAGGGCAAAGAATTGATATACCCAATTTTTCTGCTGCAAGTGTGATAAAATCTCATGATTCCACTTTTAGAATTATGTTGTTCGCTAAGTAGAGAAAAGTCACTAAGAAGTTACTGAATTACAAATTTGTACGGCTGCAGCTAACTACAGCTTGAAAACAAAACTCGAGGAACTGAGTTTTCGGAAATTTTGACTTTTGAAAATTTTAATTAAAAATTTGGTAACTGCTATGTGACAGTGGAAGCTTAGAACTTCTCAAGAATATCATAGCTACAGAACTACAAAGTTATTTTCTTACAATTAGGGATCTACACATCGCAATAAAATTATTTTCTAGCCGATCCAATATTTTGCAGCTCTGAGTTCGCGGTGTACGTTTTATGTTCGGTTTTTCTCTGTTCTTAGGAATGGCTCTACTGCGGCTTTCTGCTTCGACTTAAACGATTATGGTTCTGTAGAAATTTTTTTAGGCAAGCCACTACCCGGATGTATTCATGCGAGAAGCTTTGGCTTTGAGACTCGATCTTCTAGAAAGCAGAGTGCAGGTAAAGCTATACTAGTTATTCACTTTTGATCATCCCATCCTTGTGTGAGCACTCAGCGCGGCGAATTGAGTCGTATCTTTTCGGAGCCGTTACCATAGGCCGTAGGTTTAGTTCTTCGTCTTGCAAATATAATAGGCAGCTGGTCCCGGGAGAGCGTTTATCTGCGCTTATTGCTCGAAATCTCTCCGGACCACGCGAATTAGGCAGAGACGTCAAAACAGTGATAGATTTTGGGGCTGGCAAAACTGCGCGCGCGGACATCTACCGTAACCGCGAGCGAGCGAGCGAGGCTGGCGCACTCTTCCGCTGGGACTTAGCCCGTCAGCCCCGCGTTTGTTTATCATTTTCGGGCCAATGAAAATGGCTTGCCATGCCGACGCTTATCCATCATCAACTCGCTACTGTATGAATATGTTTTTCAATAAAAAGTTCCCATAAGAGTTATCCGCAAAAATTCAAAGGGGCGAGAAGGAGAAGTCCACTGTCTTATCGCATTTCAAGTTGTTATTTGGCAGCACGAACTAATCGGTTCTTCCCCGATGCTGCCTGCCGAGTCATTCAAAGTGACAAACTGCGAGTTAAGCATGGACAAATTCATTGCTGCAGATCGCCAGATACCCGCGAAAACAATTCGTGCACTGAAGTTAGGCAATACATATCCGCCAGTGATTCGACGAAGATATGGCCCATGTTGAATGGGACAAGACGAGTAATGAGAGCATCACTGCCAAAGGGATGCTACTTTACTCTCACGAAACAATCAAAGAGCATTTACTAAATGTAGAACGTGGATGGGGAAACGCAGAAAAAAATGCAGAAGAAGGAACCTCCTCACCCTGATTAGATAAAGTTCGCTTTTCCTAAGCTGCAAAAGAACCCTTTGGTGAAGATTTCATATACTATAGTTCTGATAGCAAAGCATAAGTGCAGATTGAAGGATAAGTTTTAGATAATTAGGGAAGAGAAACGATAGCGATTGACTAGCGTTTACAACATTAGGCTGCTCATCTTTTGATAGATGGGCTAGATGGGCTTTGTGTGGCAACTAGATTGCCATGAATTGTCTATTCCTTTTGAGAATGTTTATATTAGGTTGGTGCAAAAGTTCTTTCCCACCAAATTCAAAAATTCAGAACTTGTTGAATTCTCAACGAATCTGCAACATTAAGAGAGGAACTCATGCTCTTTGCACCTGTGCCTGAATTGTTTGTTAATGTTTACAAATGAAGGAGATAGAAGCTCAAAACCAAAATCACTCAAAATTCGAATTTTTCGTGTAGGGTCATAAAAAATCTGAAACTTGCAACAAAAACCGGAACAGTCAGTATTGTAGGTTCTTTCACCAGCTCTTTTTAACGGTGCAAAGTTTGCGCTGATTGAACGTCTCTATGAAAAGTTATGATTTTCGAGCAAGCAATACAAAAGGGCGAATTTGATTTATTTCGGCATTTTTCAGGAAATACATAACTTTTCACAGAGACGCTCAATCGGCGCAAACTTTGCACTGTTGGAAAGAGCTTGTAAAAGAACCTACAATACTGACTGTTCCGGTTTTTGCTGCAAGTTTCAGATTTTTTATGACCCTACACGAAAAATTCAAATTTTGAGTGATTTTGGTTTTGAGCTTCTATCTCCTTCATTTGTAAACAATAACAAACAATTCAGGCACAGGTGCAAAGAGCATGAGTTCCTCTCTTAATGTTGCAGATTCGTTGAGAATTCAACAAGTTCTGAATTTTTGAATTTGGTGGGAAAGAACTTTTGCACCAACCTAATATTTACTACTTGTTATTTTGGTACCAACCTTTCAAATTTTTGGAGATGATAGTTAAACGTGCCTTTCAACTTTGTGTTTTGCACAGCATCCCTTCTTTCCTTTTCTGGTGTTCAGGAAACTTTTTTGGACCCAAGACCTCGCCAGACCTTCTTTCCAATAGTTGTTGTTTATGCATCTTGAGTGAAAAATTGTCGATCTCCAATCTACTCTTACTGAAGCATGTGCTTTTGAACAGATCTACTCGCTTTCTCCAAATTTCCTTGATAGAGTTCTGGAAATGATGCACTACATAAGGTACTTAAAGCAATCGACTTCTGAATATCATGTGTCAACATTTTGATTATTCGTTACTTACAGTCTCTTCTTGTACAAGCCAATCAAATAGATAAATGTTTGCGACTAAATTTTTCATAGCGATTGCTCCCGCACCGGTGACTCAAATTGTGTGCAGATTTTCGTAATGGCAGTGATAATAACAGTCTTCAGATCGTGAGAAAATTGCAGTCGTTTTAGTCAGATTCACTTACATTTCTCCAAAAGCTATTGTTTGTTATCATTGCTCCTCTAAAGTATATATAGATGCTCGAGTCATTTGTAAGTTAATATGCGTATTGCACACCATACGCGCTGTTTGACGAACCTAGAATTGGAACCTGCTCATTTCAGCGACTTTGCCTCGTTTCTTTGCCTCTTTTGGTTTGAAAGGATATTAATTGGTCAGTAGTATACACTTTTACACTTTGTTATGCTAGAAAAGATTTGATCGAGAAGTTAATGTTAAGGGTGCCGTCCTGAAACACTTTGCGTGCAGGCTCACATATTAAGTTACGAATGACTCAACGATACACATGCTAGGTTTTTGGGTCTACAATAAGCCTTGGAAAAATCTGTACTATCTCTGAGTGGCATCCAACAAGAAAATTTGAAGTCTGATGAGGATGAGGCTTGGCAGGAAAAGACGAAAAAATTCAGCTACATATTTGCATCTTGTTAGAAAGGCATAAACGCCTTGCCATTATAGGATTCTCTGGTTCGTCTCTCAAATTATTAGTGGTTTTTTCCAGAAACAGTTTATTTAAAGACTTATATCTCAGGTCTGGTTCCAAAATAGACGAGCAAAATGGAGAAAGAAGGAAAGCATTAAGAATGCAAGCCACAGCGAACAGGGGGGATCGAAAGAAGATGGGCAGGAGCCACGCAAGGTAGCTGAGCTTATTAGGGGTGTTGCTTTACAACTCTTAAGTATTGTTCCCAGGCCAAAGAATGTGGGGCCTTTTCTATCGACAGCCTCCTCGCAGCAAGTCGAGTACCTCGTGGCCGTCGCCCTAATGCCAAATACCCAAGAGTGCAGGTTAGCCACCTCTTTTCATATAGACTGATAAGTAAATCTTACCATTTAGGCTTGCAAGAATCTTTCACCGTTCATGTTACCGCTTTTCCCGATTACCCAACCAGCAGGGCGAACGATTCGAGAGCCGTCCCCACAGGCGCATCCTCCACCAAGCGCGCAAGCTCCGCAGCAAACTGCAAGGGATCAGCTTTCAGAACTTTTGCTTTCCACAACTTCAACTTGATCACAGAGTCTCTAATATATTGCAATAAAAATTTCGCAGATGGTTCGCAAATCGCTTATTGTTTATTGAGATGGGGGATGCTAGTCAAAAAGTATTATGTACTGATTTTGTGGATTTGACGCTGAACTCGTTTTTTATAGTAAGAAATTGATATAACAAAAGAAAAAGTAAAACTAGCAGTTACCTTGGTTCTTTATCTTTGTTGTTTTTAAGCCTCGTTTTTGTGAAAAATCAGTGTAAGGAAAAGAATGTGAGGTGCTCTGTTACCTTGGCTCTTTATCTTGCTTTTCTTCCCAACAAAGTCTTCTACAAGAACCTAAATATTATGCAAGTAATGAAGAACTCTTCGGGTATGTTGTAGTATATCACATCTATGACGCCAAAAGGTAAAATAATTTTTTAGCGCAGTCCCATTATATGTAATTTTGGAAAGATTTTGAGGGTCACTAAGTTCACGCTCTTCTTATTTTCTTAGCAGCCTAGTGAATTTTCTAACAAACACTTGACAGTCACACAAACTATTTCAGCATCTTATACTTTTATCCTCGGCTGTCAGTGCCGTAAAGTTAAACTCGTAGCAAACAGATTGCAGGTACCATAAACTTTTTGGAATAATCTCAGCCTTATCTCCTTCGTTACAGTTTTCATCCAATAACTTCTCAGTGGAGAAGAGTACTTGGAAATAGCAAGAATGTAGATTGCCTTGGTAAAGAAAGGACTGATTCTGAGGGAGAAATTTTCGTAATTTCCTTCATTGGGGTTTTTGCAAATAAGGGATGCATATTTAGAATTAGCGTTCCAAGCTCTTGATAATGATATGTATTGATCTGCTCACATTCAATGCTCCAAACAAAACTTTGACTTTCTAATCATTTATCAGGCGTTACAGTGTACGGTATTAATTAGTTTTCTGTTGATATGTAGCACTACATCTCAAAACCGAGGCATTATCATACTGGCTTCCATCTACTACTTTTTGATATTCGACGACCTTGACAGTCTGCGCATAACTGAGATACGCTTACCAGCAAATGTATTGCCAGATCTGAATGCAACGTTCGGTACAAGTGGAAATATTTTTGAAAAATGAAATATTTTTGGGAAATGATACTTACTTTTTGTGCCTATTTCTCCTAGTTTCACTGTCGTCGTCCTCCTCTCCAGTCTTCCGGTTATCCGATGATGTAGTTTCACTTTCCTAAACACCGAAACTTTCTAAAGTTAAAGTTGTTATCAACAAAAGAGAGACGTCAATTTCAGACTCTATAGATTTTTGCTGATTCGGCGTGGCGTCAGTCAAAAATTGAAAAAGTTTTACAGATTACAAGATTTTTTTACACGTAAAATAACGCAGAATACTTTTTCACATTCGTGAGTCTCTTTTTAATCCGTTTTAGCGATGGAGGGTAGGGGGGGGGATAGGAAGCAGCTTCAAATAACGCCAGAGGCAAACCTCTTCTTCCCTTGTCCTTGGCGTCTTTCCAATCCAGTCTAGCTGCCTATTTATATCAATTTTCCTCTCCTTTGCTATCGCTCTGTTAACGACAAATGTATTGCGAGTTGTTTGGTAGAACCAAGTGAAGCTTACCGTACCTTAAGATGTTCTCTATGTACAAATAGTCAGGTTCATCGGAGTAAGCCAATCCATCGATGTACTTAACGATACGTCCAACTTCGACTGGTACAATTTTGTACATTTTTGGATATTTCTGCTTGAAAAATTCATCCTTCATAGTAATGACCTAAAATAAGAAAACAAAATTTGTTACCAGCTTCGTCTCTAACGATAAGCTAAATTTATAACATATTGAACAAATTAAATTTTTTTAGAATAACGTACTTGAGTTTAGTGATATAGCATAGAGAGGATGATTACCTGATTCTTATTGGCTGCTCTCTTCCATGGTAAGCATTCGTCGTCAAATAGATCAAATACCTAAAATTTAGGAAAAGTTAAATACCTAACTTATTGTGCACTTACTCATTATTTTGTGTGATTACTGTTATTGCTATGTTATTACTGTTATTACAGTGATTACTGACTACTGAATACTGTCATTACTCATTAATACATGTGTTATTTGATGTTTTCTTTTTTCATAAACACGTTCCTTTGGCGCATCAATGGATACACTCAATGAATAAATAAATCAATTATTTTGAGGTCTTGCTTAAGAAAAAATAACTGATACCGTCTGAATGAAAAGTTGATTCAACTAATGATGTGTGCAAACGCATGCAAAGTGACTGCTTTGGACACAATGTTCGGGAAATTTTGCACATGCACTTTTTACCGAGCTCCTGAAAACTAGCGCAAAATTCTCTCATGGATTGAGCGAATTCCTAATAGGTAGTTCATATCAGATTTCCCTAAAAGCTTTGTCCGTTTTTTATCCATTACCAAAATTCATAGATCGACGAACAACTCAAACAAAATGTTCGGATCTTTGTATCATTCTGACTGTTATTAGGTTGTCCTATAAGTCTTTTCATATTCGTACTTTCAAACTGATATTTCTCAAAAATTGAGTCATCTACAATTGTGCAAATTTGTGGGAGTATTCCTTAGTGAATAAGCTTATAATTACGTATTGCGAGGAGCATAGACGCATTACAGGCAAGTTTGAAAATTGAGCGCATTATTTTTTTCTCGGTTTCTAGCCATCAGAAAACTGCAGCAAGTGCATATATAAGTATTTGATGAGAAGGTTACATGCGTGAGCAAGTGGGGAATTGGCAAAATGTTTTTGAACTGGGATACGAATGTTTTCGTTTTTTCTGGATTTTGGATATTTTTCCCTTTTGTCTTGAACCTCGATGCGGATCAGACCTGGTACGAACTTTTGAAAGCCATATTGTAGAGCTTGCTTTGGTTTTCCAAATGTTGCTCAATGCATCCAATTAGAGATCTCAGAAGAGCAGACTTGTGGTGGTGAGAAGTCAAATATGAAAAAACTTATGAGACAACCTAATACGTTTCCTCTATGATCTATGCTGTCAATACTATCACCATGGCTCTTTGAGTAATCCTACAGTAAGGCCAAATTCTCCAAACTTCAAAAAAATGTATCTTAGTACTGAGAACAGCCTTAGTAGCTCTTATGGGAAGTAAGCATTTCGCCACATATTAGTTATCTTATTAGATTATTCAGATCACGTTTTCGATGTTTCTAACAATTGATTTGAGGAAAAAATGTAGCTTTTTAAGCCGACTCGGAATCTTACCAAAAATTCAAAAAGCCGATTCTATGACGAAATCCATAGTTATCCTGCAATGATTTCTCATAAAGATGAGCTCCAACGAGCAGAATTTAAGCTGTCATGTTTTTACTGCATTTGTGCGTTCGTGATTCTGCGAAATATCGAAATCTTCAGGAAAAAAGTTGGTTTTATGAAGGTTTAAATAGAGTCTGAATCTAAAACTGCTACGGTATATTACGAGATTTACATTACTTGCATGACACATTTTTCAAAGTGTGCATAGAACAGTCAAAGATTTCTCGCAAATATCATCCTATAAAAGAGTTATGGTAAATCAAACTTAACTTGCGAAGCAGGCTAAACTTCTAACCCAATACAACCCTTAAGGGCCGGGCATACTTCACGCGATTTGGCAATTTGCCGGAAGTCTTCGGATCCAACGCTGGCAAACTGCACATGCGTAGTGTGTATAATTTACGTGGGTTGATAAAATGTGCTATCTTCTGTACATTTAAAATGCGCTTATAATGAGTCATGGACAGTTGGAATACTGCCAAATCGCGTCGCGACTGAAAATCGCATGAAGTATGCTCGGCCCTTTACTACGTCTGAATTACGAAAACAACTCTGGAAAAGTCGTTTTTATGCTTCCTCACCATGTACAACCATGTTTCAAGATCGTCCTTCCTGCCTTGTTCAACTCCCAGATGACATGCTCTTGATGCGAATCTTATTGTACCCAAGAATTTTACCGAAAGTCGTGCTACTCTGAAAAATGAGGGTCGCGGTAACGCTGTTTGGACTCGCGCAAAAAGACGGTTTTCTGTAAGAAATATTCGCAAATCGTGTGACTTACAGAAATCTCGTTAAAACTAAGCTGTTTTGCTTGTGAATTGAACCCACTTTACTTGTTTTGTATCACCAATGCGATACTTTCTAGCGATACCAAAATCCAGCATGTATATGATACTTTCTTCGCGTCCCAGTCCAATAGCAAAATTTTGTGGTTTTATGTCTCTGGAATGTCGCAGATGTACACGATGAAAATCTTTTTTTCAAAACAAGCACACCTATGTAAATATCCGATATCATGCAGATCCCACACTGATTGTAGAGTTTGTAGAGAAGCATTCATAGCAGTTGGTTTCGAGTAATTTTTGTATAGTATATTTCTACGAATGTCTTCTAACGATTTGCCAACGAGTCCCATGACCAGAAACTGAATGAAAGTTGACGAGGCTGATTATTAATGAGCTCCTAGCATACTTTGAATTTACGTGTTTTTCCTCTATCAACAAAAGCTAAGAAGTGTGAGCACTTTTTTGGATTTTTGACTTCGTTGCATAAAGTGAATACTTGCACTTCGATTTTAAGCCGCAGCATCAGTTTATCTCCTTCTGTCATCTCTGTTTTCATTGCATACTCCTGAAATAATAAGTTTCGGCTAATTAATACAATTAGCTTTTCTTGAGTTCTGCAAATTTTTGGGCATCAAGCTAATTCCACATTTGGCTTTGGTATCATCCGTCACGCGTTCTTGGACGCCACGTTATGAGCGTCTTCAAGGTCTAAGGCATACTTCCTACGATTCCATCAAATCGATACATCCACGCAACTTGGTAAGTGGCCAAATTTCTACAGAATAAGAGTGTATAGGTCTCAAATTCATAATGAAGTTGGCTCATGCAAGCGAGCTTACTATCGATCATTAAGAATCGTTACAGTGCCAGATCGCATAGCGACCGACTGGAATTGCATGAGGTATGCCTTAAAGGCAGCGTACACCCAAAATCTAAGTTTCCCAATTCTCTATACCATGTATATCTAGGGCCCAGAAGAAGACCAACTGCGTTGGTCCGGTCTCCCAATGTTGCTTCTGAGCGAAAAAAATCCGCCTGGTTTTTCTTTCATTCCACCCCTTTTCTTTCACTCCGCCTCCTTCGGACGAATCCACGGCAGCGTAAGCTGCAGTTGCCGCTGTAATTGCTGTTGCAATGCTGTTGCAACTGCAATTACTGTTGCAATGCTGTTGCAACTGCAATTGCAGTTGCAACAGTGCAGTTGCTTTTTGCGGTCTGCCTCTTTCAGACGACGAATCCACGACAGCATACGCTGCAGTTGCAGTTGCGACTACAGGCTGTAATGCAGTTGCAGCTGCTCCTCGCTGGCTTGCCGAAAGGGTCGAGAATTCGAAACTCGTCCTCCCTCTAAAGAGAGGGTCCTCGGAAATCGGGGTTTTTTGGGAGGAGAATTTTAATGTCGTGACATTATATATTCATCTATGATTTACTTTTCCTTCGCTCTCCATCCTTCCATGAATTTCGATGCGGAAAGTTGCATATTGTAAATCTCTCGGTATGGCATCTCCCACCCCAACGTATTTGCAGTAGGGAAGTCAAACGAAGGCCTAGAACAAGATTAAAAAGATTGGGTATGTTTGATAGCGCGGCGTTGCAGATGACATGCTGAGCCATTTTCAGGGCCTCTCGGGAAGACGGAGGCATTGAAACTATGCCTTGACTCCATAGATAACAACTACTTCTCGAAAGTTAGCATGGAAAACTTTCAGGATGCAAACATTTCGAGAATTTTCCTTGTTACAGGTAAATCTCGAGAAAACAACTCTCCAAGCAGTTACCTCTTCTTGGTGCTTTTGGCGCCCTTAGACTTCTTAAAGCCACCGTCTACCCTAAGTTGAGGGTCTCGTTTTTTGGCAGCATACGATAGACGGTCCCTGCCAAACCAATGCCCAAGTCGAGAGGCAAAATGTCGCTGCGGAAGCAAAATCGCTTCGGGATAAGGAAGAGAGTATAGGACCTTTAGGTGGCAACGCCCCTCCAGTAATGCCCGCCCATCTAAACGCCTTCCGGGGTTCGCCCCCCGGGTTCTCGGGGTTTTTGCAAACTCTCGATTTCATATTCAAAATCGCGGACATGAGAAGGCCACGGAACAACAAAAAACGAGTATCTGAGTGGACGGTGCCTTTAAGTACTCAGCATTAGAATTTATAGCTTGTATTTTTCAGGCCAAAATAATCCAATTTTTGCAAAAATTGAGGTAGCCCAAGTAAGGATCGGTAGTCATGTATGTGTATGCGCATAATTAGTCATATTTCTCCTGCATACATAGCTAAGAAGCTGACGTTACGAATCATAAACTTAATTTGGATTTTGCAATAATTGAAAACCGAAATTTTACTTGTCAGTTTCGCATGATTTCGACTAAGTGACCAGGTAAAGTGTTCAAAGTTCATTTTTTGTTGGTGGTCGAGAATGTACATCACTCATGCGGATTGAGGTATGCGCTCTAGTTATGATCGATTGCCAAAGCGTTCATAAACTGAACCGAACTCAACGGACTATGCTGACAAATCCCTACAGTAACTAGATACATTTCAATATATTTCAAGAATTTTCTACGTCTTTGTAAGTGGACTTCACCGTTGTCTGATCTAGCAATAATCATGTCACCTTTTTGTCGTCATCATTCTCTTTCACTACTTTGTAGACATCCCCAAAACCACCAGAACCTAAGAGTTTGATGATTTTCCACCTAAAATTGCTTTTGATTTGGAGTATTCGTCCTACTCAAGCTTACGTGTAGGAGTCGCTTGCCACGGTCTGTCCTGGTTCCATTTTTTCTCTTGGAGCTTGCTTTTTCTTCTTCTTTTTCTTTTTCGCCTTCAAAATGTTGTTGTTAACATTGTGAAATTAGTGGACTGTTTCTCATAGCGTAACATATATAACTGCTGTAATATGCCTTCCAATTTTGTGCCAAAATGCAATGCGTTATTTCCGAACAGAATAATGCGTAAATAATTAATATTATCATTGTGACGCTTTTAAGAGAGATTTTTTCCTTCATTACTGTAGACCTCAGCGAATTTTCTATGACTGTCAAATCATAAGACTAAAACTTTTTCTCGTTACCCTACTTCTAAAATTACCAACCTTATCTGGCCTTTGTCGAACCAGGGTCACAGCTTGTGTGGACGTCATTTTCCATCATTATTGGTAAAATTCGTAGTAATTACCAGGGTAAAGCAGGGGGTGCGGCACGCCGCAGGGGGGGGGGGGGGGTCGTTTGGGGGCGGGGGGATAGGTAGGGGAGGGGGTCGTATCGACCCAAGGTCAAAAGCACTTGTACAAGCTGTGTGACTAAATTGACTTGATGAAAGCGCTGTTGAAATCCTGCAAATTTCAAGTTCAACGACACAAACTTGCAGATACCGTATGCCTACCGCAACCTACCGTACCTCTAATTAAGCATAATTGTCGTAATCCGCGTGTCGAATAACCCCTATGCGCCAAGTTTCAGCGAACTCTGAGGTCTCCGAGCAGTAAACAACCTTGTATAAAGCAGTAATTTAAAACATGATTAACTTCATCTTAACGGTGAGTAAGCTACCTCTTCTTGCACTCAATACAAAGCACTACTCCTTCTTTGTCCACCTCAGGAATCCCGCTTCAGAAGACCTTCAAACTATTGAATTAGAAGCCAACCAAAATCTCGTTTTTCCCATTTTTTGCTTTTGATCGCTGTGCTTTCACCAAATATTACTCAGAGCTAAGAAGACGAATCAGGCTCAAAACGTCCCTTTGGAATCTACGAAGTTTAGGCTATTGATTCATATAAATACTGTCCGCTAATAATTTTTTTTGATATAGTTAATGGCCTGCCGCATCCCCCCCCCCCTCAAAACCTGCGGCTGCCGCAGGTTTTGAGGGGGGATGCCGCAGGCCATTAACTATATCAAAAAAACATTATTAGCGGGCAGTATTTATATGGATCGATAGCCCACATCACCTAGTTTTCACAGGAGTGATTTGAGCCTGATTCGTGGAAAAACGAGATTTTGGTTGGCTTCTAATTCCACAGTTTGGAGGTCTTCTGAAGCGGAATTCCTGAGATGGACAAAGAAGGAGTAGTGCTTTGTCTTGAGTGCGAAAACGGATAGCTAATTCACCTTTGAAACAAAGTTAACCATGTTGGAATTTGACCATTTCACTTAGGTAGCCTAATATCTTGAATCTTCAGAATTCGCTCAAACTTTGTCTACAGGGGTTAATTGACATGCTCATTATGGATATGTTGCCCATTATGTTTGATAGGGCCTCCAAGTAATGCTATCTTAAGGGTATAGTCCAGGGGGGGGGGTCTTATTAAGACAGCAATCAGGGGGGGGGGGTCGTAACCAGCGATCGTGTGCCACACCCCTTGCTTGACCCTGGTAATTACGCACTGATTTTAGGTAACAATAACTACGAAAATCGCTTATCCTTAGATAAGGGTCACATTCTCAGATTCTGTCCAACTTTTTAGGCTGTAAAAGTTCAACTAGAGTCTAATACTAAATCATTTGTGGACCATAGTAGTGTTTGAATTCCACAGTTCTATTGTTTCCAACGAAATTGAAGAAAGGATAAAAAAATTGCCCAGGTTTCATGATCAAAGAACATACAGAATGTTGCAGGAAAAAGGGATAGTTTCTATGAGAAATATTTTCGCAACGCTGCCCCGCTGAGTAACCATTAGTTCACCTTTTTGTGGAAAGGTGAATATTGTTTGAAATGTTGCAGCTTTGATCTTTCCGTATGAAGCCTGAGTTGACTAGTGCTTCACTCTCCAGTCGTAGTCACACAAACTACAATAAAGCATAAAGCATGTCTTTGTTTCTGATACTCTCTTCTCTGATGAAGGGTGCCTCAAAAAATGTTCCAGCGTTCAATCTTTGATAACTTTCTTATTTGGACAGCTTTCGCTTTCATCGGTGCGATACAATAACGCACTTATTCATCTCTGTTTCTGTCACTAATTCAGTAAAGAATGGTTTACAATTCTTAGAAGAATGTGGGAATGTCATAACAAGAAAGTTTCATTTTTTGCGGGATCACCGTCAAACTTTGCTGGGCCGGTGCCAAAAACATATATGTTTTCGGCACCGGTCCATCCCGTAGGCTACTTTTCGCGCGAAATTCCCACTCCTTCTATAAATTTATCGAATTTGAAGAAATAAACTCTTATCATTCTTTATCAAACCGCTTCCAAATTTTCGTGTAAACACTAGCGGTAGAACTTATGTTCATTCCACAATGAAGGAGATGCGGTAATTCAAGGCTATGCACTTTGGAAGTCTCTGCTCTGTGCTACAAGTTGAGCTGTTCACTAAGTTTTGCAACTACTTTCATTAATTCTATCACTTTGCATGAAAATGCGCTCAAATTTTACCATTATGTGGGTGTGACGTAAGCTACAAGCGCAGCCACAGTTCTACAAAATTCTAAGGTCGCAGCGGGGGTTACGATAGGTATATGGTATGAGGGAAAAATTACAGATCACAAAATTGGCTAAAACTTTGGCTTAGATGGGTTATCTGACATGGTGATCACGAAAACGATATTGGTTTTGCATGATAGGAGCTATTTGCAAGGTTACGGTAGGTTTACGGTATGGAGTCTCACGCTAAACAAGAAAAGAGGCGTTAGTTTGATGAATGAATATGATATTCATATTTGGTAGGGCAAATAACCCCATCATGCAAAGTTTTGGCAATTCTTAGACTTCGATCCTAGTGATTGACGCTTGTCCTCAGGCAGCTTTCCGTACAGCGGCTCGTTCAACTTTGTGAAAGCGCCGAATCTTGAGTTGTCTTCAAATCATTTTTTCGTTATTGCGCTAGATGAGTTAACTTCTAGCAACAATTGATGTACACTTTCGGATTGTCGTGCATGATCTAGGTCAAGAACGTCTTCAATTTCACTCTAAACCCCATAAATCCCCGAATTTCACCAGTTTTCGAAAAACTAGCGGATTTTTTCTATTTTGCATCAGAAAGCTCGCGGTTTGTGCCAGGTTATAGCTCACACGGTGCTCTACACAATATCAAAATTTCAGCTCGCCAATATCAAAAAGCGAGAAGTTACGGACTCAGCTGCAAAACTTAGTGAACAGCCTAATATAATAGAAGAAGGCCGAAACGCAGATAAGTTGAAGTCTTTAGATTTGCGCACCTATCTTGCTCTTTTTGAGCCAGTTAAACCCACGATGTGGGCGAAGCCGGGTATGCCAGCTGTTTCTATGTAAAATCCAATAGGTCATGCTGTTTCTGCTGCCATGGATTCTAGTTGAAGACTGGATGGTGCAGCTACCGCTAGGTGTTTGTATTCATGAAAACTGATGACTTACATAGGCTCCGGACAGACTTCACGAGATTTGATCGTCGCGACTGAAACGCGACGAGACAACTGTTACAACATCATTCCATGCCGATCAACTTGCATTTCGGTTGTGATATTTTTCCAGCCCGAAATTTTTGAATGTGAAATGAAAATGAATGGAAATGTCGGCGATTGAGTCGCGACGATCAGATCGCTTGAAGTCTGTCCGGGGCCACATCGAGATCTTTTAACTGAATATCTAATCCATGCCTTATCACTAGTGGCAAATATCATTTGTAAGGATCGGTAGGTTGAGAAAACTTTTAAAAAACCGACATACATTACGCGCTTTCATCGCCGCGCGATTCTCCCGACAAGACAACTGTTACTACGAGTTCATTGCATGCTGATTATGCATTTCGATTGTGATAGTTTTCCGACACGACTGATCTCGACTAACTATCACAACCGAAACGTAAGATGATCGGCATGCTTGCAGTCCAGCGATTCATAAACTGCGCATTATAATTAACGTTTAATTCAACTGGGTCGGCGGCTGGAAGGCGGGGCTTTGTGACCTGATTAACGCCGCTCGCGCATGCGACGCCATCGGCGTCTCTCTCGTGCTCGCGCTCTCTAATCATTCTCTAGCCTTAGCTAGGTCACGGCGCCCCGCCTTCCAATCGCCAATTCAACTGAATCCAAGGGTACATATGTGAGCTTGCAAAAAAAACCTCAATATAGAACAAATCTAGCGTGATCTCCTACTGTCTGCAACAAGGCAGAACTTCTGAATTCCATTTTTCTTCTGGTGAATGCTGCTGCTTATGCTAATCACGCAAGACTCCCTGGTTATGAGATCAGTAAAATTTACCTGAAGTTTTGGCGGCTCTTCTTCTATCACTTTTGCCATAGCATTTGCGATCGCTTCTTTGTTTGAAACATTTTTCGGTGTTTGTGAGGCCACTCCGCCTACTGCTGCCATGAGACCGTTGAAAGTGAAAATTCCTCGTCTGTTGTTCGGCAATGATATCATAGACTGTTTGTGTTTTTAGCTCCTCACAATCAGTCATTAGCACCTCATTTCATTTCGAATTTTGTTCATACAAGTGTTATTTTTGCTACCAGTCTATCCAGTTCTGGTGCCCTGCGAGAATAACGTACATACTTAGTCTCTCTGGACAAAAACCAAAATATCCGATGACTCTACATACTTCGCTTTTCACGCAAAAATGGAAGTTAGGTGGTGGAGTGGTCCCGATGACGTTTTTGACGTCATTTCATATTATTTTACAATGTATGCGGTTTACAGGTCTAGTTTACACGCAATGCTTGAGTTTTTCTTGAGTTGCTCCACCCTGTACGTGTTGCCTCGAAAAAGAAATTTTTAAAAAAGTAGTCGGTCTCCATTTTACAGTTATAACTATAAGTAAAAAGTGCCCTGTTCTGGAATTTTCAAGAGGTTTCATTTGATAAAAAAAACAGCAAATCGAGTGAAGAAGCTAAACAATCAGAGTTATTCGTGGAAAAGCCCAGGCAATAATTTTGTTCTTTAAAACTTGTAAAATTAGAACCTCTTAAGACTTGCATCTAATAAAAAAGTCGTTTAAATGTTCAAAGATGAAAGCAGTTAGTATTTTGTAATTCTTATTTATGTGAATGAGCTCTTTTGCTACAGTGCTAACATATTTTATTCAAAACAAAATCAAAAATTAAAGTAGGTCAAAATCAAAAAATATTCTTAGAGACGTAATATCAGTACAAATCCTTCATAGAGATAAAAGAATATCAAGCTGTATCCGGAGCAGATGTAATTGCATTTTCAGCGCCTCTATATTCACAGTCTAATTGACTGAGAAAACGCTGAGATAAATTCTAGAAATTAAAACTCGTCCTTTTCACCATGTCCAACTTCCTCTAATTCTCAAAAACTTCGTATGAGACTTTGAGGGAGCCTAATTAACCAGCACATAGGGCAAAGCTTTTTCAACTGGAGCAATTTTTTTCCCCTATGGCTCATACTTCAAAATTTTCATATTATATTTTTTGAAGTAACCAAATTTTATATACCGCTTATTCTAATCTCGTAGAACATGAGATCGTAAACAATATAGCTATCATTCGATGCATTTTTCTCCTCTTTCTAACAGTTGTCTTTTCTTGGCAAGACGCGCAAAATCTGCGGGGAAATCGCCGATTTCGCAATTTCACGGATATGCACTGACGTACTCTGAGTTTCAAGATCGTCACATTTTGAAGCGAACATCGCTCATTTACTCTTTAAGGTTAGTAACATTATAATCGTGCTCAAACCTCATCAATCAAAAGATTTTGCAATGTTTAGGGCAATTACGTGTTTTTTTCAAAACGCTAGACATTTGAAAATTCTAATAACCAAAATAAAAGAAAAAATACTTCAGTCGGCAAAATGTTTGCCTTACCTGCTGGTTATTTGAGCTCCTCAAAAGTCTCTATAAAGATTTTTGAATTTAGCGGAAGATAGACGTGGTGGAAAGGAAGGGGGATTTCCAGCGGATATCTCAGCACTCTTTCCACGAATCACGTTGCGAACATATCAGCTAGAAAAAGGATGTAATTTTGCTTCGGATACAACTCCAACTGTTCGTTTTTTACTGTACGGCATTTGCGGGTCATTTCAAAAAACTGACAAAACTTTTGGACTGACCTAATGTTTTATCAGCCTGTATCACCGCAGTCACGCTGACAATGATTTCTGCTTTATGAAATGCGCTAAAGGCGCTCGATTTCCTTCCATTCAAAAAGTTGTCAGATTACTTTTACTGGCTTTCAATAAGGCCAGAGTAGCGTATAACCTTCGACTCAAGAATAAGGATGTAAGGCATTTTCGATCAAAAAGTCCAGTGAAACTCCTTCAACTTGCTAAAAATACTTTCGAAAGTTACCAAACAAATTAGTTCAAACTAACACGTCCGATGCGATCATCTACCATTCTTAAGTTTTCCACCTGAAATCAGTGCAAACTGATAAAGTGGCTAGTAAATTTGTATTCAGTTATTTTGACTGTTCTTTTCAAAGTTTGAGTTGTTGTTTTTTGTAGATCTCAGTGTTTATTGTACACACATTTCTCCTATATCCATAAATCACAAAGTATCTGAAATAACACAATTGTTTTTATTGTTTCTGTGGTTTACGACATAATCGGACTTTGCTAAGCACTTGGAGCAAAGCTCCTCAATTTTCTTTGATTGTTATCCATGTTGAGGCGCTGACATCTCAGTCTAGGCAATTTCTAAGAAAATTAGAAGTGCGCATAATGTAGGCAATTTCTCTTGCATATAGTAGCCAAACTTTCAAAAAAATGCCTTCATTCGTGCTTAAAATTTGGCCAGGAAGTAAATGCAATGTAACTCTGTTTTCGAATGTGGTTTGTGAAGCTCAGCAAAATTTTAACGAATAAGGCTAAAAGCTTGTTCCAACCACCATTGGCTAGAACATAAAAATGACTTCTTCGTAGTGTGCTAAGTCTTTTCCAAAGAAAGAAGTCTGATGTCCTGAAACCGAGGCTAAGAAAAACGCATTACTTTTGCGCCGACCCAATAAAAAATAATGCAAATGAAAGAGCGTCCACTTCTCATTAAAAATAGGTAGCTATTCTATTAAAACGCGAAAGGCATGTTGCCCAAATTGTTCCAATATCTGGGTTTCCAGATTTGGTTTATAATCAAGAACTATCATTTTGTTCACCTTCTTGCTTTTGGAAAGCCACACACATTAAATTACATCCACTTCTGCAATTCGGAGGCTTTCAGTTTATTCTAGCAATCATAAAAATCCAAGTTTTTTTTTCCCAAAATTGAAGAGGCTTCAAAATTGCAAACCATCTAGCAAAAGTGACGCCAATTTGCGGATAAGTGCATGTGTGTTCGAGTCCATTGCGATTGCGCTAATTTCCACTGACGAGTGTCAAAGGACAACATGTGACCGATTTTCTGAAAAACGCCAGATTATAAATTGCGTGGTGCAGCTGCACGAATCGGGTCCTAAACTTGATTGCGAATTTTTGTGAAGCTTTATCATTCCAAATCTGTGCTCCTGTCTATATCCTGCTCACCAGATTATACTAGGGCTTCGAATATTAGGTTGGAAACTAAGTTTTACAACTGGTCTCATAACTTCCCTCTCACTCAACATGGCGCACTGAAATTTAGCCACTGCGTTGGTTAGTACGTAAGCCACAAGCGCAGCCGCTGTCCTACCAAATTCTGACGTCGCAGTGAGGGTTACGGTAGGTGCATGGTATGAAAAGGAAAAATTCAAAGTTTGACGGATTTGGCTGAAACTTGGCATAGGGGTGTTATCCGACATGCTGATCACGAAAACGACAGTGAAATTGCGTGACAAGGGCTTTTTTGTAGGATCACTGTAGGCGTACGTTATGGGGTCTCACCCTAAACAAGGAAAAAGGCGTTGATTCAATAAATGAATATGATATTCGCGTTCGGCAGGTCAGATAACTTTACTATGCGAAGTATCGGCGGAATTTGAGCTTCGGACTCTTTATTCATTGACGATCGTCCCTAGCAGCTCTTGATTACATCGACTCGTTCGAATTTATGAAGACGCCAAATCTCGACATGCCCCTAAATTTTGTTTCTTTCTTACTAGGCCAAAGGAGTCAACCTCCATTAATAATTTATAGACGAATCCGGATTACTGCGCATGGTCTAGGCTGCCAAAGGCTTCATTTCAACTTAAAACCCCAAAATTTCTCAGATTTCACTAGTTTTCGAAAAACACCTGAAACTTTTCTATTTCGTGTTCAAAATTTGGACGATTTGTGCTCACTTGTAGCTCACATTGCCTTCTACATGATGCCAAAGTTTGAGTGCGCCATATCCAAAGAGAGTGAAGTTATGAAACCAGTTGCAAAACTTAGTTTCCAGCCTAATATTTGTTTTTTTTTAATGTTATGACATATCTTCAGACGAGCGCTTGTTAGCGGAAGAAGAATTAGAGTTTTGTACCAAGCAGTGACCCAAAAGCCCCCTCCCTCCCCCCCCCCCCCCCTCCCCGAAAGTTTATTTGAATCTTTGGAGTACTGAAGTGCCTTCATGGTTACAAAATTGCACATGTGACTTGTTACAAATTATTATAGAACTTTGTGCAAGATATTCATAAAATCTTTGTAAATTTTTTCGGCGAGCGGGTGCACCACGCACTTCATGAGAATATCTTGGCCATAGGCAAATTTTTTGAAGCAACCCAATACTGAATTTTTTCGAAGGGCGGGATCTTATTTATCATTCAAAAATCAAGCCCAATTTCTCCCAAAAGGGGTTCTCTGAACCAACAACAACAAGCAACAAGTTGTGAAGGAAATGTTAAATTTTTAGGTTTAGCTGAATCGAAAGGCTTATTTATTCTATAATATTGCTTGATATATGCATACCATAAAATAGTTTAACATAATAGCGCAAAAAGCTTCTATTCGGTCTGGCATAATGAGCTAATTGTATCAGCATAAACTCTACAGTTATGATATCAGGTTTCTCAATAAGGAAAGCATTTTCAAGTAAAATTTGAAATTTTGCTACTACAACAAAAAGCTCAAATTTTTCCCCAGAACCGGCAATTTCGTCAATGCATCTTTTGAAATTCGTTTTAAACAAAAACTTCGAATGCTGTCTTCAGCTGACTTAACATCACAATCTTTTTCAGGTATTTTTGTACTGCATTCAAAGAGAAGTGTTGACAGCCGCCTTTGAATATTCGCAACAACGGAAAAGTGTAAATCATCTTGACATCTTTGACATAAACGAATTCCGCAGAAGTTTGCAATGCAAATAACTTCATGGGCGAAACTCGCCACGTGACTCAGTTCGTCATCCTCTACTAGAATCCAGATTCTCCCTTTCCATCTATGAAAGTACCTGACTTATCATCTGCTTTTCCTCTCATCATAAAGCCTTTTTTATTCTTCTTGTTCAGTCTTTGTCAACAACTACTGTCGAAGAATCACTTCCTCTAGGCTCAAAGACTGTCAGATTGGGTAAAAACTTTTCCTATTCGCGAATATCTACTATGGACTAAAACATAATATGCCAAGGAAAACTGATAAATTTGGCACCTTAATCCATTTAGCGAAATAGGTAACCCACGATAAATCCAAAAAAACTTTTGATATTTATATTTTTTTTGCAATTGCCAACGATGGTTTCGATGAATTACTCTACAAGCTTTGATTTCAATACTGGTAGCGGCATCTTTTAAGAAACAATCACCCATGGTGGCACTAAATAGAGTACAATGCATTAGAAAGCTTTGAAAATCTCGTTGTAGGGTAGAAATATCAAGCAGAAAATATTGGTAAAGATAATCTTTTACATAAGTTTATCAGAACTATTACTGTCCTGTTGAGCATTCTTATTTCATTTGCCGTTCCTTTTTTAGTGTGTTTATAAATTACACTCTTTTTTAGATCTTGTGTTACAGTGAATAAGGGTGTCGATAGATATCAGTGTTGTTCCAACAAATTTTTATCGAATGAATAGATTCGAGGAATGTTTTGAAACGCTTTTCTTTTTTTGCAGGTTTATAACTATGAAATATATTTTATGAAAAAGGTATGGCAGTAGCCACGCTTTCCAAAGAATTTTTTACACAGCCAAATGACGAAATGAAAATAAGTTACTTGCACAGTTTCAAAACTGTGTAAGCTACTTTCGAATTTGTGCTTCTTCTCCCACCCCAATCCGCCATTGATAAAAATGTAGATAATTTAAATAAATATTACGCAAACGCTAGTTTTTGCCACCAATAGTCCGTTTAAAAACTTTCTACAGACCTCCCTGTCGCACACTGTGTACTATCGACATAAAAGATTCATAAAAGCTGCTGTATTTTTTCCTAGCTACAAACTGAAAGTCAAAAATTTTCGTTTTTTTGTCAAGCAATGCTGGGTTGTTCTCATAAGTGGCGCTATATTACAAGCCCGTAAGTATAACTGTAAATGTAATATTCAACAAAAAAGCGGGAAAGGGGAGCAAAATTTGTTATTTAGCTTCACGCGGAAGCATCAATAGACAAGTTGTTGGAGTATGCTTTGCCCTATCGAACAGTTTTGCTTTTGCGTTCCTGGAATTCGCCTATTTGTGGTGCCATAGCAAGCAAATTAGAAGCGACGTTTTTTTTTGACATCCCGATATAACGGTCCAATTGTTTGCGACGATATTTTGCAATTTCTAATGTATAGATTCCACCTTGGCCTCTGTGTAACCTATTGCACGTTCCTTGCACTCCAATTCTGCTAATAGTTTGCTCTTTGTCCGAAAATGACGTGCTTTGCAATTGTCGAAAAATTGCTAGGCTTGCATGCGTGTTGTCAGAGCGAGCTTTTACTCTTTGCGTTCACGTTTTAAGGGAAGATCACATACTTATATTTGTTTTTATCGTCAAAATTGTTATTAGATCGTTACAACGTTTTGTTAATTACAAGGAAAAATTCCATAAATTATTCCAAAAATTTTTTCTTATTTATTTACATAGAGAACTGTAGACTCTTGATGTATATATGCACATGAGGCATTCAGTTTCTGAATCCTTTCGATTTTTTCTAAATCATTTTTTGTTATTTGCAACTTGCGTTGAAGGAGCTCAAACTTCTACCGGGGAAGTATTGAGGAGCATAAGCTTTGTACTATTTTCTTAATATTATATATGCACTCGGAAGAGAAAAGGTTTGAAGTACCTTCAGAAAATTGATGCTAAATTTAGTGTACATGCCCACAAAATGAAAAAAGTGTCAATAAATAGCCTTTCATCTCTTTTCTATACATTTAATATTTTCAATTTTATTTTGTGCAAATGAAGAAAAGCAACTGAATTCGAAACTTGTAACTCAGCGAACTCAAAGAGTTAGTAACCTCACCGAAAATGAGACAGTGGTCCTAACACTCGGACTATGGTCTTTCTGTAATTAAGTAAATGAACAGCTGGAGCTAAAACAGTACCCTGGATGGTATATGCTATATATGGAACTTTGTCGAATCTTCTATAATTTACAGAGGAAATAATGAGTAAAGAGATTTATGTGACTACCTATTACTCAATCTTTGGTCAAATTTCTTTTTTAATATTGCTTCCGAAGTTCTTCGAGATTCTTCTTATCGGTAAAACGGCTGCTATCCGATAAGATAAGAGAAGATGACGAATTTCTGCCTCAGCCTTTTGTCAAGGCTACGCTTTCGAGTTGATAAACATACTTGCTGTGCTGGTGACAGGTTGCCATGGGCAACATTTTTTGATATGTTGCCGTCAATTCAGCAGCTCTGCTATCTGATCGTTGACTCTTTCTTGTAGCGCCTCAGGAGCAGCTGAAATGTTTATGTTCCATTTATGAAGTTAAGCCCGCATGATCTCGATCTCTCACGAGTAAAAGTCAAAGACAAGAGCACATTCAAACGAATAGGCTTCATTTGGAAGCCTCAATTGATGCATTCATGAAGAAAAACTCTAACTACATAAAGGATTTTTGTGTCTATCCCATTATGAGAACAAACTATGTATTTACACGTTCTACATTCCTTAACTGTCTTAGATCTTTTTTCCCTGCGAATAGTAACAATTAGCTCCATTCAAAGTGCATCTCTCTTGCGGTATTATAGGCCTTTTTTAGTTCACAATTGCATAGTGCTCCATTTCAAAGGAATTTAATATATTCAGTTTGATTCAAGCCTCTGTCGTATAAAGGAATTGGACTTGCTTCTTGCCCAAGAAGTTATTTGCTTTTGTATGTCCCCCATCAACAGTGAAGAACGTTGAGAAGCCTGATGATTCAAATCTTGACTATTCATTCACTATGAAGTGTCTTCTTTATCAATCTTATGCATTTGCGAGCATTATTTTTCTCTTTTCTTCCAGCATTTTTTTCCGGAATTCTCTTTTCTGCCCTTCTTTTTTCTGCTTGAAAACTCAGACTGAAGGACTTAGGATTAAATTTCTATGTATCGAGTCGTTCTATAATTTGATTTGAAATTGCCTCCTAAAACTAATAATTCTCTAGTTCTAGAACCCATGAAAGGATATAATTTACGAGTGTACTTTTGAATGCACCTAGTATATAATTACGTATGTACGAAGATATGAGACGATTGGCGAAGTCAACGTCTGCCATTTCCATGTTTTCTCCTTTGGTCTATTTTTTTGCCCTAGAATAAAGAAGGTATAAATAAGAGTGTTGACCTGTTTAGTGAAGCATGTGTAAATGGGAGGTTTGATGAATATTTTAGTTAAAAGATCTTACTGTTGAAGTTTGAAAGTCCAAATTTTTTTTGTCCTTCACTTTCGATTGTATGCCGTAAATGCCATTTTATAAAGCTTACATTGCTGTTTTGAATAGTAACTTGGGTTTTAAGGAAAACGAGAAAAAATAAATCAAAAGATTCCATCAAGTTCAAGTGAGATGTAAGAAACTTTGAGCAAAGACTGTCCAATCTGGACTATCTGGATTTTCTTCAAGCTTAAAATTTCAATGACGAGATCTTACACCATTCTGTATCAAGAGTTTTACTCTATTCTGTCAATATTTTCTTTAGTGTAAGTCTTGAAAGACCTTCGAACAAACTCTATACCATCATCTAAAACTTCCCGAGCATCTCAATACTAAATTAGAGCTCTACACTTCTTGCTCAAGTGTTTACCTATCTTACACTTACTGTGTTAATGCTTGCTATTTAGCAGTAAGTGCGTCAAGAGCTAGCATTTATGAGAGCGTCCATGAAAACTCGTGATGATGTATTTGCGCACGACATTTTCCTTTGCATTCTCAAAATTATGCATTTCATATCAGTAGAAGAACAGCTGACATTTTTCAACTTACGTAACACTTTTTCTCAGCCTTTCTGCAAATAACTTCCTATCTAGCAAAGCTCGCATCTCGTTTCGTTATATATCAGAACCTTCTCCCGAAACTGTAAGAGTTGACTTATTTTAGGCAACAGCCTGGCGTTTGGACTGCTTTCAGAACTCCAATCATCTATTTGGTAGAAGTTTAGTCTGTTGCGATGAATGAAGTGCAGCGCCCTCGCTCCTTGAGCCGTATCACAATTGGTACGGTGTCAGAAAGCGATGCCGAGTACTTGGACGCAACGGAACACATTACTTAGTAAGTTTTAGTAAGTATAAATGCTTATGTACTGCGCTTGTACACATTTTTGTTTCGAAAAAATTCTTTTTAGTATCGTCATAATTTGTCTGGTGATCATACATAAGTCATCCTAGTATGCTAGCCAAATAAAATCGCAACACAAAAAATACTAGAAAAAAAATCAGCTTCCTAGTCCATCACTGAAGTGTTGTTAAGAACAAGAAAAATTTTTCGGAATGAATGAACTTACTTCATCGAGAGTTAGCATGGGATTCAAAATAGTTGACTAATGATTTTGACTTAAAATAAGCCGCTGATCTCCTTGTTGAGTTGTTTTGTAATATAACACGGTGATGAATGATTCACAGTGCTTTGAAGTAAAGTAAAAAGGTAAGAGGGATGGTTGCGTAGGGAAAAGAGGCTTACTTTATTCTCTTAGCGGTCACTTGATGAAGATTGGTTAGAAGACCAATACCCCTGCATCAGTGGGGGGGGGGGCCTCCCCCCTAGAACGGGTCGCGAAATTTTTCAAAGTTACTTATATAGGTTATAAAATTGTGCAAATGACTTGTCTCCACTTGTAAATAATTAAAATAATGCTTGAAAATTTTTAAAAATTCATTTAAGCCTTATAAAAAAATTTTTTTAGGGGGCGTGGCTGACGCCACGGGGTTCTGAGCTCGCGAAAATTTTAGGGAGCATACCGAAAAATTTTTCGGAGCGCGTGGCTGACGCCATGCACCTTCATCGTAAAAAAATTTTTGTCGCCCCCCCCCCCCCGAGCCGAAATCCTGGGTACGCCACTGCCCTGCATAAAGTTGAATTCTTTTAAATTTCATTCCATTCCACTGTTGATTAGACATAAGTCATAAAAGATTCAGTTACATACTCGGTAAAAGTATCTGTTCGTTTAGTTTTAACGTCAGAGCAACGCCCACAATCTTAAAAGCTCATAATTACCGTACTCAGTTCTGCAACTGTATGCCATTTTTTGCACTTTTGCGTACACTTTCTGTCTTTCGCAAAATTTCAAGACAAGAAGTTGCGATGAGTTTATCTACGACTTCTAAGCTCGGTTAAGCAGAGCCGGAAAGATTTGATAGTTTGATAAAATTGGTGTGCGATGCGCATTACTCGAAGGTATTTACGATACTGTAATCAAGTGCGATCTTTGGAGAACAGCACATCAAAGATGTCTAAATAGTGTAGTACTCATGAGCAGCGCCTTATACAAAGCAGCACATTACCTCGCTACTGTGAGGGCCTAAAAATTACCCTTTAATTCAACTGGATTGGCGGCTTGTAGGCTTGACTTCGTGGCCTAGTTAAGCTTAGAGAATGATCAGAGAGCACACGCGCGATAGAGACGCAGACAGCGTCGCGGGCGCGAGCGGCCTCAATTAGGTCACAAAGCCTTCTTGCCGCCAGTTCGGTTGAATCAAAGGACATCTGTTTCTGCATTCAACCACCCAATCATCGGCCAAGAGTTACGAAGCTTGATGGCCTGCCATGGCAAGTTCTGAATAAAGAACTCAACGCTGTTTGTGAAGGATGAGCTAGCAATAATTGATGCGCGAGAAAAGAACTATTGGATGGCTTTGTTTGTCTCTCGAAAATTAGAGCTTGTCGATTTATTCAAAGCACTGGAGAAACTTTCCGTTATTTTTAGTGGTGACTCACTGGAACTGCTGGACACAATTGCCGAAACACAAATTACGTTGAATTTGTTTCTCAACAATAAGTTCGCCTTAGCCGAAGAAAGGATGGCACAATTGTAAGTTGAAAACTTTTCCTCTCGTAATGAAACTATAGAAAACTATCTCAATTATGAGTCAGAATATATTAGCGTTTTGCTATGAACTTCTTTTTTTTTGAAAGTTCAAACTTGCAAGTCGGTTAAAAATGGGAATCTCACCAAGAATAACTTTCGATGGATTTCCTTTTCCTGGAAGAAAACATTCCCTTAGAAAAATTTTTTTTTAGCCCCATCTCACATAAAATGCCAAATTTTGTTGGAATTCGTGTTTTTCAGAGCTGACAGAAGCATGTACCACGCATTAGGCTACAGCAGTATCGTGTTTATCAAGGCAATGATGACGTGCGACAAGGTAAACTTTGACTCCACATCGTAAATGTTTGCTAAGTGACGTTATCTGAAGCACTTTAGAACTTCTTAAATCTCCGGAAGCTTTCAGGGTGATTTGGATAGAGCGATGCAAGTCTGCAAAGATGCTTGCACTGTCATAGAACGATTTCGTCAGAAATTTAGCTTTAGCGATACTTTTCTCAGTCTTGGAGGCAGAACGTCAAGAGTCATTACTGACGGTAAAACTTTGCAAGTGTTACGTTTTTTCTAGAAGCGGTTTGCTTCAAAGACTTTGTCATAAGAGTTTGAAAATTTTGACTGATCAAAGAATAATATTATCTATTACAGAAGAACTACATGCTGAGTTATGCTACGCAGAGTCGTTACTGATCCGAGCCGCTTTGTCTTTTTTTCAAGATGACAATTTTGCTAGTTTTATCAGAGGAGCTTTGCGGATACGAAGCTGTTATCAAATTTATAGGTAAGAAAACGGGTTTTGAAAAGCAATTTTTCTATATGGTAGATTTAATTACATTAACTCTGGGGATTGATTTATATTCATACTATGCTTTTGTGATTACATTGTTAACAAAACTATCCTAATTTCCCACGTCGTCTGTAAGAATGGTTTTCCACGTTACATCCCCTACACCAAATCAGACAGACGTGTTAGAATGACCCACTGTAATTCCTTCCACCTTTCCAGTAACTTCTACCTGGGCCGGTAGTAATCTACCCTACCTGGTGGCATCATAGATGCCGGCAAGTTGGCACATATCGCGGAAAGATGCCAACTTCGCCGGCAGCTCGTGGAGTATAGGTTTTAATAATCTTATGTAACCTTAGCACGCAGTCATTTCGCACGTTAAATTTTGACGACGCAGACATCCGGAAAATTGCTACCTCGCGCGGGGCCGAACCTAGGTGCGTTGACTTCAAGTGCCACCCGTTAACCATTCAACCATTCGGACAACCGTTGCGGATTGCACCAGCAGTAAGAGGAACGCACCGGTAAGGGCCGCCTGTAAGAGGGATCAATACATTGCGTGAGAGACTTTGACCTGAAAGAACAGCTGATTGATATGAGCGAGAGAGGGGCGAAATCGGTGCAAACGAAATTTAGAAGGGATTGTCAAAAAAGATAGTGTTTTTTATGGTTCTAAGGCATTACCAGATTTTTTCTCTGTAAGAAAATAGTCGTTTTAAAAAGGAAAAGCTCATTTAATGAGAAAAACGATAGTTTTTTGATAGAAAGTAGAGTTTTTTGATTTTTTTGCCTGACGTAATTTGTGTGATATCGCCGCAATTCGCAAACTCACAGACGCCGTCGGCAAAGGTGCCACCACCTCGACGTGGTAGGGGCACGTCGAGATGCCGGCAGCTCCCTCTCTCAAAAGAGCACGCTATTTCCCGTGCTCTCTGACCTGCCGGCAGCTGCCATCTCGCGGATTTCGACGAGCTGCCGGCAGGTTGCCGGCAACTGACATCGCGAAGTTGCCGGCAGCTCCTCCTGCGCTTCCAGATATTTTCCTAAAGGAGAAGTTTTGGATCCGCAAATTTCGATGGAGTTTTCTACAGAGTCGAGGTGGCATCTTTATTGAAAATTTTTTTTGGAATAAGGCCTGGGACGGCCCAAATTTGGGGTCTCACTTTCTGGCCACCTCACGGAAAAGGTGCCAGCGACCTGCCGACGAGACCTGCCGCCAGGTCGGGGAGATTACTACCGGCCCTGATCTCACTTATGTTAGGTCGGTCCGAAAAATTTGTCAATTTTTGAAATGACCTTCAAGCCCCATACAGTAAAAGTAAACACATATTTCAAGTTGTGTCCGATGCAGAATTTCTTCCTCTTTCGGATTTCAAAGTTTTCAATGCAATTCGTTGAAAGAGTGTTGAGACAATCGCTGAAGATTACAACTCTTCGTTTTCACCATGTCCAAGGTTTGCTAACTCTCCAAATTTTTGTATGGGACTTTTGGGGAAGCTTTAATAAGTAATACGTAGGGAATTGGAGCAATTTTTTTACTTTTTTGCAGAACTCTTCTAGAATTTTTCAAAATAATTTTCCAAAAGTCTTGAGGTTCGGAAAAATGGCAAAACCTGCTATTGCACCAAACACGGCAGAATCTTCAATTATGAGGATCCCTTACTAATATTACTGACCTTAGAAAATGTTAGAATGATTTTCGATTCAAAAGATGAAGATTCTAGAAACTAGGGTACGATAGTGCGCACTGCGCACTCGTGAAATTGAGAATACTGCGAATTTTCCTGCAAATTTCGCGTATTTCGCCAAGAAAAGATAGCTCTTAGAAAAAGGGGAAAAGTTGCATCGAATGGTACCTGAACTGTTTACCATTTCGTGTTCTACGAGCTTAGAATAGGCGGAATGTGAAATTTGGTTACTTCAAAAAATATATTCTAGAAGACAGGTCTGAAAGGCAAGCCACAGAGCTATAAAAAATTGCTGCAGTTGGCAAAAGGTTTCCCTTACCTAATTATTGAAGCTTCCCCAAAAGATTGATATAAATTTTTTGAAAATTAGTGAAATGGACATGATGAAAACGACAGGTTGTAATCTCCAGCGATTATCTCAGCACTCTTTCAACGTATCACAATGAAAATATAGCTGCTGGAAAGAGGAAGAAATTCTGCATTTGGTATATCTTTACTGTACAGGATTTAGGGGTCATTTCAGAAAACTGACAAAACTTTCGGACCGATTTAATAGAACAAAGCCTTAGCTGTGAATTAATTTGTGACAACCTTATACAGTTTGCAACAAATTCACTCGAAAAATCGATGAAATGAAAGAAAGAAAGCATGAAGTCGACAGTACAACGAAAAGATTGTGATTGTCATTCGATTCATTTAGAGAAGAAGATATTTTCGCACAGAGCACGTACACTACGCCTTGAGCATGACACCCAATTATTCCCATCTTTTTCACAGCCTTCAAGATAATGTCAAATCGAAGCAGTCTCTTTCAAGTTAAACAAAGTGCTTATTTCACAGAATTACATTCTTTTCTCACCTCTTACATTTTATTCGTAAATTGTTCACCAGATGATGATATAACTCGTACGATGTGAAATCTATTCACTCTTTGAACGTTCTTGTCTCTCACCTCTGTTTTTGCAAGCTTCATGTTTGTCATAGGGTGGCGAGAACATGTGCTTTGAATAATATCACAGAATACTAATAGTGAAGACGAAGGGCTAGCGTTGTTTAGTAATCTCGTCTAATCTCACAGGTTGAACTTGGGTTAAGCGCAGCTTGAACTTAGACTTCATATGGATTACGAAGATCTTTACCTAACTTCTACGATAGTAAAAGAAATGGAAATCATTTCGAATCTTCGTTTTCGAGATGTAAATTACTTCAAACTTTGAAACGAAATGAAGGTTACCTACCCTCCTTCCCCAAGAAGACATTCAGAAGCCTCCCCCTTCTCCAAAAAATATTTAGAACGTAGAAGGCTGTCTACCAAATGTTGACGAAAAAAGTGTTTTGAGTGTATCCACACTTGATTTCAGGTACTGCGAACGCTTAATGATGGATGAATCTTTGTGGATAGGACGTGATTATCGCATTAGGGAGCATTTCGAAGCGGGTGTTTTGATGGGTCTAGGGACATTTAATCTTATGCTCTCCACCCTGCCTTCTAAGGTGTTACGGTTGCTGGAGGTTGTCGGATTCTCAGGCGACAAGGTGAGCTTAAGATTCGAAACTTTTTCTGAGAAATTTTCTCACACTATGTAATTTTAGGTAATTGGCATGCGAGAACTGCATCGATGCGCAGCTATGACGAATACATTAATGGCGACTTTCAGTGTAATGTTGTTACTTGCGTGGAACTTGATTGCTTGTTTTATGTGAGGTTTAGGCCTCATTCGGTCAAAAAAACTTATGTTCATTCTTTCAAGGTTTGGGGCTGGTCAACCCGATCTAGCGCTATGTCAACGACTAATCCCATCTCTTATGAGCAAATACCCCAAGGTAGTGAAATACATCCTATTAATGCAATGCTAAATGAAATAATAACTCATCAAGTACAGTATGATTCCTGAAATGCTGTATTATAGTAAGAAAGAAAGGACTGTAGAAAATTTGACGCTCAGACTGGTTGCCTCTGCGGTGGCGACAACATCTGCGCGAAGCAAATGCCATGCTTGTTGCCGCCAACTTGCTTGTAGTTTGCGCGCATTACAATGTCGATTTTTACGCGCAAATATTGATCGCAAGAACATCACAACGGAAAAACTCCTGGGCTGTAAGGAATTTCTCGGACTTTTTACAAACTTTTTGTGTACTTTAGGGTGCAATAGTATTGTTTCTCCGTGCTCGACTTTTACTGGTTTCTGGCGATATAGATTCTGCTATCTACTGCTTTAATATGTCCATACAGTCTCAACAAGAATATAAGCAATTTCACCATGTCGCCTATTGGGAGTTGCTGTAAGTTGCATTGTTCTTGATTTCTTCTAGGGTCTTGCTTCTTTTAGGTTCGCACATTGCTATCTGGGCCAATGGGCAAAGTCAGCAAACTATGCTAAACTTCTCGTGAATGAATCTAGATGGTCGAGATGTGTCTACACATATCTGCTGTGCATTCTTTTCGCAGCCGACACTAGCTGTGAATCTTCTAAAAGGGATGAGACCGTAGAAGCACTTGCAAAGTGAGAAATGGCAACTTTTTTGTGAATATTATCGCCTTGTCCATAGATTACTAAAATACTCACCGCTCAAAATATGTCCCCTGCAGTCAAAACTCTTGTAAAACACTTTCAAAGACCCTATGATCCCTTCGCAAGGACCAGAAGGTTTTTGTCGGAACGATAGTCTACTCACCTAGCAACCAATCAAATTTGCAGATTTGGAAAGTTACAACTCCTGCAAGCATACATTTCTGTTGATACTCACTATCGTTACGCATGAAAGTATACTTATGGGTGAATTGCATCCTTCAACATCTTATGACAAATTATGGACATATCAGCGTTTTATCCATCAGCTCAAGCACAAAAAAAGTCATTTTCAGCCGATTTCTTTGAAGACATGTTTGAGTATCAAATAGCATTTTTACAGCTTTAGCAAAAGTACATCAATCTTCGATTCCAGGAAGGTGGATGGGCTTCGACAGAGAATAGCAGGCAAATCAATTCCGGTAGAGAAGTACTGTGCTAGGAAAGCAAACCGTTTTGTGACGAAGAAATCATTGATGTTTGCGCATTATGTAAGTTGGAGCTAAAATATCCCTGATCAGACAAGCTATTTGTTGTGTATTATTTCGCAAGACTAAAAAATAAGGAGTCAGTATAGGCCGGAGCTGTCTGAGTAATTTTTGCTTTCAGGAATTCATGTACTTCTGGGGTGGATTTGAGATCGTTGCCAATAATTTGCATGTGATGCAAGGAATCCTAGAAGATCTCGAAAGCATCTGGGCGCTGAGGAAATCGGGCGGTGAGTTGGTAAGGACCCTTCAAAAAATTGTAATTTTACAAGATTTTCAGCGGACGCAGACGATCGTGCATTGTACTTTTTTCTCAAAGCTGTATGCTTGCGAAATCTTCGACAACCTGCAGCAGCTGAAGTTGCATTACAGGAAGTCTTGAGACTGTGAGTAATGGTTTTTATGTTACACTGACAAGAGGAGTCCGTTTAGCTGAAGTGGCCTTTTTATGTGACTCCTTACCACTTTGAAGAGCAACGAAACATGGTCCCAATCTATCTTCATTATCTGCCAAACGCTTCTGGACGATGCACTTATAAGCGTTTCTGGGGTTCAAAATTGAATGTGCAACTAAAATAAGATACGTACAGAATTGCTCAAATAATCATTGTTGATTATCAGAGTTTTCGTTCGATAGGTAACTTCTGTTCAATACAGTCATATTCAACGCTTTTCTACTTGACTTTGAAAAGACCGCAGCGACTGATTCTACCTAAATTCTGCGTTATTTGTTGCTTCAAAAAATTCTTAACTTGGCATCCTGAGGCGCTTGACAGATATTGAGAACAGAATTAATTAGCATTCAATGTTCTCCAAAGTGGTGTGGGACTCATTCGAAAAGGTTAGTCCGACCTTCGGACACATAAAGATAAAGTTGCAGTAAAGCTCTAGTCATCCAAGTGCAACACTTTGGAGATCAGTTCACCTTAGTTCTCGACTTTGTCCACACTTTTCTGATAGAAAATAATGATTGAGTGGTTTTTATTATCCTTATCTATCGCGTCTCTTCGAATTTTCGAGGCCTAAGGCAATTAATGCTACCAAGGCGGTATGTATTAATCTCCCTTTTGGGTAAGGATTCCCATGCAGATTGTATCCGCTTCAACACTCGGTACTCTGGTAATCCTGTTCTTTCTTGTTTGTTCATCTTTTGGAGGCTCTGCTACCCTATTATTTTAGCATAATGAATACCAGCACTTTGCTGTATAACTGAGATTTTCGCTATTTTGTATGATCCCGAACGAAATCCCCACGGGATCACGACTTTTTTCAAAGTCATTTACCTTTGCAAAAAATCAATGAAAACGTCGTAAAGTTGCGCTGACAATCTATTATCACAGTGCCAAGCATGTTTTCATCAGCACAGATAAAATTTGGAAGATTTGAGCTTTTCGATACCCAACTCGGTTCGTCGAAGATTTCGTCAACTTGAGTGTTCGCTTATTACTTCCGCAAAAATGCTCAGCATTGTTGGAGTAGATCAACAGCATGGTTTTACGATTTCATCGAATTTTTGCAAAGATAGATGACTTCAAAGATGAGCCGTGAGTCTCTGAGGATACCGTATGAAATAATATTAGGTTGTAACAAAATTAATGCAGGTTTTGAATTCCAACCGTAATAAGTCATACACTTCTCATTTCTAAGTAGGTTGCAAAATACCGTTCGATAGAGCAAAGTAAGCTCTACCAGATGGCTATCTTGCTTAAGCAATAGCTCTGATCTACAACGTGTTTCGCGCCAAAAACTAAAAAGATTCAACTGTCCGAAAAATTGAGAAAAATCGTAACTCAGTTCCTAAAAAACCTACAAAAATTCTAACTTGCTCACGTAAACACTATTCACATAAGACATCTATATAGGCCTTTGCCGTATTTTTTTCTCTGTTAGAAATCAAGTAAACGGAAATTTTCGTGCATTTGCCAAAGTGATGCTGTGCCGTTCCCACGTAAGTAGTTGTATACTACAAACCTGTAGAAGTACAATCGTAAATTTTTAGCTCTCTACAAGCTTTAGTTCTCGAGATATTTGAATTTTAGTTTGGACCACACGACTAGCGAAAACTGTATTCGATATTTTTCGAGAACTAATGCTTGTAGAGAGCTGAAAATTCAAGTTTATACTTCTACAGGTTTGTAGTATACAGCTATTTATGTAGGAACGGCACAGCATGACTTTGGCAAACGCACGAAAATTTGCGTTTACTTGATTTCTAACAGAGAAAAAAATACGGCAAAGGCCTATATAGATGTCTTATGTGAATAGTGTTTACGTGAGCAAGTTAGAATTTTTGTAGGATTCCTATGAACTAAGTTACGGTTTTTCTCGATTTTTTGGACAATTGAATCTTTTTAGTTTTTGGCTCGAAACTCGTGGTGGATCAGAGTTGTTGCTAAAGCAAGACTGCCACCTTATAGAGATTGCTTTGCTCTATCGAATGATATTTTGCAACCTACTTAGAAATGAGAAGTATATGACTTATTACGGTTAGAATTCAAAACCTGCATTAATTCTGTTACAACCTAATATAAAGTACCGAAAATCTCAGCTTAAACAGCAATTGCCGTTATTTACTATGTTACAATATAGGGGAGTAGAGCCGCCAAAAGACAAACAAAAAGGAAGAACACAGATCCCCAGAGTTCCGAGTACGAAGCGGATACTACCTGAATGGGATTTCTTATCCGGACGGGCTATCGGCACATACCGCCCCAGACATGCTTTTTCTTTATAAATCCGAACATCTTATGACCAACATGTTAGCTTTGCATTTTCGAATTTACTTGATTTCAATTGTCAAACTTTTGCGTTGGGAAAAGAGAATTTTTCATTGCCTTTGACTTAATGCCTCATCGGATCTATCGAACAAACCACCTCAAAGAAACCTGACCATTCAAACTGCTTTTCTAACTTGCATGCAAAACAAAATCACAACTTTCTAAGAGATTTCGAACCACATTTTCAATATTCATTTCTCAATGCACGTATTGTCCTCAGATTTGTACCTTACTCAACGTTATGGTTCAATTTTCTGCATTATCAAACAAGTTGCAGGTAGTTATTCTGCGCAGTTTTCTGTGTTACAACAACAAAGAAGTTCTTGCGATGTATTACAAATTTATAGTTGATTCCCCAATCATCTCCAATTTCCTTTATACGTGGCATGCACATTCACTTTTGAGACAAATGAAATGACTGAGACAATTCCTCCCATCTAAATCACATTGATTGGTGAGAAAGTTTACGGACACTCCTAAAGCAGTTCTACTAACAAACTATTTTAATTAACGAATCTAATGCATATATAATACATGAATATTTCGCATCTGTATTTTAGCGCGTATGTGCCTAATATTGAGGTAAGTGGGAGGAGCTATATGTCTACTAAACGAAGTAAATTGTCTGATAAATTGGACCATGCGGGAATGTTTTAGCTTTCGAAAGAGCAAGTTGTGGTTTAGTTTCTTCATTATCCAATGATTTGTAATTTTCGCCTGCAATTTCATGTGAAGCATTGAAAATGTTTGTGGTGCTGTTTACCAACATCTTGTAAAGACTGATTTCCTCTATCCAAGGGTATGCCCCACGTAGTAGATACCACACCGAAAAAAACATTACTGAGATGTAATGGCCGGAAATTTCCGTTACCAACTAAAATCATAATCCACATGCGAGAAAATCCCAGCAATGGTGTATTCTTTCCTCGCATCATTCACTTTGTAGGAAATGTATGTGTAGAACAGTTTAAACGTACATGTCTCATAGTAAGTCAAAATAAAAACAACGTTTCTTGCATTTTGTGCAAGGAATGAGAAACATACTAGATTTACTTTTCAGAGAAGATGATCTCGTTGATTTTGCATACCTGCCACCCAACGCTCTCTACGAACTTGCTCTTATTCGAGTTGCTGACGGGATGCGTGAGGAGGCCGAAGCACTCCTAGCAAAGGCGCGAAGCTTCAAAGGCTTTCCACTGGAGAACAAGTTGCACTTCCGCATTCATAGTGCTATGGAGAATCTTGGAGCACGAACACCTATGGTGTGACCTGGCTGTTTTTCGCTTGTGATTGTTGCACGGGTATTTGTATATTCCTCCAGTTTTCTCAGCGTGTAATCCAGGTATTTGCTTCGTTCGATGTGGAAATCAGGGTATCCAAGGTTAGCTTGAAGGCAACTTTGCCATTTGCAAATAAGCTGTGAAACATCTGTAATTAACTTAACCTGTGATCTGTTCATCGACGCTCATCCCCATACATCACCGAACCCAATAAATGTTGAAGAGTTTTACTATAATGCGAGTGAAATTCTAAAAGTTCAAGGGTGGACGAACAAATCGCTGAATAAAACAATAAATAATAACCCGTCGTGAGCTCACTTGTTCTTTTTTAACAATTTTACACCATGTTCTGTTATAAAATCATAAAATTTTAATAAAGTAGTATTTTTGATTGCAAATTGAAAGGTTAAAAGCAGCCAGGCTGGCATAGATCTTAACCAAAGAGCTTTTGAAACAATGTCCATGGAATTTGCAGAATTTGAAGTCCCTTTGATTTGTTTTTAATCCTTTCACTGCTTCTTACTTTTTTTTTCGAATGTCCAGACTGTCGCTCAACTTTTAAACGGTCAAAGAGCCCTCTTTTACTATCAGTACCACACAAATTTTTTGAATCATCGTCTGCGGCTTCTGCCAAATGTGTTTTATCCACGGCTGGAGTCTGAAACCAACGCTTCGGCGATTGTTTCCTTGCTTGCACTTCTCTCTCCTTCACCCCCACTTCTCCCTCTCCTACTCTCCCGCAAATGGGAGACGGTCTTTTCGCACGGGCGGTCTCCAGCGTCTCCCTGATTTTGACTTGTCTTAACATGTGATGCACGCCGCAAATCTTCCCTCCCGCTGTTTTGCTTAGGCTAAAGCCGCCGCAGTGTGTGTCGCGCGCGGCGGTGGTCCTGTGTGGAAAGCATTACGGTCGTGCGAATCGTCCTACACCCCCCGCAAATTGATTTAGGGACGCCTTTGTGGGCGGGCGGAAGAGATTGTCCCGGAAATTTTCTGACGGTTACAAGAGCTCAGAGAAATTGGTACAGAACTTTCTGGCGTTGTGTATAAGCCAAATTGCTGATACAGCTTATGAGAGAACCCATGAAAAATTGCGCCAGTTAAGTGTCGGGTCCAGCTTGGTACTCAGCTGCAACGGTTTCGGCTTGCTCGGAAAAAGGTTGGGTACGGCTTTCAATCACGTTGAGTTCAGATTTTTTGTATTTCAATTTTATTCAAGCTCATGTGCCCTCAGTGGGTCACACTATTGCATTTCTGCCACAAACAAAGCATTTGTTGTTTGAAGGGCGATTTGAATTGCCGATTTGTGGGGTGGAGGACTTATGTTGCCTGTTGCTGTTGCCTGGTCCCACACGGACATCTGCAACAAAGTCCGCATCCACGCTTTACAGACATTACAGATTCATGTCAGCTGCTAATGTACTGGCCCTGTTCAACTTGTTCAAACCGGTGGGGATGTCTGGCTCAACAATTTTCAGCGTTATGGCGCGAATCTGATGCATTTCTCGGCGTTTTCCCTTTTGAGGTCCACGCTGGCGTCCACAAAAACGACAAGCCTTTTGCTTTTTCTCTTGGGAAGAAACCTGGATTGATCCGGTTCCAACAGTCCCCGATTACAGCATATAGCTAAACATCGTCATGCTAAGCCTAGCGAGGTGCAGCAACGTCGTAAAGCACAAACTTTTCAGAAGCACACACACAAAAGATTTTTTTGCAAATGCATGACGACATTCGCGAATCTTCAGGTAACTTTTTGTTTGGCTTCAACTTACAAGGGAGATCCGATCAGTCGAAGTGGCCTTTCCAAATGAGTCTTACACCACTTTAAAGAGCTGATTCCAAATCTGATATCATTATCTGCTGCGCTTCTGCATGCCTAGTTATGAGTATTTTTTTGGTGCGAAAACTGAACGCATAATCTAGGTAAAATTAAATTTTACGGTCTTCAGCGCTCAAATAGAGCATTGTTAAATATGTGTGTTTTGGACAAAAGATTTTGTTTAAAATTACGCAGACCGTTTAATTCAAAAAACGCCCATAACTCGACGTCCGCAGGCGTTCGGCAGATAGCAAAAACAGATTTGAAATCAGCGTTAGATGCTCTCTGTAGCCGTATCAATTTCATGTGCGAAGACCACTTGACCAAACGGATTTGTTGGATCTGTAGTACAGAAGGAATTACTAGCCCTTTTTTTACTGTGGGGTTATAATAAGAATTTCGAGCAAATTGTCTTTTATAAAAGTCAGGTGCCATTCAAATCAAATAATACTCTATGACCTCTGAAAACTTTAGTTGTGGACCTTTTTTTTTGATTTGCAGACCCGTTCTAGACAAAAAAATTAAAAAATTTCACTCAAAATCTTTCGCATAACATTGCACTTGAAATTCGTCAGCTTCTAATGGTGATTTTTGAAGGCTCAGCTTTTGGTAAATATACATTTGATTTTTTTAGTGAAATTTTTGGAGAAGTTGAAAGTAGGGATTGGTAATCAGAAAATAATGTTAACTAAGCTGCAAGTGATGAACTTGTGCTTGTGTACAACCTCGAAAGGATAGCTACAGTTTCATTGGCGAATCCTATGAAATCACTAGTGTCAAAATTTAAAATTTGAATAGGTTTGAAGTTATGGAACAAACTGCATATTGCATCTTGACTCAAGCCTCAGACGTTTTTTATGACATTTTGATTGCTTTGGTTTATTGGCTCAAATGGCAAACTACTGCTTTATCTGAAAACAAAATAATGAATTTTGAAAGAAAGTTCCGGTATTCAATAATTTGAAACAAAACTCATAAAACGAAAAGTATCTATAAGGAAGTTAACTTTTCTTACCCGTACAATTCCCAACTTTCACTTACTTTTAGGCCCAGTTGGGCGCTGAGGTAACGTTGCACTGTCATTCTTGCTTGGCTTCTCTTGAAGTGAATAGATGTTCCACTTTTTTTAGTTTTGTGTGAGCGGAGAAATGCTTTCCTTTTCATCTAACAATAAGAAGCATCAAGGCGGGCGCGCGTTGTGGACAAGGAGGTCTCGTAGGAAGCTGGCCGGACACACACCATACGAGTTTATCGTTCCACTGTAATCTCTAGTGCAATCATCAAAAACCAATGACCGTCTGAACTACTCTTCAAGATGTACGAAATCACGTTCTAGAGCGGGTCGAAATCCCACAACAAAAGTTTCCAGACTTTATGGAGTATTATTTAATGATTTTCAGAATGAGGCACCTACCTTTAAAAAAGACAATTTGCTCAAAATTCTTATTGTATCCCGAAAGTAAAAAAAGGTGGCTAATTTCTTTTGTACTGCACAACAAGGGAGGTCCGTTTGGTTGAAGTGACCCTTCGCACATAAAATTGATACAGCTATAAAGAGCATCGAACGCTGATTCCAAATCTGTCTTCGTTGTCTGCCGAACATCTTTGAACATCGAATTATGACCGTTTTTTGAGTTAAACGGTCTGCGTAATTCCAAACAAAACCTTCTGTCCGAAACACTCATACTTAACAATGCTCGCTTTGCGCGCTGAAAAGACCGTAAAATTTGATTTTACCTAGATTATGCATTCAGTTTTCGCACCAAAAAACTACTCATAATTAGGCATGCAGAAGCGCGGCAGATAATGATATCAGATTTGGAATCAGCGTTTGATGCTCTTTAAAGTGGTCTAAGACTCATTTGGAAAGGCCACTTCGACTAATTGGATCTCCCTTGTAAGTTGAAGCCAAACAACAAGTTACCTGAAGATTCGCGAATGCCGTCATGCATTTGCAAAAATCTTTTGTGTGTGCTTTTGAAAAAGTTTGTGCTTTACGACGTTGCTATACCTCGCTAGGCTTAGCATGACGATGTTTAGCCATATGCTGTAATCGGGGACAGTTGGAACCGGATCAATCCAAGCTCTTTCCAAGAAAAAAGCAAAGTGCTTGTCTTTTTGTGGTCTACATGTAGAATAGCAAGAGTGTGAAAACATTACGTCATTTTATTCATTAATATATGTAAATCACACTGGCAGTCACAGGAATGTCCGATCTCTTCTGTAAATCTGGAAGTTCCAAATTTTGAGTGGTGTCGTATAGTCATTAAACGCACTGTACAAAGACTACGAAACTGAGCGTATTAACTCTTATAAAAATTTTTGCTTGCAATGCTCTTGTGACACAGTTAGTGGAACGCGGCACGCAAAAAATGCTGATGCTGCCAGCCACTCTTTTTTGGGTTTGTGACATACCCATTAATCGCAAACAATAACTAGAAGAACCGATAGCCTTAAACTCGTATTCTTTACAGGAGTGAATTGAGCTTGATTTGTCTCTTTATTCTAAGTAATAATTGGTGAAAGCATAGCCACCAAAGTGGGATAAACGAGAATTTGTTGCTTTCAATTTCACAGCTCTATTGAAGCGAGATTTTTGAGGGGACAAAGATAGGGTAGTGCTTTGTATTGGTTACAAAAAGAGGTAGCTAATTAATCTTCAAAACAAAGTTAATCATGTTTAATGACTAATGCACTCGAGTGTTTCAGTGCTAAGAAACCTTAGAATTCGCTCAAACTTGGTTTACAGAGGTTATTTGACATGCTTTATGTTTATATTACTTGCTGTACTTGTTAAGGCCTTCAAGTTATGCTTATATTAGATATACGATAGTTAAGGGGGTTTTATAGAGACAGCTATTAGGAGGAGGAGGGGGAGGATCGTATCTAGCGATCGTGTGCCACTCCTTTTGCTTGGCGCCCTGAGTGTTGCAAATAATGGCGTTTGTAGTGCATAGAAACATTTCTTGATTAATGAATCTTTGAAACACGAAACAGCCATATGAAAGCAGCATTTTCCCGCACTTTGAAAGCAATGGGGTTTTATCACCATACATACGTCTATGAGACATTAGACAAATTCTATAGCTACGCTCCTTTGTTCCATCATCGCATGTGCCATTGCGGCTGTTATTCCGCTTTATGTCAACACTAAGCCGTAGCACAGTAGAGTGCTGCCTGAAGCAACTTTCTTTTAAGACTGTTATAGTCCTTATCACCTTACTTCAAAACAATTGAAATACAATTTTCTTCTCAACTAGAAATCAGAATAGTTTCTTGTAGTATGAAGTTCTGAAATTCAAAGAAAGATGTTAGTCACATACGCATAGCAAAACGTAGAAACAAAGAAAATCAGAACTCCATATCGTATTCACGATCAAGACTACTTTTGAGCCAACATGACTTTAGAAACATGTTTCTCAGTGCAACTTGCGGTGAATTACAGTATGAATATATGATAGAATATTGGGCCTTCTCTCGAATAAATAAGTCAAGAAATTGCATGATTTTTTTGGTTTTTGCTCATCATAAGTCTGTGGTGGAAGGAATCTTACTTGCCTAAACGTTACGTGTCTGTATATAACTGTTGTTCTTGCTTTAAATTATTCTAGCGTCATCATTACCCTTTGTAAAATTGGGAGTAGCGAGTAGTGGGTGGGGCTCTGAATTTTGCATCTCTCGCAAGCTCCAGTTATTTCTCAAACTTGTTTAGCGATTCAAGCTCCGCTCTTCCCCGCCACTGTCAATGTAACAGGGGGTACATTATTGTTTTTTTCATTTTCTTACCTTCACTCGTTTTCTTATTAGCATGCAGTAAGTGTGGATTTTTTTCTACGAAAAATGTTTGCATCGATTTCCCAAATTTCCATCATGGCCTACCACCGCTAAGACCATAGACTTGTGTAACATGTCTAGCTTACGTGTTTATCTTTTCGAATCGAGGGAGATAACAAAGTTTACGTGAGGATATCTTACTACACATTCAGATCTTTTTTAATACGTACAAGTCCTGAGTATGTGATACTCTGTTGTAGTCCTCTTCAGTAACGGTTACCGAATGTGCGTTGTTTCCTCTGTACGTCGCCAACCATTGGAAACCTAAAGCATCCTTTAACATCCCACTGAAAGTTTGGGCTGCACACCTGTCATCATCATAGCCAATCGCATTCGACCATAAATTCGATGTGCGTTGTAAAAAAGCGCATCTTTACCGCGAGGAATGCCAAGGTAGAAAAGTCCTTAAAATTTCAAAAACAAGCTTTTGATTATGGACATCTAAAGGGGAAAGTGCTTCTAGTGAAATGGCGTTTGCGGGTGATTTAAACACCATTTTGGCAAGCATATAAGGATATAAGGCAAACGTGTCTTTTGTAACTGTTCTACGCCTTTAGAAGATTGATTATGAGCTTGTTTAGAGTCAAAAAGTTCAGCGCGTGGTGTAAAATCATTCATTCGGCTGATTTCACCAACTTTAAAAAAGAGACACTTTGCGCATTAAACACTTTCTTTCTGTGTACTCAATCTTTGCTCTCTTGAGCGTTGGATAGATCTCAACGATTAGTGCTATTCACCAGGTTGTCAGAAGAGAGGTACTTTTCATGCCGAACGCGACAGGATATGCACCAAAAGCTGTGTGTGGGGAAGTTCAATAGAGCAAGCAAGCTGTACAACATGACTATCGGACATTCGCATCAATCTATTCGGTGTAAAGTTGGGGCTAATAAGTAAGATCTAAATATACCTCCAAAGTCGGATCTTAATCGAAAAGAAATCTACCAACTTCCCGAAAAGTCATGCGTATAACATAAGTATTAAAATTTACACTCCATTGTAACTTCTGGCAAACTAACAATCCTAGGTCCATCCCCCTATTATGCAATATGTTGCAAATGTTCGGAATTTAGCTATTAATTCGGTGCAAAATTTATTCCTTTGCCAGGGTTGTGAAAAGTATGGTAAATGAGCTGTCCAGCAAAACAAGCAAGCTTGTTGAAAATGGCGCTGAGACATCTGCAACAAGATTTATTTACGTGCGGAATGAAGCCAATCCAAAAAAAAAACAAAATTTGGAAGTCGGACTTTTTATGCAAAAGAACTGTACGAACCTTCAATGTGTTCGAGATGTATATATTAGGTCATTCCGAAAGTAATTTCGCTTTTTTCAAACGGACGCCACATGTGATGGAACAAAGATTTGTAAGAGGTCTTGGTAGCATTCGATGCAGCATTTCATCCTCTTTCCAAAGGTATAAAACTATTGCAGCACATATAATGAGTTTTCGGAAAATCACGAAAGTGTGCGATCCATGCTTTTTGAGATGCTCAAGTTTCACAATTTTTCTAAGTTTTTACATCAACCCTCCAAAGGAGTCCAAGTAGCGATTCGATAGAACAAACCCTACAGGATACAAAACCATTTTTTCTCCTTCATATAACTCTTCAACATTTTTAATAGAATTTTGATTGATGCTACCAGTTTCCATTCTTGGTCGACTCAAACATCCTAAAACATCAAACGGTAAGCAGCTCGAGCGTCATTCGATGCGCTTGTTCTCCTCCTTCTATTGGATGCTTTTTGTTTCCCCTTCGTGGAGTTTTCGCGTAAATCATCATCATTCACATTTTCGAACGCGTACCGGGTTGTACCCGAAAAATCGAAAGTAGGTATTTCGATTCTGTAAACCCTCGTTCGCTTCAAAAAATTAGTGTTAAATCATAATACCATCTTGGAATCTTGAATTCCGAAGATTTATGGTTTGATACGAATGTGGCTGATGTAGGCCTGTCAAAGTTCGATGGTCTTAATAATAAATTTTTTAAAAAATTATGGCGAGATATAAAAATGAGAAAAAAGCTACGCCATATCCTATGGGGTTTGCTCTATCAAATCGTTACTTGGACTCATTCGGAGGGTTGATGTAAAAATTTAGAAAAATTGTGAAACTTGAGCATCTCAAAAGCATGGATCGCGGATTTCCGTAATTCTTCAAAAGCTCATTGATTGTGCTGTAGAAATTTTATGACCCTTAGAAAGAGGATGAAATTCTGCATCGAATGCTATCAAGACCTCTTACAAATCTTTGTTCCATCACATGTGGCGCCCGTTTGAAAAAAGCGAAATTACTTTCGGAATGACCTAATATTTTGCATCAGAATATCATATGAATAACTCTTGTGATTTCCATACCGACAATGAGAAATAATAGTTAGCTAGCTCTTGCTAGAGCGATGCTGGGCTGTTATCACATGAAAATTTCTTTGCTACAAACCTTTGCAAGTATGGCCGTGAATTTCTAACATTCTACAAATGCTAGTTCTTCAGAAAAGAAATTTGGTGCAAAAAACCGAAAAAGGCAATATATTTGCGTTCCTTCCTTTTTGTTTCTCGTATCCTGTCCACGGAAAAATTGAGGAACTGTGCGAGTAATGTTTGATGTGGAGCATTACACAAGGACTGCAGGACCCATTTGGACGAAAAACAGTTCATTAAGATTTAGATTTTTGGATCTTGGCTTTGAATTTCCCGTGGATTAATCTCCTTGCTATTGCTTCAACTCCATTTCGTGGGCCTTCTCGTGCTCTATCAAGAAAAAATGTTTCTTACAGTCTTATGACTATCTGTCCCCTGTCACATTAGAACAATTTTTGATTTGATATAGATTCACACAATTGCAACAGCAGTAATTCCGAAGCAAAATCAGTTTTAGTCTCGAAAACGCAAAAAAGGCTTTTTTCTGTCAACCTAATACAATCTACGTTAGATGTTCGCTGCAAAAGTCCAACATTCAACATTCAACAAAACAAATTTACACCGAAATTTATCTGTAAATGCCCTAGTAAAACACTTTTCCTTCTGAAGAGAAAGTGTCATGTGGTCTTAGATAACTGAGTGACCCTGGAGTCCTATTTTGAAGCATTTTCAAGTACATCATAACAAAGCAACTTAGCGTTAAGTCATTGCTGTGGGACAATTGTCGTTAAAAATTATCAAATTTTTTTACGTTGTGTGCAAGTTAAGTTAAGCTAGATCTCAAGAAGAGCTTGAGGGGACCGTCCATCCAGATTGGGGATAATGAGATTTTGATGCTGACAATACTAGGTTGTAAAGAAAGTTCTGCCAATAAGCTTTGAGCCAAATTTTTTTCATATTTTGATCATGAGTGGCTGTCAATTGACGATATTTTGCCTATTACTGCTTAGGTATGCATGAATGCTCTTTTTAAGAATCGCGCTGGCTGCGTTTCGAAACGGGTGGCGACGTTGAATTCAACAGTTATTTCATGCTTCTGGATATCACTTCATCTAGCCAATATACAAGGTGTAGAACGGATTTTTATATAAATCTTCTGCAAACTTTGGCGTCCATAATCTGAAAATGTGAATTTTCGCAGACATAACTGCAACAAATTTTTCTCCTTTTTGGGCTTTCTTCCTAGTTAATCGTCATTCTTTCGAGCTGAATAGCGTATAGGGTAGCGGGACCATCGCACACTAAGAACAAATCTCAAGAAATTCGCTTGCATTCGCATTCACTTCTGCTAATTATGAAAAAAATTGACAGAACTTTTTTACAACTTAATAGTAAAGCCAGTAACTAACCAGCCGCCCGAGTATCGCTGCAGAAGAAGAATTCCAGAGCGAGAAAACGTTTAGGTAGAGGCAGAGTCACGCCTGTTCGATCATCAATCTGGGTGGTTTAAAGATGGCAAGCCTTAATTTGGGCTTCAACTCATACAGATTGATCCGCCCTTCATTATAATCATAAGATTTGCCACCCTTCTGTCCAATCTGAATCTGTATTTTCGAGGTATTCTCGGACCATCCACGTTTATGGCTGGAGTAAGCATGGTCGCTTTTACCTTCTAAAGCAATTTTCTCGCTGAAATTTATCTTTTGCAGCGAGACATGGGTGACGCTCATCAGGAGCCACGCGATTTTCAACATCAAACTCTCATACGATTGCAACGAGAGGAAGACTGTGCCGCTGCAGTTGTTGAGCGTACATTGAATCGTAAGATTCAATCCCCATCAAAGTGCGAGGCTATTGTTGCTATAGGCTACTGCATGACGAAGGGGCAAAATCTTTGGGCACGAACGCGGCTTTATTGGGCGCAGAGCGCAAGGTTTACGACGGTGAGGATACGCGCGCACCGCGTTTGCGTCGCTTAATAGTGCTTCTTCCTTTTGCAGTAGCCTTTAGATGTTATTGACAATGTGAACGTACTAACAACAAAAACGATGAAATGGGTATATGTTTACTGCAGACAGCCTCTATTTATCCGAACATATTTACACCTCAAAGTTTGTAGATATGCTTGAAAGCATGTGTTTTTCATATAGACTCTTTCTGAATCAATTACCTGAGCTGAAATTTGGCAAGCACATGTTTCTGGTGGATTTTAGGTTATTTCTGGTGATGGATCGCTCCGCCAACTTATTAATTTACTGATTTTTAGCACTTTCCTACAAAAAGTAAGTCTAGTCTTTACCAATCTCAAAGTGAAAGCTTCATGCAAGCAGCACCATTAAAGCTAATTTTTTGCGATGATCAATATGCAGTTTGGGCGCTTGGAGGTAAGTATTGGCTTCACAGTAAACTTCGCTCAACTTGGCTGGGGTGAGATGGGAAAGGGAACGTAAGAGGCAGGTTTAAAGAGAACACAAGCTTGTCCTTGAACGGTTTGGGATTCACATTCTAGTCCCCACTTTCATATTAACGGTGACACTTAGCCCGGATAACGCTTGAATCACTATCCAGTTGTTAACATAATAGTCTGCTACCTCCTCGCTTGAGTAAGCACAACACCTTCTGTACCTCCTTCAAATCACCAGATGGATCAATCGGATCACCGTATCTTAAAAGTGTATGGGCACTAAGGAAAATTGTTGCAATATATTATTACCTTCCTAAGCCACTGTGCTCGATGGAAGAGAAAGGAATTGAGAAATCATAACTTTCATTTTTTCTAGATGTATGACATGATCCGATACAAAAAGAATCGACTCTCACAGAAGATTTGGAACTTACTCGCTCCATTGTTTTGCGAATTCGATAGGATGAATATACTCAATTTTTTTTGTTCCAACAATTTTTGTTTCTTGGTATTCTACAGTGACTACCTAAAACTATTTGTATTTGTAAATTACCGCGTGAAAGTGGCTGCAAAAATTCAAAATTAATAGTTCAATCTCTTAGCCAGAAACAGGATGAATCGCCAGTACGGAAACAGTGGGTACCTGTAAATAGTATTTGAAGGCAGTGGCTCTTCAAAATTGATCCCTGTCAGATTTTGGTAGTTTTAGGTAGTAGATCGTTCATGTAACCTTTGATTCAGCTACATTGGCGGCTAAGAAAAGGGGGGGGGGGGACTTCGTGACGATAAGGCTAAAGGATGATCAGAGAGCACGAGCGAGAGAGAGACGCCGAATGTGTCGCGGCGCGAGGAGCCTTAAGTAGGTCACAAAGCCTTGCCTTCAATCCAGTTGAAGCAAAGGTTGCATTGTAACCCCACATTATTCATGCGCTAAGTCCCGAAAACGCGTTTTAAACTCCACCAGCTCCGCACACTTCCATTGTGTGGGCGTCATTGGTAGAATCTGAACTTTTGGAGTTTTTAGGACTTAGCGCATAAATCGGAGGGGGGATTTGACTTAGAGTGTACCTGGATGGTCCACTACCCAAAACTATTAAATTCTGACAGGGGGTCCATTTTGCAAACTACTGCTTTTAACAGAAAAAAATCAATAGTTACTGAAATAACCTTAGCAGCACCATTTTGAAGTGCCAGCACTTCTATCCATGGCCATTCCGATCCAATTACAAAGCCAGTCATATTAACCACAGGGTAGTCTTGCAATGCGTAGTAAACAGCTACTGCAACTTCAGCATATGCGTTTCTTAGAGAAAGTGAAAGCTTCTTACGGCCTTCTTCTCCATAACCAACAACTGGTCTAGGAGCTATCACCATTGAGTCAATCGTGTTCCAGACGACACTACGTGGCTTTGTTTTGTTATTGTAATAACTCTATAACATGAAAATAATGCTATCTTTTGGGTTTTTTCATTTTTTTTTCATCTTAGATGCAACAGAAAAAAAACTAATTTCTTCAAATACTACAAGTATTTAGCTCTAGAACGTTGTCTTCGCTTTTGTATGGTTTGAATATGCTTAAAAGTTTTTTGATAACTGATTATCGTGGCCTTTCAGAATATCTTACATATCAAAATGCTTGCCTCGAAACGCTGATCTCGAAACTATCTTCGTTATCAACAAAAGACAGCACTAACCACTGGACCATTCGAGACATTTAGCATCTACTAAAATTACTTGTACATCTATGTAAAATTACCCCCACAATGGTCGGTCGCCTCAGCGTGGCGTGACGGTGACACTGGGCGTCGAACTGCGATGACAGCCGAGTGTACACTCTGGCAGGCCCTCCCAAGCCCAAGTTGTGAAGGACTTCGATCTTTCCAGTTTCGGCCGGATGTCTAGCTAAGACCAGGACCGGCCAGACCAGATCCACCACCGTCTGGTTTTCAGGCCCTTAGGCGGTTCTCCCCGCTTTGTAGGGGAACAAATTTTATTACTCGGACAGCAAAAAGAAGTGATAAAAACCCTGCACATCAGATCCCGCCTACGGCGCCGGATGGTAGCAAGAACGATGTCAGGGTCCCTAGGGCGCCTTTTGGATCGGACAAAAACGACACGTCTGCCCGGACGACACAGACTGCCTCATGCTCTGCACCTACAACGTCGGGACAGTCTCACAAACACTCCTTCCTCCACGCTCTTCTTGACGCTGCAGAGCACATCAAATACACGTTATCGCTCTGCAGGAAACGAAGTCCAGGAAGAAGGACGTGCGACAGATGAGGATGGGAGGCTGGGAGGCTCATCATTCGTGGTGAAAAGGCTCCATCACGAACGTTGGAGGCATTGGCCTTGTCGTCCACCCATCTACCGTCCATCTTGTCGATTTGCATGAGATCCTGTCACCTCGGCTAGCCATCCTACGACTACGACCTCATGTCAGAAGACAATCAGCATCATCAACTGCTACTCACAAACATCATCAGCCGACAATTCAGAACTAGATGCTTTTTTCAAAGACGTGGAGGAGGTCGTCCGCAACGAAAAGTCCTTCTACAAGTTTGTTGTGGGCGAAGTCAACGCGAAAATCGGGATGCCACTAGAAAGAGAATATAGGATCGGGAAGTTTGGATATGGACTCTTGAACAAAAACGGCGACCGTCTTTTTGGACTTCTCTCCGCCGCATGAGTTTTTCTTGGAAATTCCGTCTTCATGAAGAAAGAACATCGCCGGTGGGCATCGGAATCGCCCAACGGAACGACTCATACCGAGATCGACCATATTTTACCATTCGAAGGTGGATTGCTCGATATCTTAGTAGTTCCTTCCTTCTGCAGTGGCTCCGATCACGGCCTCCTTCGAGCGAAGGTGCGATTCAATAGAAAGCTGGAAAAGAAAATTTGTCACAGTATCGCCAGAAGGAAAGAAGTCGTTTAGACGGCACAGGTTAGAAGAGCCATATCAAGTTGTTACTGGCCGCCCATCGAGGAGGACCCAACGTACGACAAGGACCGGCTTTGAAAGGATTGCGTGCTTGCGAAGAATGTGCCTCAGTGACTTCTGAGAAAAACTTGGAACGTATTTATCTTTATCTTTATTGATACGCGTTATAACTAACACGTGAGGTAAATCCAGAAAAGATGAACCTGAGCAGTCGAGTATCTGCTGAAGAAAAATAACAAAGTAGAGAACATCAAACAAAAACAAAAAAATATATTAGGTTGAACCGAAAGTTCTGTCCCTCCATTTTCAAAAATTCGTAACTTCGCCAGATTTTAACGGATTTGCTTGCTCGTAATTTTATTAGAAAGAATAGATCTTCCGCTTTCAAGCGCTGTTTTGCGGAGCTTCTGTTTCACACTGAGTGCCGAGATAAAAATGGAAAACTAAGACCATGTAAACTTTGACCATTTTAAGTTAGGTCACCAAAAATCTGGAATGCTGCAGAAAAATCTGAAATCGTCAGCACATATGTTTTTTGGCCTACCCTTTGCATCTGTGAAAAGTTTGTGTTGTTTGGACATCTCTGTGAGAAGTTATGAATATCGAGTTTACTATGGATAACGCCAAAATTAATTAATTTGGCAATTTTCGTGAAAATCATAACTTCTCGCAGAAACGTCCAAACAGCGCAAACTCTTCACAATTGCAAAGAGTAGGCCAAAAAACATATGTACTGACGATTTCAGATTTTTCTGCAGCATTCCAGATTTTTGGTGACCTAACTTAAAATGGTCAAACTTTACATGGTCTTAGTTTTCCATTTTTATCTCGGCACTCAGTGTGAAACAGAAGCTCCGCAAAACAGCGCTTGAAAGCGGAAGATCTATTCTTTCTAATAAAATTACGAGCAAGCAAATCCGTTGAAATCTGGCGAAGTTACGAATTTTTGAAAATGGAGGGACAGAACTTTCGGTTCAACCTAATAGAACGATAAGCTAAAAGACAAAAACAAACAGAGGAAACAGAAATGAAACGGCAGAAAAATGGAACACAAACAATGACAACAAATATGCAGAAACAAAATCTCAATCAGGAATGAGGACGACTGGCAAGAGAACAGCATTTTGCCAAAGTTTGACAGAGAGCACCTCGACCAAGTAGTCTATTTAAATCCGCCAATACTCTAAGGGTAAAGAATTTCGCACGAAGGAGAGTCTTGGCTGAGGGAATTCTCAATTTAAGCGAAGATCCTCTAGTTCTGGAGAAAGAAATGACGAAAAATTTCGAGAAATCAATCTTGCAGCCACCGTCTAATATTTTTAATGTCATAGAAAGATCGAATTTTTTCCTTCTAGAGGCCAAACTAGATAAACATAATATTCTTCTACGTTCCTCACTTTAGGAATCAAAGAATAGTTTGGACCTATTATCCTCAAAAACAGTTTTCTTGTAAAATTATTCTGAACCCCTTCAAGGGCATTTACATCTTGAACTTTATAAGGTGAAATTACCGTTGTACCAAATTCAACGATAGGGCGAACATACATCTTGTATGCTTCAATTAAGACTCCAGGGTTCGAGGTTCGCAGTGTCTTGAAAAGGTTATAAGTCCGGAAAAGTGCTTTGGAAACAATGCTGTTGTAGTGGGCGGTAAACTGAAGCTTACTGGAGAAAGTAAAGCCCAAATCTTTTACTTCGTGGATACGGGTTAAATCATATCCACTGATAGTATAGGAAGATTTGACTTTTTCAACTCCCAAGGACATAACTTTGGTTTTCAGTGGAGCTAGGGGTAACTCATAGTTCTCAGACCACTGACACACCATGTCAATACATGACTGTAAAGCTTCAACGTCGGATGTGCTATGGATGACCTTGTAGATTTTTATATCATCCGCATACATAACACAACCAACACCCCTGCTTTCAATAAGTTCGGGTAAATCAAAAGTGTAAATGAGAAACAAGAGGGGGGATAAGACTCCACCCTGAGGCACTCCACTGGAAATGGAGTGAATTTCGGAGTAATCATCACAACCCGAACTTGGAAAGTACGATTGATCAAAAAATTCTCAATCCATTTGCACGTCAAACCCTGAACTCCAACCATCCTGAGCTTGGACAGCAGTTTGAAAGTAGGAACTTTATCGAATGCTTTGGAAAAGTCAAGAAACACGACATCTGTTTGGTGACGCTTATCAGCTTCTGAGGTCCAGTCATTCATGGCAGTTAGCATAGCGGTCTCAACAGATCTACTTTTACAAAATCCATGCTGACTAGAAGGGATGATGGAGTGTTTTTCGAGATGGGAAGTAATATGTTCCTTCAAGATTTTTTCGAATGTACGTGCAAAAATAGACGTTATGCTTATGGGTCGATAATTTTTTGGATCTTTATACGGCGGTTTTTTGGGGATAGGAGTAACTTGGGAATGTTTCCATCTTTGAGGTACTTCCCCTCTCATGTAAAATAAGTTAAGAAGGTATTCCAAAGCAAAACCAAGCTCGGGCAGAACTTTTTTAACAAAAAATAGGGGAACTCCATCCGGGGTCACGGAGAAAGAGCTAGGACATTTTTCAAGGATGCGAATGATTTTCTCTAGGAAACCAAACTGTTTTGTCCATGTCCGGATACCGAGGAGAAGGGTTTAATTCTACAAATGAATTACGACCATAGACCTTTACAAATTCTTGAGCTAAGAGGTTTGCCTTATCCTTGTTTAAGGATAAAGCCAGGCCAGAGTTATCAACCAAGGGATAGTTGAATGTCTTGTCACTAAGGTGTGACCTCATGTAACGAAAGAAGCCATTTACATTTTTTGACATAATATGTTTTTTTCTCAAGATTGACATGGTACTTGTTCGAAGCCTTGAAAACTTTTTTATACAGCTGATGTCCAAAGCCGATCACGCTTATTAATCATATTGATTAGATAGGCTGGTAGTCTATGTTGACTTTCATGGACTTCACGTAATGGGACAAACATTTCTACCGCATGCTGCAAAACAGCGAGAAAAAGTTCATATTAGGTTGGCACATAAGTTTTGCAACTTTTTCCTATAACTCGTGTGTTTTGCGATGTGGCGCTTCTATTTTCAGGTATTATAATGAGTATCATGTGAACAGCGAAAGCAGCCATTCCTGCCGTATTCCAACATCATGTTCGAGAGTTACGGTAAGGCATTTTTTAAATGGGAAAGAAAAAGGAATTGAAACGGATTAGGGTGAAACTTGGTCTAAGGGGGTTATTCGACAACCTGATCACGAAAATGACATTCATTTTGCTTGAAAAAATTATTTTGCTACGAAAAAGTTGAATTACAAAAAACCACTAGGCTAATTTTTGACTCTGACAACAATTGAATATGATATTCGTATTCAGCATGTCAAGTTACCCCATCGTGCAAAGTTTCGCCAAAATCCGACAATTCTGACTCTTTGGCAATGATGAATTATCCAAGCTATTTTGACGCATTCGATTTGTTCG